CTTGATCTGGGGATATGCAAACCTCATGTCAACCAGATGATATGCCGTCAGTGCAAGTGCATCACACAATGCAGTGGCGCCCTCTTCCTTCACTTTGTCCACGGCTTGGTGAAAGTTGTCTACCACGTCAATCACTTTCTGCGAGATCAGTGTTTGAGTTCCCAAAGCGATCAAGCCGCCATTGGTGGGGAGGATGGGGCGATCAAAGGGTTGATGAACTGTGCGGAAACCTGCTTGGTCACAGCCACTCCGACAATATTTTCGCTTTGCGTTTCCATCTCCGCTTGAAGTCATCCGTACCCTCATATCCAAGCAGTTGAACCCTCAACACCCGACACCTGTCATACCGATCCGGGCCGTTAACACCGGGGCCTGAGATGTGAGAACCTCGTCCCTCCAAGCCGAGCGCATCGATAGAATGAACGGATGGGCCTGACAGCTTCTTACACCAAGTCTCTGGGAGCTGCCTACCGAGTTACTGTGCCGAAGGTTGTAAAATCCATTGCGAATGTTCCGTATTGATGCAAGATACACAGTAATTAAAAGACCAGTCCACTAACTGAAAAGAGCTTCAGAGCATTGTGAAAACCACCGTAGTGATACGGCGGACCATACACCTTTGCGCATACTCCGTACTAGGCTGGCAACTGGCGCGCGTCTCAGATGCGGCATCTCCGACTTGAGGTTTTGATATTCGCTACATCGATCACCTCTCGGTCATCCCAGTCTCTGTTCAAGCTCCCGTGAAACAAACAAGCCGCTAGACCCTCAAGCTTCCAGCCATGGGCTCAGATCCTCAGTTCGCCAAATATCCCGACCTAACCCTCGCTCAACATATCTTCACCCTCGCCAATGCACCTCAGGCAAATCAGCCGACGTCGCTGACCTATCTCCAAAATGCGATCAAGGACCATAAGATGGCGCCGTTGTATCGGCACCTGGCTCATCCCACCGAGGGTGTGCTGAACGCCGTGGGCGAAAGTACAGCTCAACCACCGCAACAACCGTCAAAACCTCCTGCTCGAAGAGCCTCTCTAGTGTCAAGCAACCTGTTACCGGCCAAGAAACCTGTACCTTCTGGCATCCTACCATGGGACGAGTCACTCTATGAAGAGCTGAAGGCGGACAATGAGAAAGAACTGGAGCAATTCCAGAAGGAGGAGGAGGAGGCCGAGAAGGAGGCGGGAGAAACAGAGATCCAAGCGGCTCGAAGCAAGCGCGCGGAATTCTGGGCACGAGTCGGCGACAAGGTAGGCAGCCGGAAAATCACCCGGTAAGGGCGTCGAACTAATATGTCGCAGGACAAAGCCATTGGCGCCTACGAAAAAGTCTTCGACAAGACCGGCCCGTTAGGAACGAAGATTGACATTGTCCTCGCCATCATCCGCATCGGCATCTTCTTCAACGACAAGGCATTCGCTAAGAAGCAGATTGAACGAGCAAGCATTTTGGTAGAAAGTGGTGGGGACTGGGACCGAAGGAATAGGTTGAAAGCTTACAAGGGCCTGCACCTGCTCACCGTCCGATCCTATAACCTTGCTGCACCGCTGCTCCTCGACAGTCTCTCCACCTTTACCAGCTACGAACTATGCAGTTACTCTTCGCTGGTCGTCTATGCCGTGCTGGCGGGCTCGCTTTCGCTGAAGCGAGTCGACTTCAAGGCCAAAGTCGTAGATGCGCCGGAAATCAAAGCCATTCTGGGGGACACTGAAGACAAAGCAGAAGGCGGAGATGAAGAGATGAAGGATGTGTCTGCTTCGACCGCAGAACGTGCCAGCGGGTTGGTCAACGTGAACGCTCTTGGGACGGGTGGTGCGGTAGAGTCGCAGACCGAGGCCCCTGTTGATGTTTCGTCTCTGGGTCAATTGGTGAACAGTCTGTACACTGGAAACTATCGGAAGTTCTTCCTGGCCTTGGCCGCGGTCGAAGAGAACTTCTTGACGCAAGACCGCTACCTGTACGAGCACCGGGCTTGGTTCGTCCGCGAGATGAGACTACGAGGCTATCAGCAGCTATTGCAATCCTACCGAGTGGTCGGACTGGCGACGATGGCACAAGCGTTTGGCGTCAGCGTTGACTTCTTGGACAGAGATCTGGCCAAGTTCATTGCTGGTGGTCGGGTCAGCTGTACAATTGACCGAGTTCAAGGGACCATCGAGACAACACGTCCCGACGACAAGAACAAACAGTATGCAGATGTGGTGAAACAAGGCGACGCCCTGATCACGAAGCTGCAGAAGTACGGCCAGGCTGTGAGGCTTCGAGGTAGCGAGCGAGCTTGAATGCAATATTCCCGGGTTGACTCCTGCATGGCAAGCTGGCAAATGAAGCATACGGCGGCAAGGTGTTTTGGCGACGTGAGCAAAAGACTGCGCCGATTGCACTTGTACCATAGATACTCTTAGACACAGATGGCCTCTATCTCGCCAGCCACCGACACCTTGGTGTGAGGCCGCGATTAACTAATCCGCTGTCAAAAATTGTCTGCTCCAATGATCGAGTCTCAGCTTCGACACCCCTGCAGCAACACACGTTTGTCTCCCCCACATTTGGTGATAAGATAGACGAGGGAAGCTTTGCCATGACGACTACATGGGACGAGGTTGATCCGACTGTTCGTGGTTCCCGTACATCATAATCTCCATTACGAGCACTCTGCTCTAGCCTGAAGATAAGGCTCTCATTCGCGTGCTTGTACTCCGGAGCTCGAGCTGCTCAGCGCAACCCACCACCGAAACGCCCCACTGACGACTCTGGACTCTGCCGGTGGACATCCCTCAACCCGTCTGCCGAGATGGCCACGCGAGCAGGATCAATGTCCAAGACGTTATCTGTATTCGTTCGAGCCGAGTATCTGTCCAGTGAACTTGCCATTGCCTGTAGAGCACTGGGGTCAGCAAACACGAGCCGCAGTTCACGCCACCCACCACGCCGAAACCCATTACAAGGTAAGAAGAGCGAGTCGCCATCTCCGCAGTCGGAACCGTCACACACCACTTGTGACTCGACCAGCAAAATTGCTTCTGCATACTCCGTACTTGGGTTTCATATCAAGGCATCATGAGACCACATGAAACTAATACATCCACTCCCTAGCCTCCTCTCTTCCTCCTCCCTCTCACATCCAGTCCTCCGGCCGCCGCAACATGTCGTCGACGCCCCGCCTACGCAGCCTCAATATTGACAATATCAATCCTCATGTGAAGGAAGCAAAGTACGCCGTGCGAGGCGAGCTTGCCATCAAGTCAGAGGAGTTGCGTGTGCAGTTGAAACGAGGAGACCCTCCGACTCCCCCAGAAAAGCCTCTGCCCTTCGACACCGTCATCTCTGCCAACATCGGCAACCCGCAGCAACTCGACCAGAAGCCCATCACATTCTTCCGCCAGGTGCTTGCCCTGTTGGAGTATCCCGCACTGCTACAGAATGAGGAGGTCTTGAAGTCGAGTCTTGGCTACAACCAAGATGCGATCGACCGTGCGCGTTGGCTGCTGAAAGAGGTGCAGTCGGTGGGAGCATACTCACAGTCTGCTGGCGCGCCAGGGATACGGCAATCCGTTGCCAATTTCATCGAGCGACGAGACGGCTTTCCGTCGCACAAGGACCATATATACCTCTCTGCCGGTGCCTCATCGGGCGTCAATACTCTTCTCCACATCATCTGTTCCAAACCAGAGACGGGAGTACTCGTCCCTATACCACAGTATCCTCTGTATACGGCAACCCTGACTGTCCTCAATGCCCGGTGTGTCCCGTACTACCTCGACGAGTCTCAAGCTTGGAGCACGGAACTCGCAACCATTAGAGAAGCGTACGACAAGGCAGTCAGTGAAGGCACTGATGTCCGTGCCATTGTCATCATCAACCCCGGCAACCCCACGGGCGCCTCGTTACCCGAGAAGGACGTGGAAGAGACGATCAAGTTCGCTGCAGAGAAGAACCTTGTCATCATGGCTGATGAAGTCTACCAGACAAACGTCTTTGTTGGCGAGTTCCACTCCTTCAAGGGCGTGTTGCGGAAATTGCAGCAGAAAGAGCCAGGCAAGTACGACAATGTGGAGCTGGCCTCGCTCAACTCGGTATCCAAGGGCATGGTCGGCGAATGCGGTCATCGTGCAGGCTACTTTGAACTTGTCGGTTTCGACCCCGAAGTGCAGGCACAGATATACAAGTTCATCAGCATCATGCTATGCCCGCCCGTCATTGGCCAGTGTCTACTAGAGATGGTGGTGAACCCGCCAAAACCAGGCGATCCCAGCTTTGAACTCTACGATCAGGAATACAACGGCGTCAAGAATGGACTGAAAGAGCGGGCCACTGCCCTGTACGAGGCATTCAAGCAAATGGAAGGCGTCGAGGTCGGAGAGCCACAGGTAAGCATTGGTCGCCTTTACTTTCACACCAGATCACCCTCGACCACGTGCTGACAAAAGCTACGCAGGGCTCAATGTATCTCTTCCCAACCATCACTGTCCCTCCAAAAGCAGTCGAGGCGGCCAAAGAGGCGGAGCGATCCCCCGATGAGTTCTACTGCCTCCGTCTTCTCGACGAGACCGGCATCTGTGTCGTACCGGGCTCGGGCTTCGGCCAAAAACCAGGCACACTGCATCTGCGGACAACGTTCCTTGCACCTGGCACCGACTGGGTCGGGAGATGGACGAAGTTCCACGAGAAGTTTATGGACAAGTACAGATAGTTGGATTTGAGAGTGAGGGCGATCTGGGTTGACTCGGACTTTGGCAGCCGCAGCGGCATCTGGGTCCGGTCAGTCAACGTCGGCCATTGGTATTACTGTCCGTTATATCTGTTTCGGCGACTGTATAACACCCAGTCCAGGTTCACCTATCAATCAACCCTCCCAATCTCGCAGTTACACTGCATCCTCTCCTCCATGTCCAAAAACTCGTTGTGAAGGCCTCGCGCATCGGTCGTTAAAACTCAACCAGAAACCCCATGCCCACCCTCGGAACACATGTGTATATGCACGCTCGGATTCTGTACCCCTACACGGTCATCTTGAACTTCAACTTGTCCTCCTTGACGATCTCGTCCTTCTTGGCCTGCAACTCGTCCACGTCCCACGTGACGGCGAGATATCTCCCACTCAACCAGTCCCTCCTCTCCTTGGTCAGCCAAGTCAACCAACCGCCACACAGGCCGATATCTTCGCTCATGAGGGTATCCCACGCGTCTCCCTTCTGCGTCGAATGATGCTCGGTTTGAGGGGTCAAGACGGCGCCCGGATGGACGGCGAAGGCCAGCAGGCCCTGGGCCTTGTGGTCCTCGGCCATGTGCTCGACCATGCGGTTGTTGGCCAGTTTCGCGACATTGTACGCCGTGGGCACAAAGTTGCTCTGCGTCAACTGGCTGGCCAGACTGGTCATGACGATATAACTGCGCACCGCGCTCGGGTTCTCCGGCGCGACGAGGATCGGCGTGAAGTATTTGGCCACGTAGTACGATCCGAGCAAGTTGATGTCGATGACGCGCTGGAAGTCGTCGTCCTCGACGATGCCCCGGGGCAGCCGGCGGTTCGACTTCTCCCCCGTCTCGGGGTCGACGTCGTAGACGTATTCTGAGATGACACCCGCGTTGGCCACCACGACGTCCAGCCGGCCCTTCCACTTCTGGCGGACCTGCTCGGCCAGGCTCTTGACCGCCTCGGGCTTGGTCGTGTCGCAGATGGACGACAGGATCTCGAGCTTGGGGTTCACCTCGGCGAGCTGCTTCTCCAGCGCGTCCAGGTCGCCTTGGGTCCGGCTCGAGATGCAGATGCCCGTGACCCCCGCGCGTGCGTACGCCAGCGAGATGTACACGCCCAGGCCCTTGCCCGCGCCCGTCACCACCACGATGTAGCCCGGCGACGGGTTGTTCTCGGGCAGCGTCGGGCCCTCGGCCTTTTGATGCAGTGTGTTTGTGAACTGCATGCCGTAGTGGGGAGGCCAGCGTCCTGATGCCATTGCGCCGGTATGAGCTTGGGAAGTGGAGGCTGAGAGAGAGGGAGAGAGAAGCACCACCACCAGCAGCAGCAACCGGGTGAGGGCAGATCTATGCTGGCTTGTATGATTTCAGGTGTCGTTGGATCAGCCCTCTGTCCTCTGGCCAAACACGGACACAGTGTTCCGTATAGCGCACTGTTTAGGAAATGGATGTGCAGTGAATATCGAGACCGTCGTGGTCGATGCAGTGATCCTGGAGCTTGCTCGCTCACTTACTATGTATCCCCTGACAGTCAAGGTCTCTCTGATTAGACGATGGCTCTAAACCAGGTGCTTTGCGAGAAGAGAGCCGGGATCAATCACGGGCAGGTACGGGCGTAGGTATGGTAACGGGCCGTCTAAGTTTTGAGTCGGAGTCTGAGTCTCAATGTCAGTGTCAGTGTCAGTGTCAGTACTTCGGTATGTGTATGTGTCTGGCCACCGACAAACGCCCAAGCCCCATGTTCGACCCCCCGCACCACGGGGATAGCCCACCATTGCATTGCCTCGTCCGGTACTGGGTGTACTGGGTACTCCGGACCTCTTCCTGCCTGGCTACTGACTGTCCTGCGAACCTCGTATCGGGGCTTTGACTCCCGTCGTGTCCTCGGCTCGGCTCCACTTCCTTGTCCCCCGCATAAAGCCTAGTCCTTCCCAGACAGTCCCGTGGTTGGGCACGAGGGGTATCATGGATCACCATTCCCTGTGCCGTTCCCTTATCTTCGGCAACCATCTTCCTTCGCCCCAGGGACGTACCCGGTAAGGCTGTTGGCTCCGATCCCCGACCGCTAGAGCCTCGGATCTTGTATTCGTAAGCGATCTGGATCCGGACCTGACACTGATACCGACACTGACACTACACTGACACTGGCACGTCGTAGTCAGTGGCCATGCAGGTAACTGCTGACGGATTGTGCCAAGTGTGTGTCGTTAATTGTCCTCCACGGCTGACGAGCGAAATTGAAGACTTAATTAGACCTTGGCTCGGCGGTTTGACACCCGGATACTGACTGTATTGTTAGAAGACGGTCAATGACCCCTGAAGAACCTCACTCGCCGGTGTAGCGCGCACAGAGCAGCGCGCGCGTGCATCAGATATGTAAGAAGAGCAGGCGTTGGAGCTGATGACAGGCTGCAGTATTCACCGGGTACATAGTATTGTAATGTGCTCCGCGGGTTGTGACTTACTGGACGGAGTAACAATGGCGCCAAATTCCCCACAAGAAGCTTTCAGGGATGTTTCTCTTGTTTGTGCCTTGTACAGGCCGAGGAGTGACAGTCAGAAGCGTGTGTGAGACTTGACGCGCGACAACCTCGGCGTCATTCGACACGACGAGGCCGTGAATCGACGTGGTGCTCTCGCTTCACCGTGGACGTCGTCTCCGGTATGCTGCACCGAAAGACTCCAAGGTGAGTGCGTGTACGACCGAGGTATCGCATGAGAGATGAGATGATCAATACCTGCCCGGCGGTGGAGGCCAGTTCTCCCCTTTCTATGAAACAGACACATTCCCAATGGACGTGGCCTCCATGGGAGAGCAGTCACTGCTGCGTTCTCGATGCGGTCGCCAACACGCAATTGCTCGGAAAGAATCTACCTTGTGTACACAGTACCCTCTACACCGCAAAGACGGATATCTACAGTACAATTGCAATACCTGGAATTAACGTTATTATCACGGACGATCACCGATACTTTCTAATACTTGCCGTATCTCCACGACAATGGGGCAACATATCCCAGGTGTGCATCCGCCTTCGAGGACCAACACAAAATCACATCGAAGCCTTGGAAACATCGACCACAGATTTACGAAACATACCACGGACTTCTGATATACCTGGATGAACTAGTTTTCACAACCACCCTAGAGTACAGCGGATGAGTCGTCAAGACTCCTGGCCCCAACCCACGGCCAAGGGAGAGCGACTTGGATCCTATCGATTATTCAGATCCTGGCCTATTCAGATCCTGGCCTATTCAGATCCTGGCCTATTCAGATCCTGGCCTATTCAGATCCTGGCCTATTCGGAACCTCTGCTCTCGATGCTTTCGCAGAGGTTGGAGGCTCGAAAAGCCAAATTACTCGTACCCCCTCGTTACCGCGCGCAGAATCAATGCTGTGTTGATGCTCAACTACGCGATCCAAGATAGTTCATCTCTCTGTGCGGTGAGTATCAAGAGACGGGGCTTCAAAACAGATGGTCTTCCTCCTCCTTTACACCAAGAGAACAAGGCGATGCGATGGTAGCTATGCTTTGTCTCTCACGGGTAACTAAGTGACCGACTATCCTCTGTGGGCCCCGGTCGTCGAGATCTCCATGTTATTGTGATGCGCAAGAGGGCGATATTACCCTTCCCTCGTCGTTGGTGGCGAATTACTCCGCCGCCTGTCCTTGAAGCCAACCCCTCAGGATGAGGACGAGGGCAGGCGAACTTGGAGCCGATGCGAGAGGCCATTGTTTTCGGAAATTGTCAGTATTTTGTGGTGATTTGGGAAAATCTGTTCAAAGTGCCTAAGAGACGCGGCCACGAACATACATTTATAGATACCACATCCCACAGTAGAACAGTCGCATCTACCGGCCCACCAGCCAAGGGGCGAAGCCTCAGGCCACACACATCAGATATATACTTATACTCTATACGGAGTACCGCTGGACACCCTGGAACTCCGTTGGCTTGGTCGCAATACAATATCGAACAGGCCTGCGACTCAAGTGCGACTCGACGTTCAATTTGGGGGCCAGGCTTCGACTCTAGGCAATCCGACTGTGTCGCTGGTAGTCGTGAGCACCAGAGCAAGTATTGATGCGTGGAAGCAAGGCTAGGCGAAAAGCACCACGGCACGGTTTGATCACTACCGCTGTCCCCCAAAGGTACCCATTACTTGAGCGGGAGGATGGAAGTACACAAGCTTAGCGACGCTAATGAGGCCCAGCGAAAGATGTAGTTTGGCGCTGCTTTACTCGGTCCGCAGGTGCTCGTACTGTGTACCCAGTACATATAAGTCACTGACTTGGTGCTTGCGGTGGGTCGAGTTAATGACACAGGTAAATCTGTCTGGATATATAGTTCTAAGGAGCATATCAGAGCAGCTTCTGTGGATGGGTGGATGCCAGCGCACGCGACTTTCGCACCGGCTGTGGAAACGGATGGAATGCCCTTTCCCCAACAGTTGCTCACATGTGCAACTTGAACCTGAACAGCAAATGGAGGGATCAGGTCTTGTCCTCCTACGGTGTAGAACTTCGCCGCAGGTTCTGAAAGTCCACAATAAATCATTTGACGTTCTCAACGGTACATATGGTCAAGGATGACGGGCTCGTTTGATGCGCCATTTGTTGTCGGAGAAGAGTGGGTGCCTCTTATGACTGTGTGTATTTCTGTGTTTGTAAGCGTTGGGACATCGCCCACGCGAGAATGCCACCATCCCGTGGTTCTGACTGCGACCAGGGTTGGAACAGATGACGATTCCTGGTGTTGTTATACTTGGAAGACAGGCCAGAATCAGCACCGACCTAGGTAGGCGACCCCACCGTCTGCAGTTTCACGGCCACTGAGCTTTTCCTGAAGGACCTTTCGGATCCCCCATCCTTCTCGCAATCCGAGCAGGCATGTCCAGGGCTTGACAGGTAATTTTGCAATCCAAGCTAAGTTCCAAAGTCGTTGCTGGTCACCATTTACTGGCGTCATCCAAAACGTGCCACTTCACTTCCGGGGTGCTGACATGCGCAACCAGCGAGGTAAACTCTTGACCTCCTCTAAAGTCGTGAGCCTTATATCTGGTGTATCGGGCCTCTTCTCGGGGCAGTATCGCTTGATGATACCGCCAAATGATATTCGTCTCGGAGATACAAATGGCTCCGATCCGTGGTTACGCTGATCCACTCAATCAGCGCCCAGGTGTGGATGCTTTGTATTGTCGTTGTCGAACAGTTCGAAGTGTTGCCGGTAGAGCTTTCTCGGGATCCAGACCAATGTGTCGTATATTTGGGTGCCAGCCACGCAAAGTAGCGTGCAGTAGAACTGCCATATAACCAGTAGGAGAACTCCCACGCCCCATGGAAGGAGGAATTTGATCCATTCAGTGGTCTGGTAGAGGTCGTTCTGTGACTGAATCCAGTACCGCGTCTTTTCGCCGTCACCCTGTTGCTTTGTGTGCTCGTCATTTCCGGCAGCGGAGTGGATACTGAAGTCTTCGCTTGCTTTTGTGGCCTGCCCCGTGCCAACCTCGTTCGGGGTCAAAGGCTCTAGGGACTGTCTGCGCTCGAGATGTGTCGGAGTACGATCCGTGGTCAGTTGGAGGACGGTAACCAGTTTGACCGGCGCATTGTAGAAAGGGACTACCCATAGCTTGAAGTTCTGATGCAAGGAGACATAGAGGCGCAGGTGCTGCTCATCGTATGCTATTCTCGTGTCAATGATTTCAGCTCCTCAGCTGGTGACACCATTGACATACCGACTCCATCGACCGCGACATCAATATGTGGGCTGAGAATCTTATACCACCGATATATCATTACAATGAACCATATCGACCCCGGGAAGCTGCCTGTCCGACAGAAAGGGTGGGTAAATGAAGCTGTCGATGTGAAGTAAGTCTCGATTGCTGCTCGTTGGACATCTGGCGGAGCGGTGCATAGCAGATGGATGACTCGCGGAATCTCCGCCACTGTGAGCGACCGGTCAGAGCTGCGTGGGCTGTCCAGGAGAAGCATGATGGGAGCATACCAGGATTCTCCATAGCCGATACCTAACAGCTGAGCTGTACCAAGATCTATCGTCTGCGTAAAATAGCTATTCGTGTCGCGCCGAATCTGCGAATGTGGTGGTGTTGAAGTTACTCCTCTGGAGGGTGGACAGGAAATATCCAGCTTCCGTGCAGAAGGTCAAAAAGCTCATGGAGGAAGCCGCGCTTCGACTAAGACGACAGCCCGGGCAGCGTGTTCCTCCACCATGGTTGCTGCCAGTATACGGGACACCCGGTCACGCCGGTAGACTGAGGTGACGACAGACTCGGAAATTTAGTGGGTACAGCTGCATCCGACATGTGACGTCATTTTTACGCGCGGCGATGGAAACTCTGTGGCGTGGTGGCACTTGGAGGACTACTGCAATTATTTCCGGATCGCCTTCTGAGTTTGCACGTTCACAGAGTGTGGTGCAATACTCGTAGCGACCCTCCACCCGCCTGAAGATGTGTCACGTCAGGAACTCCACTCGCCCCCAGAACTCGTCCCCTCTAGTCCTGGTAATCGGCCTTGGTGTATCCTAGCCCATTTCTCAACCTGTCCTCCTGCTCCACGATGCTCGCTGGCAAGTTCTTTCCGATGCCGAAGAACACAAACAACGCCCATTTCCATCTGAAAGGATTGATCAACGTGATGAAGCAGAACCAGTAAAGCAGCTCCGAATAAGTGAAGAAGTCGAATGCCTTGGTCGGAGCCAGCGACTTGATCGCGCTGGTGAACTATAGAGCTGTGAGAACGTGCATGGATATGACGGGGCCCGGGGAATAGTGGCAGCGACCAGAACTTACATCTACCCATCTTTTCATCCACCAGGTGCGCGGCGTGGTAAGCGGGTCGACAAGGAACATCAGCAGCATCCGAGTATAGATCCCGATGTGATAGTTGCCAACAGTCCTATCGTGTCAAGAGCGTCAGTGGGTTCCGGGGCAAGGGAGTGGGAAGTCACTTACCCGACAGCCGAGACATAGGTCGAGTTGATCGCACATATGGATGGCTCGGCAGGAGGAAAACATTGGATGAACCATCGAGGCGGCTGGTAACCCTCCTCAAAGCAGTCGTCGGGCAGGAAGTCGAGGCTAGGCCGCTTGTATCCAGTTGCCATGATGATCATATCACCTTCGACAAGCTTATGCCGCCCAGGTCCACCTTTGGGCACGCCTTTCGCACGATGGTTGAAGAAGATGCCGTTCTCACGCACCTCCTCGATATCACCACGAAGCCAAGCTGCCTTGCCTGCACGAATCTGGTGGAAAATCTCCGAATTGACCATGGGTGTCTCGGTGAAAAGCCCTTGGTCCGCAGGCGCAATATCCCTCAGATCGCGGTAGAAGAAGAGACGCAGCAGGTTCTCAGGGATCCAGGACAGGATGGTCTCTTGGCCGAAGATATTGAAGGCGAGTAGTCCATCCACAAAAGCGTTCCTGGGTATGATCCACTTGTCGGATCTTGCGAGAACCTTTATTTCTGCGGCACCCGTGTTGACAGCCCATTCTAGTGCTTCAACAGCGCTTGCACCGCCGCCGACGATAAGAATCCTTTTGTCCTTGGCGTCCTTACCATCCAAACCAGAGGAGTGGAAAATGTCGCCTCTGAACGTTTCCTGGCCTGGCAGGTGTGCCATTTTTGGTTGTCCACAGGTTCCGATAGCTGGGATGATTCCGTCGAATCTCCCATTGGAGGGATTGTTGATGATCCAGCGCCCTAGCTTGTCTTTGTAGATTTTCTCGACACGTGTATTGAAGTGCGTTCTCTCGTCGAGTTGGTAGCGATGCCATAGTTGCCGGACCTGGTCAACAATCTGGTGCTGCTTGGGATAGCCTCCTTCCCAGTGCACGGAAGGGTGAAACCGGTACATGACACTGTGGATTTGTAGACCGGAAGTAGTGTTGACATCCGTCCAGATGCCGCCGACATGCTTTTCGTCCCCGGCTTCAAACAACGTCACCTCGAATCCGTGACCGACACAGTGAGCTGCTGCAGACACGCCGGTAAGCCCGGCACCGATGATAGCAATCTTCGGCCGGCGCAAGTGCGCATTGGGCGGCGGGGGATGGGGAGAGAAGATCTTGTCGAGGATCCACTGAATAAGGGTATACAACCAGAAGACTGGGCTGAAGGCCATCTTGACGACGCCCACACAAACAGAACAATACGTGAGGGATAGTGGGAAGGTCTGAAGTTCTCAACAACGCCGTGGCTCTGTAAAAAGAGTCCTTCAGAGCTGGGGGCGTCATCATGCAGGTACTCATTCATGGTCCACTGTGCCTGCTTGACCCGCTGGCGATGTCATTGGTGGATCACTCCGGAAGTTCGCAATTTTGGGAAGCATGTGAAAATCGCCCGGTCTCACATGTGGCTGGTGTGCCGCGGCGTGGAATAAGGCTGAAGGAAGTTGACGAGGCTGGGTAAACAATTCTTATGGTATGTCTATCCGCAGGAGAACCGCCCACAGATAACGTCAGCAGACGGAGAATTTGTTGAAGGGTGAGTTGTCCCGTCACAATCGAAGTCCGACCCGCAGACTTCCCGTCGCCCTCACCACGCAACTGGCTGTAACCCGATTCCAGCGAATATCGGTGGTGGTATCGGGCGATCGAAAAGGCCGTAATTGCGGTTCGAAGGCATCAACGGAGCATTCCAAGTTGTAGCTGCTGCCGACCCACTGGTCGTGGTTAGGACGGAGACTGTTGCAGGCGCAATCGAGAGACAAGATGTAGTCCGGAAGAAGATCACAAATAGAAAGCAGGAGCTTAGTATCAAGTGCATCGCGAACACGAGGTAGCTGGCATTGATGGCCTGCTTCACCAAGGTGGCTCACGAAGAAATATAGCTGAGTTGTGAGTTTGACATTTGCTTACCATGGCAACGTCAAGTGGTGTTGCTCGAGCCACTCCGCAAAGGTGCACCGACCTGCAAGAGATCAACAGTGACATCTTGTATACTCGAACACGCAGGTTTAACTTGAGATCACATTGGAGTGTCTCTCAAGATAGAAGTGTTACGCGTACACACCGAGCCATCAGCAACGTATTGAGAGGCGGTGCAGAGCAGCAAGACGCGGCGCACACCTCCAACCATCACTGAAAGACGAAGCCGGATTTGTTTCGGCTCAGGCCAAGCATTTGTGTTTCGGTCATCTGTCAGCCAATCGAGGCAAGCCCCAGTCCCGGGTAACGCGCCGTGGCTCAGCGCCGCCCAGCTTGCGTGTTTCATGCCTAAACCTGACCCGATCAGTGGGGTACCGCCCATAATGCAGCCCATAAGAAGCAGGAAGACGTCACGTCACATTCAGTTCAACTTCAACTGAGGCGCTGCCACTGCGACTATCCAACTTTCTCTGCGCTTGATAACCACCCTCCTTTTCACCTTTCATGATTACAATCCTCTTCTAGTACTAGCAGATACACAGTTAGTCTGACTCAATTCCGCAAAACTATCTCGCAAGGTGCGTATTCGAGGCTTCAACATGTGGCAAGACTGACATGGTCTCCATAGCACCTCAGCCTCGTCCAGTTTGCAACATGCCTCCTTCTACCTCGTCGACCTCGAGCATCACCAAGGGCGTCAAAGGTCCGACTAAGCCATGCATTCCATGCGACTGCGGGGATTATGAGTGTGATTGTTTTATTTGCCCATGCCTAGTCATGTGACTTGCAGTCAAAACGCGATGCCATGGCAAGAGGATATGTGCAAAAGGGTGGTGGACATGAAGATATAGACTGAACGCTGGTGGACATCAAAGAGTGCCTGAAAAAAAGCCACTTGATAGTCGTAAAGCTGTTCGGAGTTCTGGATTCACCGCATCAAAAGATCGGCCGGTTACCGACGTTCACAACGGAGGGCGGGGACATGAGACCACGACGTTCTCTGGATGACCAAGACAACTGGGTCAATAGCTGCGAAAGACAATAATCTTTTGCACCAGCACCATACTATGGCGGCCCTGCAGTGCCAGCATGTTGCCTTGAGTCTGCTTGACCCGATCCCGTCAAAAGATACGAGTGCGGTTCATCATCAGACACATCGCTCACACTCAGTTCGAACTGTTCAGCAGCTTCCTCCAAATCCCTGGATCTGGTTTTGGATGCCTTCTTCGAAGTATAGTCTGCCCGACTAGGATATGGCATATCGCATTTGAGATGCCTCAGTGGCCGATAGTATCGTCGATAGGTGGTATACGCGACCGCCATGCCTAGGAGGCTTCCACATGTGACGTCGTAGATATCGTGCCTGTAGTCGGCTAATCGTGACATTGCCACCAACGAAGCACCAACCAGGGGAGCAAGAAAGATCAGCACCCGAGCTAGATCCGCGTGAGGTCGAAAGACATGCAGCTGGCCAGCCAGGAACAGACTCAGATATCCAAGTCCAGAAAAGGCCCAACTGCTATGACCGCTCGGGAAACTGCGCCATCCGTCGTGCAACGTGTGGTGATGTGTCTCGGTACAGACGTCGATGGTGATCAGATCGTGCTCCGGCGTCCCTCGCTCGGGTTTGCACCGTGCTATCAGGTCCGGCCGAGGGCGGCCAATGGCATTCTTGATAATGTCGGTCAAAAGTACAGTGAGAAGCAAGCTGATGAAAAGCCCAAGAATGGTAACATGCGCCTTATGCACGCCTGGCCTGAACACAAGGGCCCAAACGGTCAACAAAACAAGAGGGCCGACCCCAGCAAATAGGATATTCTCCAAAGACGACACGCGTTCGACGAGGGCGTGTGGATACTGTCTTGCGCGATCATCCAGGCGGAACATCTGGTGGACTGGCTCAAGAAAGTATTCAGCCTGGAGAGAGCGTCAACAGTCAAGCGCGTTCCGAAATGTGCTCTCACATACCCAAACATTCGCAGTGAGAAGCAGTATGATCCCAAGATATTCAGCGGCATACGACCGCTGCCAGAACCGCCTGCAGGCGGCGACGATCCCGGCCCCGTCAACACTCGCCTGCCTCATCGTTTGGCTTGCGGAGTTGCCGCGGGATCATCAGGCCATAGGGCCACGTCAACGCTGATATATAATCGATACGAGATTGGAGTGATGTGAAGTCCAGGGAGACAGTGAAGAGAACAATCAAGGCAATGAACAGGAGCAAAGTCGAATCCCGCAAATTGGTCGTTCTCATTGGTCAGCCTGCGACATCACAGACTTCGCGCATCTCTCGAGCTTTCGCATCCTCTTTTACCGTGCAAATTCGACCATCATCATGGCAGAAGCAGAACAACCGCAGCAAATCCCAGAGGCGGCCTATCCGGCGCCACCCCCATTCTGGCGACACTTCACGCTTGCCAACGAAGAAGAATTGAGAAAGCTCGAGGAGTCTTCACCTGGAGACCAAACGCCGCAGAAACTGCCCTTACATCTGGCCTACCTCCGTCCTCCACCTCCGCCTCCAGCCACGGCAGAGTTCTACACAACCTTTGGCCAGAAGCAAGTCATTGATCCGACCAAGCCCTCATCCCTGCCTACAGACCAACTGCTCTTCGACCCAGATGATCCCAACCTCAACCATGCCGTCCTTTTGAGCAAGCTCACAAAGTCGCTTCTTTTGAACTTCCTCGAACTGACAAGCATCTTGTCTCTGGATCCTACCAAGCACGAGGAGAAGATGGCGGACATCAGACAGCTGGTCTTGAACATACATGTTGTGATCAACATTTACAGACCTCATCAAGCTCGAGAGAGTGTCAAGGAAATGCTCATAGGGATACTGGAGGACGGGCAAAGGGAGATTGACGAGTGTGATCGACTGAAAGAGAGAATCGAGGAATTTCTCTCGGATGTGGGACAAACCGAAACTCCACGTCGAGATGTTGAACACCAGAACGATGCCGGGACGAATGATGAGGTATCCCAGGACCAGATGATGGAAAAGCAGCGGAACCTATGGAAACAGATTCATGATATGACTTGATGGAATGACTGCTCGGATTCTCTCTATCACTGCCCGCTGCAGGCTGGCACGATCACAAGATTCTACCGTGGCGCCTCTATGCTAAATTCTTCCGACGAAGCCCTCCCTCCCTCAGGACAGGAGTTGACTACACGACTTCAACAACTAAACGTTGATCTCGGCAACCCCACTGGCCAGGATCTGCTCCTTGTACGGTCCAAGCGCAGGTTCCACGGCCTCTTCGACGAATTCATCCACCTGTTCAGGTGCGCGGCCGACAAACTTGGACGGGTTTAGGAGGTCTCCAGGTGTCAATTCGCCCCATATCGGCTCGAAGAACTTCTCTTGCTTGATGCGCTCGACCAGGTCATTGGGCTTACCCTCGCCTTTGACGACCGCGCCCGCCAGATGCGAAAGCACCCGAATTTGCTCGTGCGTCTCTTGTCGGCTAGCGCCCTTCTCAACCATCCGCATTATGATCGTTTCGGTGGCCATGAACGGGAGCTCTTGCTGAAGGCGGGCAGAGATGACCTGAGGGTATACCACGAGGCCCGAGGACACGTTGTCGAGGAGGATACACAAAGCGTCTGCTATCAGAAACATTTCTGGTATATCGATCCGTCGGATTGCTGAATCGTCAAGAGATCGCTCAAACCATTGGTGGGCATAGGTCGCTCCGAAGCCCGAGGCCAGCGTCACCAGCTTCCGGGCCAACGAACACATACGCTCCGATCTCATAGGATTGCGCTTGTACGCCATGGCAGACGAACCAATTTGATCCTTCTCAAACGGCTCTTCGACTTCCTTCAGCATTGCCAGATGACGAAGGTCTGTTCCGATGTGTTCGCATGTGGTGCCGAACGAAGCAAGAACATTGGCAACGTCAAAGTCGATCTTCCGGTTGTAGGTCTGGACTGAGACGATGGAGCGTTTGATGAACCCAGCCTTCTTCGTCACTAATTTGTCGAGCTCCTTGACCTTCGTGTGGTCGCCGTGGAATAGTTCCAGGAAGGACGCTTGTGTCCCTGTGGTGCCCTTGACGCCTCTGAAGACGAGGTCCCCTCGAGCGCGTTCGAGGTTCCTCAGGTCCATGAGCAGGGATTCCACCCACTGCGTCGCCCGTCGGCCGACTGTGATGGGCTGTGCGGGCTGCCCGTGGGTGAAGCCTAGACATGGCAGTGCTTTGTACTCGACCGAGAAATCCGAGAGTCTCTTGATGCACTTGGCCACCTTTGGCAGTAGAATGGAAAGTCCGTCTCTCAGGAAAATCAAGTCGGCGTTGTCCGTCACATAGCAGGATGTAGCTCCCAAATGTATCTTCCCAGCGGCGGCTGGGGCTCGTTCACCGAATGCATGCACGTGGGCCATCACGTCGTGTCGTCGTCGCTTTTCCTCCACTGCGGCGACCTGGAAGTCATCGTCTGTCATGACCTTGGCAGCCTCCATCTGCGTGATTGCCTCTTCTGTGATATCGAGACCCAGTTCCTTCTCCGCCTCTGCTAGCCAGATCCACAATTGACGCCATGTTGAAGCCCGAGTGCGTGGAGAGAACAAAGTGAGCATTTCCTTACTGGCGTACCGGCCCACAAGTGGGCTTTGCCAGGTGTCGTAGGACATTTTGGGGATGGCTCCCTTTAGCAGTACAGAAGTGATCGAAGAGTACCAATTCTGGAGATCAGTTGTACCGCGCAAGGGTCGAGCATGAGAAAATCAAGTTCATGCTGGCGCAAATATCGCTCATGCCAAGATCATCCTGCAAATATGTTCTGCTGGTCTGACAGGCGAATTTGATCTTCCTTTGGAGCAGCGCCTGAGTCATCTACACTGTCATTCGCGGTCATCCGCCCTCATATTAGTGAAGTTCGCAGAGTTTGCTACGGAGAAGCAATCGCCGTAGTATCGTCTTCACTGTCAGACCGCCGAATTTTACCCGACCAAAGTTTTTCCACCGACTCCAACAATCAGTGCACCGTGGCATCGCTGTTTGCTCGTGTCAGTACCCACCTCAATGTCGAAAAGCGAAAAGAGGAAAGGACCTCTGGCGCCTCAGAAGTCCCGCAAAAGGCAGAAAGTGTCCCTCCAAACCAAGTCTCACGCGAACAAAGGCCCCGTTATTCGTGGCGACGCGTTGAAATGGAAGACTGTCGCTTTACCGAAGAGACTGGAGGACGCAGAAGGTTTCTATGGCTTGGAGGAGATTGACGATGTCGAAGTGGTCCGAGACGAGAGCAACAACCATGTGATGTTCAGGCCCAGCTCGGCGGCCGCCGTGGATATTGCTCATGGCGACTTCGAAGGCTCTGGGGAATGGTCGGGGTTTGACGACAACAATGACGGTGTAACCCCAGCACCTCTACTGAACGGTGTGTCGGCCGATTCTACTGACGGTGTTTCGAAGCACTCGAAGCCGCACAAAGGACTTGAGCACAAGTCTCAGCCCAAAGCCAAGAGGAGGGAAGAGATCACTGCCGATATGAATTTCGATATCCTTCGAGAGCGGTCGGAAGAGTCAAAGGTTGATGTTTCAGCTTGGCAGGACCTCGCCCTGTCGCCCATTACCCTATCCCAACTCTCACGTCTGGGGTTCAGTAAACCTACGCCAATACAACGAGCCAGTATCCCTGCCATCACCCAGGGTCACGACGTCATTGGCAAAGCTGTCACAGGATCAGGAAAGACCCTCGCATTTGGCTTGCCGATATTCGAGAGCTGGCTTTCCGGCGAGGATCAACCGACGAAAGGCACCAACAGTGGTGATGACGCGATCTTGGCTCTCATCCTCGCACCTACGCGAGAGCTAGCTCTGCAGCTGAACAAGCATCTGAACGAGCTGTGCATCGGCCTGGAGAGGCGCCCAAAGATCATCGCTGTTACCGGTGGGCTGTCCATCTATAAACAACAACGACAGCTCCAAGACGCAGACATCGTGGTCGCGACACCAGGACGGTTCTGGGAGGTGATGAACGATGCTTCTACCAATCAAGACGTGGATGCTCTGGTCGACCGGCTGAAGAAGATTAAGTTCTTGGTGGTGGATGAAGCAGATCGCTTGTTGAGTGAAGGTCACTTCAAAGAGGTTGAGGAGATTCTCGACGCGCTGGACCGACAAGTTATCGACGAGGACAATGACGGCGAAGCAACGGAGAAGCCGCCGAACTCTGACCGGCAGACTCTTGTATTTTCTGCCACGTTCCACAAAGGTCTGCAGCAGAAGCTTGCCGCGAAGCAGAAGACTGCAAAGCGGTCTGACAGCAATCTTCTGAGCAACCACCAATCGATGGAATACCTGCTTCGGAAACTCTCCTTCCGGGAGGAGAAGCCCACTTTCATCGACGTCAATCCCACCTCGCAAATGGCGACTGCGCTTTCCGAGTCCATCGTCGAATGCGCTGCCATGAAGAAGGACCTCTATCTCTACTCCGTCATGATGCAGAATCCGGGCAAAAAGATTCTGGTGTTTACGAACAGTATCGCAGCCGTCAAGAGAGTGACTGCCTTTCTCCAAGCTCTGAAGCAGCCCGCAGTGGGTCTGCACTCGACAATGCCACAAAAGTCGCGATTGCGGTCACTCGAAAAGTTCACAGCTCAGAGTACAGTGCTTGTAGCTACGGATGTCGCAGCTCGAGGCTTAGACATCAAAGGTATCGAGTTGATTATTCACTACCACGTACCCAGGACCGCAGACATGTACGTGCATCGATCTGGAAGAACGGCTCGTGCCGAGAATTCCGGGCGGTCCATCCTGCTTTGCTCGCCAGACGAAGTCGCTGGTGTGAGAAGGTTAATCGCTGAGGTACACAAGACCGACGAGCCCCCAGATACTATTCAGTTGGATGGAAGACTCGTGCAACAGCTTGAGCCTCGCGTGGCACTGGCACAGAAAATCACGGATGCTACTCAAGCCAAGGAGAAAACAGCGAGCAAGGACGGATGGTTGAAAACCGCGGCCGAAGAGCTTGGTGTGGAGTATGACAGTGAAGAGTTCGAGACACAGGGGCAAAGAGGCAAAAGGGGACGGGGTGGCGGGCGGGCCAAGAAAGAGAAAGAAAATGCCACGATCAGCAAAGATCAGGTCTCTGAATGGCGGTCGGAACTTGACGCTCTCTTGAAGAAAAGAATCAACCTCGGAGTTAGCGAAAGATACATTGCAGGTGGGGGGGTTGACGTGGAAGCACTACTCGAGGGGAGGATGGACCGAGCGTTCCTCAGTCGCTAACCATGTGAGAATGGACGTTCGGAAGTAAGAGACTGGAAACATGACGGATGAGATGGGTCGCCGCTGGCAACTAGCAAAATGGTCATGCCCAAGAGCTGCATTGCCCCAGGCTGCAGTCAAGTGTCGCGGTTTCGATGGCCGCCACCTGCCAGCATTTCGACAGAAGAAGAAACCATTACCAGGTTTGATACAGGAAGCGGCGACTATGCAACTCGAAGCCACTTACTTCTCACAAGTCGAGGTCCCTCTGCGGGCAATACCTCAACATCGGACAGCGCCTGGACACCCCCTTCTTTTACGCCTATCATCACCATGTATCTTCGGTGTGCCCTTCTTTACTGCTAAAGCCCCGCCACTACATCAGTACCACATTGCCAGTCGTCCATTTCTAAGCATGGGCAAGCCTTCTAGCCTTTCCAACTTCAACACATTCGCACCGACCACCATCCACACTTTGTAACGATCATCAGCCAGATACCGCTGGACAGAACAGCTCCTCAAAGTGGGAGCATTGATGCCCGGAGGAGTTTAACCGTACTAACCGCAAGCTCAAAACCAAATTCACCAACTGAAAGCAGACGAGATGGCTCCTCAAGAGGACCCCTGGAGAAACATCCCTCGCCCAAAATTCGGATCGACCGAGGCCTACAATCTCTTAGCTTTGGACGGTGGCGGTGTAAAGGGAATCTCGTCGATGATCGTACTCAAGAAGAGTGAGTCTCCCTGCTTTCAAATGGGACAGACGCATTCGGCCTCTGTCAATCTACACAATACACAGTCCCGAGCTTCTTGAGATTCTAGGCGAACAATCAAGCTGACTTGTATGAAGTCATGGACCGTGTCCGTGAAATCGAGAATGAAGCATGCATGCTGGGAGGCAAACCAACGGATCTCGAGGAACGAAAACCTGTTGATTACTTCGACCTCGCAGCTGGAACGAGCACGGGCGGCCTCATTGCTCTGATGCTGTTTCGGCTCGAGATGAAATGCAGCGACGTGATCGCACAGTATGACACCCTGGCCAAGATGGTCTTCAGTCCGATGCTGGGGACAATTAGGCTCAACGAACTGGGACGTCTGGGGAAATTCATCGGCGATATCTGGCTCACAGTGAAGGTCCTGACAGGTCACTCTCAGTATTCTCACAGGCCACTCGAAAAAGCCATTGACGCCGTGGTCGGCGCATTTCCTCTCGATGATGACGATCGAGCAAAGAAGGGTGATGCAGTGCTCGTCAAGCGCAGCCAGGGTCAGATGTAGGTTGGGGCTTTGACAGCTCTGCACAGCCGCAGACTGACTGTGGCCTAGGTTCATGTGTGCAACCCTTGCCGATAAAGGGGAGAGTATCCTGCTGCGCAACTACGATCCCCCTTTCCCTGCGCTTCCGGTTTCCACCGGGGCTAGAGACCTCGATGTCAACACAATCACCATCAAAGAAGCGGCTCGTGCAACGTCTGCAGCCCCTACATATCTCAAGCAAGCCACGATCCAAGGTCTCAACTTCTGGGATGGCGGTCTCCTGAACAATAACCCCATCGTCCAACTGTGGGACAGTCGAGACGATCTTGTTCCGCGTGATGCAAAATCGCCACGCATCAAATGCATTATCAGCCTGGGAACGTCCCACAAGGAGTACAATCACAAGACGCAAGTCGAATCGGGCATCCAGAGGTTTCTCAACACCATCACCAAAACGGTGGCCTTTGTAACCAACACTGAAGCCAAACATCGTGACTTCGATCGGAACATACGACAGTACAACAGGCGGAGACCGGCCAAGGAGATATTCTATTTTCGCTTCAATGCATCGACAGGCAATGAGGACATCGATCTGGGGGACTACCTGAAGATGTCCAAATTAATCGACTACACGAACGAGTACTTGAGGATGGCGGAGGTAGATAAAAGCATTGACGAATGTGCCGCTCTCCTTGCGAGTACGAACCAGTAGCGAGACTGTGGCTTACTGTAGCACTGGGGAATTCTGTGATTGTGTCCGAGACCAGACTTGGTCCATGACGAATGCTGCTTTCGTGTTATGGCCACAACCGAGACGGAGCAGTCGATCCACCATGTCGCTAAGGGGATATTTGGGCCACTTCCAGGCAAAGATAGATTCAACCTGGCCAGTCGTCCCTTGTTAGACCTGAGCTGGTCTACTCAGCATAGGAAACTTGGATGGGCGGCAGCCTACATTAGAACCTACACACCACCTCTCTTTTGGAGAGTGCTTCCGGAGATTCTATCAGTAGAAGCGTTTCGTAGCTTTCACGCCACAGTTTCTCTTGCTTCCCCCTCCGAGCAGCCAAGTCCTTTGTGTTGATTATGCTTCGGTAAGACATGCATGCACGACCGAATTCATGTTAGGAGGAATCCATCGACACCATTGGCATGTGCTAGGAGAACTAATACATAAGGGGGTACGGAGTATTGTTGAGCGAAATGCTTCGACTCGGGTCTAGGAAAGTCTCTTGACTTCACTCAAGCTGCCATCGTGATTGGGAAGGTTTACATACACAGTACCTGAGGGTTGGCTAGACAGTGCCAAGACGGTGTAATAAACCGTGACCCCCTTTATAAGATACCGTATTACTTACGTGGATCTCTTTAACTACTAGATATATCAATATAGTCAGATCTCTCCTTGGACTCCTCTGAATTCGTCATGTCCTCCGAAAGAGTGTTACACCATGACGCAGCTCCATCAGCCATGAGTAGTCGTACAGTACTACTGCACTCGACCGTTTTAGGCTCAGCGCTTAGGGACGGTATAAACTTCGTCCACTGAAACGTTACTGTACCTGTTACCGAATGGGCGCTGTGTACGGAGTATTTACCGTCTAGTCCGGACTCGTTCATCTGCCAACAGGCACCCGTCATAAAACCTCATCCTTGAAGCGACAGTCAGTATGCTTTAGGCTCTGAAAGATGTGACACCAAGTCCTTCTCCTTCTGGCTTGAAAGGAGCAGCCTGATGTTTCGCCTTCTTTTTCTTCTCGTGGCTTGCCCCGTTTCGCTCTTCAGGCCACAGCTTTCGTGGCTGTCGGCCCGCGATCTGCCTGCTGCCTGAAGTGCTCCGTACTGTCCTCAACACTACACCCCGGGATCTCTACTTTGGGGCCGTCTAATTTGGCCCCTCCCTCCAACGCGTCCCCGATTGCCGAGAGCAGAAGCAATGGCTTCGACGACTCAAGCCCCGGCTATACCGCCGACCATGCGCGCCTGGGTACGCCGACGGCGCGGCCCAGCGGGCAGCGTCCTCGAGCTAGCTACCGGCCTACCGACGCCCGCTGTGCCGCCCCGCTCGTCGTCCGACGTGTTGATCCGCGTATCGCACGTCTCGCTGCAGTTCACCACCGAGATGGTGATGAAGACGGTACCTAACTTGCCCTTCACCGGCCCGTGGATCCCGGAGATCGAGCTGTCAGGTGAGGTGATGGTGGCGGGCGAGGGCGCGCCAGCCGAGGTGCGCGAGCCGGGCACGCACGTTGTCGCCTTTCAAAGTGTCCCATGGCGTCTGCTCGCAGGCCACGGCGTGCTGGCCGAGTACGTGCGGCTACCGGGCAGCCAGGTCGCTCGTGTCGAGACTTCACTTGACATGGCGTCGGCTTCGGGCATTATCTGCTCCGGCAGCACCGCGCTCAAGATGATCCGCACAGTGGGCGTCCGCCAGGGCCACACAGTGCTCGTGAATGGAGCCAGCGGGTCGATCGGGTCGGTGCTCGTGCAGCTGTGCAAGCTGCGCGGCGCCAAGGTGGTTGGCGTGGCCAGCGGCGGCAACGAGGCTATGGTGCGCGGCATGGGCGTCGATGAGGTTTGGCAGCGGTTTATCCGGTGGGATTGCACAAAGAACATGACTGACGCGCGCGCACAGTTCGTCGACTACCGCAAACACGACCCGCTGCCGGCCTACCTGGCGCAGCACTATGGGGACAAGCCGTTCGATTTTGTGCTCGACTGCGTCGGCACGCAGGCGCTCTTCGCCAACTCGCCAGCTTACCTCAAGGCCGACGGCGCTGTGATCAACGTTGGCGCGCTCGAGGGTGTCGGTGTGACGGCGCGCAACATGTTGTTAAACACCTGGCTGCCCACCTGGCTGGGCGGCGTGCCGCGGCGCTACATCATGTTCAGCACTCCACCGGCGCGTGACGACGCCGTCTACCTGGCACACCTGATCGAGGAGGGGCGCCTGCGTATCCCGGTCGACTCCGTCTTCGACGTGGAGGACGCTGTGCGTGCCTACGACCGTATCGCCACGAAACGCGCACGGGGCAAGGTTGTGGTCAAAGTGCGCGGCGACTAGTTTACGGATGTAGGGTATTCCATGAGGTAGTTGGGACACGGTATTACCAGTATTATACTGTACCGAGTGCGAGTAATGGCATCAGTGCTGGGATATGAAAGTCATGTCCGATGAACCGAGTCACCTATTCACTGCACCAATGGACATGGCGCAGAGTTGCGAGAGCCTGACTAGACGCGTGGATGCGATGTAGTAGCTGACGTATGCAGTGACGGTACAAGTATATAATTGATGTTCCTCTTCTACCTATAATTACAAATAAATCACAAACATAATAACCGATGAGTCAGGACAAAGTCAGTGGAGAGTGAGGACAAAGTAGAGAGTAAGGATAAAGTTAGTAGAGAGTGAGGATAAAGTTAGTAGAGAGTGAGGATAAAGTTAGTAGAGAGTGAGGACAAAGTCAGTGGAGAGTGAGGATAAAGTAGAGAGTAAGGATAAAGTTAGTAGAGAGTGACGGATAAGTGAATGAATCATCGTGACTTTAGCTTCTCGTCAGTCTTGGACTCTTATTGGCTAGAGACACGCCACGGCTCATTGCTGGTCAATGCCATCATCATTTATAACGACAAGAACTCGTGCTGTCCTCGGAATTATGCTCGTCACGCCCTAATCTACGAGGTGATGAGGGCCACGGCTTTCCCTAGTTCTGATCCAGCGAGTGACCTTCTTAAAGTGCACGAAATGCAAAAGCCTATAACTTGGCACGCTGCGACGATCAGACCACTGCGGCACACACATCCGTCGAGGTAGGCACGAAATCCTCGGAAAATAAAGGCACCTGTCTCTAGCGGTGGCGTCAAGGCGAAGGCTAAAGTTGAGTTCTCTCCGGTGTGCAATCCCTACCTCTTCCCCATGCCATCATTTGTTCGTGAAATCACCAACTCACCGACTCAGACACGCGGGCTGTTGCCAAAGCAAGCCTACACCACCGCCATCGCCAAACCAACACCGACAAGATAACAACAGCACAACAGCACAATAGCACAATAGCACAATAGCACAATAGCACAATGGCCACAGCCACAGCCGCCGCCCTTCCCTCGACAATGCGCGCCTGGCAATTCACCACCACTCACGGCGGACTGGAGAAGAATCTGACCCTCAACACCGCAGCGCCTCTCCCGCCCCACGACGCCCACTCACTAGGCAAAAACAAGCTATTGGTTCAAGTCCTGGCCATGTCCTTGAACCCCGTGGACTATAAGATTGCGGAACTCCCCCTCGTCGGGAGATTCGCCCTCAAGACGCCAGCGTCTCCCGGTTTGGATTTTGCGGGCAGGGTCGTCGCCGAGGGTGACGGGCTTCGGGGAGACTCAAGCAGCTCGAAGATTACGGTCGGAGCGCTGGTCTTCGGCCGGCTGGATGGACCGACACAGTTCGGCACGTTGGCTGAGTATACGGTCGCTAGCAGGGCCGGGGTGGCTTTACTTCCTCAAGGAGTCAGTCCCAGAGATGCTGCGTGCGTGGGCACCGCCGCGCTCACGGCGTATCAGTGCGTCGTGCCGAATATACCGCGCGTGAAGCGACAAGATGGCAGTGGCGATACTACAAAGGTCTTCATCAACGGTGGTAGTGGCGGGACGGGCACATGGGGCATTCAGATTGCCAAGGCGATGGGATGCTATGTTGCGACGAGCTGCTCAGCAGGGAATGCGGACCTGTGCAGGAGTCTGGGCGCAGACGAAGTCGTCGATTACGCTGCCACAGACGTGGTCGAGGCGCTAACCCAAAGTGCCGCGACGAGCGGAAACTTCGATCTCGTGGTCGACAATGTAGGCGGTGATGGCAGACTGTTTTGGCAGTGTCACCGCTTTACGAATCCCAAGGCAACATACGTACAAATCGGAGCATCGATAGGGTTACACACGGCTCTGGATATGGCAATGAAGTATTCGTTGCCTGGATTTCTGGGCGGGGGAAAGAGGAGGTTCAAGTTCTTGGGCGTCGGGAATGACTCTGGGCAGTTGGAGGAGATCGGCAAGTGGATGGCCGACGGGAAAGTGATGCCTGTGGTGGCCGACGTATTACCCATGCAAGACGCCCCGAAGGGGTTTGAGAAGATAAAGACAGAGCGGACAAAGGGAAAGATTGTGGTTGTTGTAAGCGAGCGATGATGTGCGGGCTATCCAGTAATGCTCGCGGCCGACCGCAGTGAAGACGCCTGCTCCTTAGGGACCAGCTGTGGTGTGCTTGTCCTTGACCTTGTGTCTCCAGGCGCAGCGCGGGAATGGCAACGCCTTGCTGGGAGAGATGGTCACGGGACTGTCTCAAAGTACGGCGAGAGCATATCTGGCCCGGAGAGTTGGAGGAGAAGGAGGGCCAGCCAAGTGCAAGGCTGCAGGAACACGAATGCAATGCAACATTGCACAAGCTGGGCTGTTGGTGAGGGGTGCGTGAGGAACAGTCAAGCCCACGATGGCTGTGAGGCTACGGCCAGATCGTCCGTCAGTCTTGCTCCGGAAATACTCGCCCCATAGCGGGCAGTGACGGCATGGAGTACGAAGTATGTGCCAGGAACACCTCCCCTGTTCCGGAAGTGCAGCGACTTGCACAAACAGCAGACACCTAGCCTCATGAGATCTCGTGACTTCTGGTGCGAAAGAACACCGCAGGAATCATCCGACTTCGTCTCAGCCGAAGATGCCTGTCGTACGCAGTCCAGGCTGCCGAAACTCGTGTAGACGATAAGTCCTGCCAGGGGATGTTCCCGAAAGATTCTCGTCCACAAGAGTCGTGATGATCGTAAACCCAGTGTTGCGGGCCGAGAAGATCACTTCTGGAGACAGGAACGTGTCCTGTAGAGTCCACGGCGATGTGAACCTTGGGTTTGGCGAGAAGTCGATAAAGTTGGCAGAGTCATGCTCGACAGCGCGAGAACTGTAGAGTTGGTCGCTCATGATCTGGGAAAACCTCTTCTCCTGCCTATGGGTAGCCTCGAGGTATTCTTCGTGAAGTGCGCTTCCGAACTCCCCGACTGTGAAATGAGACTCAAGGTGTCCTCTACGTAATGCCTTGCACAGTCAGCGCCTTCACAGAGGGCCCCCGTCTTCACCAGGACGCCATCGCCCCCATGTATACGACAATGCCAGAAGTTGAGACGCATACGACCACCGTTTACTCCGTACGTCTCCCAGTTTCCACGGGTACGAAGTCGTGGTCAACATCAACAACAGGTGGGTGACATTGCCAACTTCGCCGGAGAACTTGTCCGAAACGAGGCTCTGGACGGGCAGGTTGGTCGCACGGCAAGGCGAATCAGGAAACGCAGACAGGACTTGTGCATGCAACGTCCCGGGGCAGTCGTCAGAGCCTCAGAGACGTCGGCTGATCGCGTTTGCATGCTAGCTTAGCACTAGAACTTCGGGAAGAGACAGTTCCACGGTGCAAAGCGCAGGAACAATCACGTCGGTGCAACTGGGCGTCGCATGGTGGAGGCCGAGCACAGTCAAGACGAGAGCCGTTGGAGCAGTGATGTGAGTACGACATCATGCATCACATGAACTGCTGCAAAGAAACCCGCCAACGGCCTTGCATGGCTGAGGAAAGACGCGGTAGCCAGCAGGGGACTTTTGCAGAACTTCTCCGACTTGACAGGGGCCTGGCCCGGGACAAGCAGGACAGACCCGCGTCCGAGAGAGCAGCAGAGGAAACATGATGGCTAAGATGAGAAGGGTCACGGGCAGGGACAAATGAGAGGCCGGCGCTGGGAGAGAGGGGCATAGGTTGGGGGATTAGTGGAGGCAGTGCTGAGCCGACACGCGCTGCCGGCCACACTCTGGCAAGGCGCACACAGGCACTCGCAGAGGACTCCGTACAGGTGTACGGGCTCACGGGGCAGAGGATGTTCAGGTCCGAGGACCACCAGCTGACCATGGTCCGAATAGGCGACAAGGAGATGTGCTTGATAATGATTATCGTGATGACCACGGGAGTGACGATTCTCACGCCTGGACTGCAGCGTGGAACCTTGGTATGACTGTTTCCTCGCGATGACTGCAACAGACGCAGGTGGCATGCACAGCTGCATACTGTAGCTGCATCTTCCGCTTCTGTGACCGGTGAGCTCGTACATTGTCCCGAGTCTGTCTAAGCGGTGTTTGGCCGCGATGGCCGGGCCTGTTCCTCCCCGACTGACCCCCCCATATCCGCCAATCAGCCGCGGCAGCCTCGAGGCGAAGCAGCAAGCCACACAAACTGGAGATTGACCAAACACTGCCTCGTCGTCCTGGCTGCCCTCCTCTATCAAACATCCGCCCGCAGTGAGGTAGGACATGCCTCTTTCATCATCCTGGCCAGGTTCCACGCTTTGGCCCCGAAACAATGGTTCGTCGTGCCTGTTCGATGCCCCATGGCCAGACTCAATTCTACGCGACACGCCGGCCTCGAGGACGCGGCAGTCGGGACAATCAGGGTTCTGAGCAACACTGCCCTGTTGGCCTATGACAGTGCCGGGTGTGTTCAGATTGCGCGCAGGTGTGTATTCCATCATGGGCACAGCATGGCCCACTCCAATCATGAGTCACCCCGACGCTTCGCCAGTCATGTCCTGGTGCCTGTACGAGTATTGGCCCGGTGGCAGCCTGGCGAATTGGTCCCCTGGCGTCCACACTCGATGCCTCTTTGCGTTAGCCCTTCTCCAGGCTTCCCACCAAAGGTCCCTTCGAAAGGAACCCCCCTCCAATGCTGAACATTGCACCAATGTGTCCTGTTCTCAATTGGCTCATCCCACCTCAAGGCTATATCTCCTCGATACTCCCCCTCTCGATTGACTTCTTCCCCTTCTACCATTACATTCACATTGGATCCCAGAGCCCCAGTACTCGAACAGTTTCCATCGCGCTCACCGAGGCTGTCGCCGTCGCAGTCTACAGGGCTGCCCGCTCACCGTACCACCATACACCACCAAGTCGTCACGCTGTCGACTCCACGTTCCGTCACCTACTACTACTACCCCAAGCGGTTTGATGCTTCAGAGCCTTTGACCCCAAGTTACCAGTACATCACCGTGGCCCGCGCGCCGAAGAGGACGCAGACCGAGATCCAAACACCCCCAGCAACACCCCCGTTGAGCTACTCAAGGACCACTACGCCCATCACCAGGTCGCCGTCGACCCCAGTCGCAAAGATGGCGAAAGGCGCTACTGTCCGCAACGTCGAGTTCGCGAAGGAGGTCGACTCCTATCGCGCTCCACGCGACGATGAACTCTCTGTCATGGAGCACTTTGCCAAACACGCCGCCAAGTGCGACCACTGCCGCAACCCATACGACGCCTGGAGAAACGATCGGCCCATGTGCAGTCGCGGACTGTCATACGCCCGGGACGTGGCCACGTACCTGTACGCCAAGGGTGGGAAGCCCTTCTCGGTCATTGACCGACAGAACGGCGACCGTGTCCAGGTGCAAGTGCCCATGGGTTGCGAGGCCGTCTCGCTCCTCATCAAGGCCTTCGACAAGGGCATGAAGACGACGTCGACGAGAGTGGTCGTCGACAACACCCGAGACCTTCAGACCACCGAGAGACCGATCAAGGTCGTCTCACCTGCTTCGCCCATCTCCCCTTCACGACGGAGAGACTACTACGTTGACGGGGAACGGCCGCGCGAACGGCGGTACATCAACGACGACTACGAGTTTGTCGAGATCAAGCCTTACTCGAGCCGCAACGACCGCAGAGAAAGAACCACGTACCGGGACGAGCGACGCGAGGAGCGGTACAGCAGGGGTGAGCCACGACGAGAGAGACCCCGGTCACTGGTCTACGAGGGCAAAGGCAGCCTGTTCCCGCAGGACGTCGAAGAGAAGTCCCGACGACAGCACATTGAACGACAACCCGTCGTCATTGTAGCCGAACCGGGCCAGCGGTACACCATCCGACGAGATCGAGATCGGTGAATGGGATCTGGCGTTTCAGAGTTTTTAGCGGTTTACGGATTTACGGATTTTACCGATATAATGAAATGAATCAATGTACCAACATATGACACCAACACACTGGATGGATGACAACGACCACAGCACACCATGGATGGTCCTGCATCCCACAACCACGGATGCTCGGCTTGCAACAGTCCAACACAAGCCTCGAGCACAGCAATACTGGACGGTCCAGCGATGAACCGATACGGAAAGGCGAGCACGACTTGCAGCAGTCCAGTCGGGGCTCGAGGCTTCATCGAGTCGTCATGTCTCACACACACACGTCCTACCCTGACTTGGGTCATTTGGATTCGGCAGCTTCAGCTGCGTACCTACTTGGTCTCGTCTGTCTTACGCATCGTGGCAATGCAAACGATGCCATTCACAATTCGACAGCCGAAAAGGAAAAGAAAGGGGAAAAGGGACCACTTGGGGTTGGGTTGTCTACCTTCGAGTGATTACTCGTCTCGGTTCAAGTTCAAGCAAGTCGAGTCTTTTTCCTTCTTTTGCCTCTTCACAAGGAAGGGGCCGAATTGTGAGCAAAGCGATGGTTGGCATGATGACGCTGTAAGAGCGAGGGACAAAGGGCGAAACCGCAGGCGCACATACCGTACACAGTACACTACATGTAGCCTCGACGACGAATGGAAGGACAGATGATGAAGCCCATCAGGCGGAACGGAGAAGAGCATTTGGTCCTCTGGCCCTTTGATCCTGTGGCACACTGGCACACTGGCACACTATTTATAGCATAGTATAGTCAACAAGAGTACTATATTTTGTGCATGAATTATTATATTTTGTGCATGAATTATTATATTTTGTGCATGAATTATTATATTTGTGCATGAATTATTCCTGACTTGAGATTTCAGAATTCAGGCGCCGGTTAAAGGGCATTACTGCGAAGGTATTGCTGCGAGGGCATTACTGCGAAGGTATTACTGCGAGGGCATTACTATTACCGTTACTATAATTACTATTCCCGCCTCTTCCCTCGTCGGTGGCGATCCACGCTTCAAATACCTCCTCTTTCCGCTTTTGCCCATGCATGCATGCATGCATGCAATGCGTCACGATGCGGCTACACAGTACGGAGGACGGAGTACGGAGTACTGTAACTAGGTACTGTGACTAGGTAGGGCGAGGTATTTTCCGATTCTGTTGTTCAGACCGCCGCCCTAAAGGCTACCAGGTAGCGTAGCCGGTACGAGACGAGTTACAAAATCGACTTCGTCGGCCGCTGTACCTACAGGTACTCAGGCCTTAAAGAATACTGTCGTTTGGTGTTTATGGATGGATGATTATTATGCTTACGCCCGCGAGCGAATCATCAGGATGTGCGTGTGTCCATTTACACTGTCACTACGTAACAATTGACGATCAGCAATTAATGATTGAGGCTAATTAATCATAGGACAATGTACTCCGTACGTACGTAGTAATTGATGGCAAGATCAGCGCCGTGGTGGAGTGGAGTGAGACAGACAGCCTCTGATACCACCGCGCGGATTTTGGTCAGGCACGCTCACGGGTAGGAAGCCTGATGTGGCGTCCGTGGCGTCCGTGGCGTCCGTGGCGCTGCATCCGAGGCTCGAGGCTGACTGTAACACGAGGCTGAGATTACTTAGGGGGGTTGATGAGGGTGGTGAGGGTGTCCTCGTCCCATAACTTGCGGGACAGGAGAATGATGATAGCTAATACTGATACTGACATACACCGTGGGACTATCAGGCCCCCTCGCATTTACTCCTTGCCTAAGGGTCGTGTAAAAGCCTCAAAAGTGCCCAATCTACTGAGCTGGGGTTAATCATACCCTACTTCTAGACGAGCATATACACACACACACACACACACACACACACACACACACACACACACACACACACACACACATACTGAAACTGTAGCCTATTTGTGGCGCCCAATGCTAATACTATATTCGGTACCGCACCACGCCACCCGCGATCACATCCTAGTGCTAATGTTTGACAAGGGTATTTAATGTCAATGCTTCTGTTTTCAATACCGCTGTTTGGTACAGCGGGTGGAGGGTACGCATCCATGCAGCAAGTGGTACGCATGTAGGGGATCTGTGTCTCGTGGCTACAGTCCGTAGCACGAAGTCAGGGCGTGCTGCCTGTTGCAATCTACCGATTCATACGTACAGTAGTTACCGGACAGATACATGCGGCCAGTATCATGTATGCGCTCTTACGCCGTTCTTGCACGCTCCGACACACGCCTGATCAGGCTGGATCTTTAGTGCTGCCTGCCTTCCTGCCTGCCCGCTCGCTCCCACATTAACTGACCCGTGTTCGCTTCACCAACATGGTCTTCGCGAGCGGCCTTGTACTGTACTAGTTGGACCGTACGTGTCGTCGTCGATACATTCGGTGTCTAGAAACCCAGCGCTCTTGGCGGTATGTAACCAGGCCGCGCGTAATGCAATACGAAGCCAGGGCTGAGAAAGATGCCGTCGGGCAACACCCATAAAAGGTCTTGTTGGAAGATAGTCACTCCATGAACTCTGCCGTGCTCCCTGAAATCCGCGGTAGGGCCCGCAGGAAATCGTCTGCCAGAAGACGTTTAGCATGGGGCGCCATTGTAATGCGACCGACCTTAACCACCGCCAACGAGATCCTTCTAGTGGTAAAGGCTGTCGGGAGTTTGGGATGATTTTGTCGAGGAGAGCTGGCAGCGAAACCCCAGTTAGTCAGTGCATCTAGAGCGTACTTAGTTTGTGGTGTAGGTCTTTCATAAGGGCTGGCAGCATTCTGGCGATTGCCAGAAGAATGATTTGCCCGTCGTTCTCGTAGCTTAGTGCTCCGGCCAGCCTTCAAAATGGCCGAGTATCTGAATAAGGGGATATACCACGCTCTCGTAGATCGAGCTTTGGATTTGCTCGTCATCATCTTCATTTCTGGCCTGGTTTGCTCGAGGGACTTGCCAGCTCAGACACCGCTTTGCAACGGTTTCATACGTCTTGCCGAATTCGCTGGCAACGTGCGGAAGCATTCTCGTTGCTGTTTTTAGCTGCGCACCGTCCTCACTGGGATCGGCGTCCTCGTCGTGCAAGTATAGTGACGCAAGACTCTGGCATAATGCAAGCTCCACCAGGGCTACTCCTAATGGGAATAGAAGAGAACTGCGGTGTTGCTGGACGCACAAGGCCGTTCCCGACTCGCGTTGGCATGAGATCCTCCAAGAAAATTCCAGCTGGACGGGACTGTGGCCTTCTGGGTCCTGCTGCTGGCTAATATCTCTCTTGCTGAGGGAGATATCGTTGCTGCGCCATTCTGCTTTCAGCCAGTTGCCAGACAAATTAAGGACACTTATTGCTAACGCCGCGGCTACCCGCAGCCGGTTGCCACGCCGGGACAGGTAATGCTGGTCTGCACTCCATGTGGCACGGCCCGTGACCGCTAGATCCAACGCACCGTCTAGAGCCTCTGAATAGGCCGTGTTAGTCAGATGCCGAAGGAAGTAGATCTCATGACGGTGGTCTGAACGTTCGATGAAGCCGAGGCATTCGCCATAAGTGGAGGCAGTAGAGGAGTTGGTCAGGAAGACCGAGCAGCAGTCCCGTATTTGAGGAGGAGCGGACGACGAACCGGCGGCGTTTGTCGCAAATCTTGGAAGGTGGGAGGACGTCGAGCCAGAAGACGAGGCCCGGGACGGATGAGATCGCGTCCTGGAGGATGATGCCGAGTCCATTGAGCCCCGTGGAGAAGCTGGGTTCGACGTGGTGGACTGGATCTCAATGGTTTTAATCTCGAGTTCCTGCCCGCTCCAGCTGTTCAACGGTTGATCGGATACGACAGCCACGTTGAAGACCGTCTGACAGCCCAGACGCATATTTTGCAGAGTACGTACTGGATCGACCCGCAAGCTCACGACGTGACCATGCTCTGCTGGACACCTCCAAGACCGTTGCTGGGTAAGAGCGCGGTGCAGCGTGCGAGCATACTTTCGGGTCCTGCGTACGCCTGTCAACGGATGGTTGTCTGCTCGGCGGTTGCTTTTGATTGTCTCTGTTGCCCTCGCATCCTCACTGAGCATCCGAAGGGCCAGATTGATAGCTTCGATGTTTCTGAGAAGGTTGTCATAGACCGGTCGGGAGAAGACCTCGCGATATTTCCTCACAGCACTCACGAAACCCTCCTGAGATGCGTCAGTCTCCGTCCTGTGAGATGTCCATTGATATAGACTGGCCCTTCGCGACTGCCATGGGGGAAGAATGGAAGTCACAGTCGACATACCTCGTTCCCAGATTCGTCCCTTTGCAAACCCAATTTATCGCTCAGCTCTTTGAGCATCTTCAGCAACAAGGTCAGGTTTGCGACGAAGATACCATAGTTGTTGGCCAGTGTGGTGCGCAGGCTGGCTTCGACCTTCGGATCCCGCCACAGGGAGTGATGGGGATCTTCTAAGACTTCCGCTACGTCGACATCGTCGCCAATGGCATCCCTTATCAAATGGACGACGCCATTCATCAAGATCGCCTTCTGTGCCCCCAGCCTTGCCGCGTAGATCTTCATCTCGAAGCGGTGCGTTTTGCTGCCAAATGCCCTGATGGTTGCCAATCCCGCTGCGTAGTCATCGAGTTTCTTGACGAGAAGAGGCAGAATGGCGAGGACAAGCCCTGCCACCTCAACCCCGCTCGCCATAGCGACAGGACGGTCTCAACCCTCAGTCTGCTTCACGGGCCGACAAGACCTCGACTGGTCAACCTACGTCCGTATGTAGGAGTGGTGGGAACTCAAACTCAGCTGCTGGACATACACAACGGACCCAGCACTCCGGACGGTCGACCGCTATATACCCCGCCTTTACTCGAGGTCAAGACGGCGGGGTTGGGCAGACAGACACATCAGGCTGAGCCTTACCAGCAACGTTTCTCGACATTAAGTACATTTCTGAGGAGTCCGTTTACGCCATTATTCTCACCTGTGTCCTCCTCTTCCCTTATGAGCGGCTCTTTCTGGTACCCAGTCCGGGTCTCTTTGAACTTAGGGGGCTGCGTCTCCGGGCAGGGGTTTCGATAGCCCAGACTTGTTCAAAACTCTTAACCAGAACGCACTCATCTGGACTCATGGTACATGAGCAGTCAACCAGAATGCGTGGCGAAGAAGATGATGGGGTTCCTGCCGGCCCTCGGAGTGTCGCGACAGGTCTCAGAAGCTGTCTGGCAAGCCTGGGGGCTCTTGTGGCTGAACAAAACGATGAGCCACTGATGCTTCGAGGCGTCCTGGGATTCTTGCAAGACGAATTGGGCCGACTGAGGCTGTGGGCCGCTGATACAGGCGCATTTCAACCCAGGGCTGCTTCTCTGGACGCGCGCCTTCGCAAGTCCCCCCATCTCAAAGAACAGGTTCTTCGGACACTGTCCATGCTGGCGGCAACAGTTGACGACATCAAGGACATGCTGACGGACAGCGAGATCTCAAACTCCTCCAACAATCAAGAAGCGGAATATAAGATGGTTTGTGAAACAATTGCATCATTGATTGGCGATCTGTACCAGATGTCTACGGTGTTCGGGCGGCCGGCATCTGTGGAATCAACCAGACCTGTGAGGATGTTACCAGCAGTTCTGCCAGCTTCTGGTACTACCACAATCGGCCTTGAGGCGCCAGCATTGAGCGAGCACGAGCAGGCACCGCCAGAAGCCAGCAGGCTATCTATGATGTCTCCCACTTCCATTGAACACTCTTCTCATCTTCAGTCGCTTGCAGAACCAATGGGGTCCAGTCTCGAAGCTCGAATGAAAGGGCATTCGATCCGGGATACAGCGGCAGAGCTAAGGGGCCTTGACCGTGCGGTGTCTGATCCCCCCGAATTATTTCAGACGCAATCGAATGATGCTATGATGCAATACATGCCAGAAGCCAATCTGTGGCCGAAACTCAACTCCAGTGGTGACAGGTCGGGGACGGCAAACCAAGGAAACCCTCGTCCTCGTGGCGCGGACATCCCTCCAGATTCGCCTGTCCAGACCCGGACTCCAGGATCACCTGTCTCCAAGACGGATTACTTAATGATCACGGAGGCTGGCGGAGGTGATGAACCTTATGATCAGATCTGCCGATATTGTGGGATCCCAAAACCCGCGAGAGAAGAGTTATACTATTGCCCTGCGTGTGGTATCGCATTATGTACGGAGTGCTGGAATACCGCCCCACCCCACCGTCAGGGGTTACAGATTCTGGGAGGAGTTCTTCATGAGAAGCTGAACGCCACGGTGGCTCGGACCATACTGGGTGCATTGGACCCAGGCTTGAATGACCGGGAGCAGGAAATGTTGTTCTTGAAGGATGAGGATACTACTTGGTTTGGTGTCCATCATGAGCAAGAGGAATTGTACCTTCGGGAATATGGCCGGTTCGAAAGAGTCATCCGAGAAGATTCATCCCTCCTTCCGAAAGCGACTTATCCTGCCTTGGTCTCGTTCGTTGGTCAGACTGGCGCGGGCAAATCTACGCTCGTGCGACTCCTGATCGAACTGAACCGCCCTCGAGATTGCAAGCCCCAGGTCCCTGTTGTGGCAGGTGCAAATTTTAGTATGCCTATAACTGGCGATGTACACCTGTATGCCGACTCGAGAACGCTTGAAACCAACCATCCTGTCTTGTATATCGATTCCGAGGGTTTGGACGGTGGAAGCTACCCGCCATTAGGCGCAAGGTCGCGGCGAAATCAACCACGAGTGTCGACTAAAGTGCAGTGCAGTCAAGACTACGTCTCGGAGCGCCCGATCGCCTGGGCTGGTCCTGGCGAGAGAAGGACTAGGACGTATACAACGGAACGATTTCATCAAAGAATACTCTACTCTATTTCGGATGTGGTAGTATTTGTCGCCACCAACACAAGGAATATGGAACAAATCCTCAAGCAGTTGGTGAGCTCGGGGCATGACTCGCTCGAGCATTCAGTGAACCAGCCCGTTCAGCCACAGGCTATCATCGTGCTCAACGGACGAGACGCCGCCGCTTTGGCTGACCATTTTGACACTGCAGTCGGAACCACAGACTTCCTTTCTGACGAGGGACTTCGCGATCTCTTTCGTGAGAGCTCGGAGTTGTGGAAAGCCCGAGAATTTTGGAGGCGACGTGGCAGAAAGGTCGATACTACCCGTGGGTTGTTGCTCTGCTATTTCTCAGACGTGCATGTCATTCCCATTGTAAGCACCTTCCAAACACTCACAATACATGTCGAGACTGACGTGTTTATAGCCGGGAAAGGAGCGTCTATGCCTCCTTGGACGTCAGCTCGACAGACTCCATCGACAGATCCAGTCTTGCTGTGATCAATCCCGTGAATCGAAACGAATGGCTGACATATTGCTGAATGTAGACGAAATGCAACAGGTTCACCAACAGATGTTCGACCACTTCACCACATTCTGTAACGGGCCATTTGACTATCTGAAAGCTTGCCTGTCGACCCGTCGACCCGTCGACCCATCTCCGCAACTTTCTAACGCAGTATAGTCACTCTGGCCGCTAACATTGTGCAGGTGAGCAAAGGTACGAGAAGCTTTCACCAAGTGTTGCAAAAGCTGGCCTTCATGGTCGCATCATGCAGCATGCTCGAAGTCGCCCGCCAGCATTCTGTCGACGTGGCCGAGGACGTCTACCCTCGCTATGCTGCATTCTGCAGTCTTGCTCTTGCAGAAATCTATAACAACCATGGCCCTGCGACTGTGTACATCCTGCTACGAGAGCTCGGTGTGTGAATGTCAGGGTCGCACATTCCAAGGACTATCAACAGGCGGATGGCAGCATACTCTCGGCAGGCGCGTATCAGTCGAGCTTGGACAGCAAGCAGTGTCATGAACTATTTGGAAACACCGTCTACAGCAAATTCCCTTACGATTCTGCAGCGGTTCCGCGACGGGACCTTTGGGGCGCGAGCCTATCGCCAGAAGGCCGCCGAAATCCACCGAACGCTCGTAGTCGGGCCTTTTTACGCAGGTTTGGGAGGCCCAGAGCCCTTTCAGAGCAATTCGTCGTGCCTTTCGTGCCTCGCCAACTGTCCGGTGCATCCATTGCCTTGCGGACATGTTTTGTGCACGCCTTGTGTGTTGGCCTTTGGGACATCGACCCAGTACCCTTATATCATCGAGGTGAAGGACTGTCCCTTACACGGCGGAAAGCTTGCTGGGCGACCCCAATCACCTGTCCAAGTGCACCTGGAGCCGAAAGAGGCATGTCCCAGGGTCTTGTCTCTCGACGGTGGCGGAGTGCGTGGTCTCGTCGACCTGATGATCCTAGAACAACTTGAGAAGGAGCTGGGCGAGGGCCTCCCAATTCAAGCATTCTTTGACCTGACCGTCGTTACCAATGCGGGTGGGGTCATTGCTCTCTGTCTCGGGGTCAAAGGGTGGGACGTGCAAAGTTGCACGGTTCAATTGGAACGATTTTGTCGAGCCGCTTTCTCAAAGACGAGATGGACGGGGCGTTCTGGGAACGAGTTGCTTGTTACCATGTCAAACCAGTCACGATACCAGACAGAGCCTCTCGAGGAAGACCTGAGAGCTGCCTTTGGCAACGGATTGCCGTTCGAAAGCAGTCCTGGCAAACAAGCCGGTCATGATACTGGCGACTTGCCTCGACCCCCGAAGGTCGCAGTGACAGCGTCGACTACATCTGGCTCGACAGCGGTCTTTGCAAATTATAATCGCCTGGACCCGGAAGAGGTCGACAAAAGAACCTACCGTTTTGTCCGTTCTGAAAAGCCGTCGACGGATTTGTTGATCTTCCAAGCTGCAAGAGCGACAACCGCAACCCCTTTTTACTTTTGGACATTCAAGCACCACGCCTCCAGGACCGTCTACATGGACGGAAGCCCGCACTATCATTGTCCGGTCGAGATCGCGGTGCGGGAATCCAGGCTCCTTTGGCAGAAAGATCCCGACGTGCTCGTCTCACTTGGTGCGCAGACGACTACAGGCCCAGGGGCGCCTTCACCTCTGCCTACGGGTCCTGGCCGAAGTAGAGGCATAATGGACTCGGGCAAGCTTGCCATGGACCTCTGCGGTTCCACAGTGGACTCAGAGGCCGACGGGCACAACATCTTACCCTCTGTAGAGAGCCGCGACCCACCCTGGCAGGATTGGAGGACTAGACTGAGCCGTCTCGACGTCGCCCTTGGGCCGGAACTACCCACGCCAGACGACATCTCACAAATCGATCGCATGAAGAATGAAGCCAGCCTTCGGATTACGCGAATGAGAGACAAAATCAAATCAGTTGCAGATCGCCTCCTCGCTTCCTCATTTTACTTTGCGGTCGATGATCAGATTTCTACGCCGAGACCTGACGGCTCCTGGACCATTCCGGGCCGCATCATGTGCAGGATGGCGCCAGGATCTGCTGTTCTTCGGTCTCTTGGTCGAAACCTGAAGTCGCGATGGAGGAGCAGCGGAAGCCCTGGACCTGGATCGGAGCTAGGTCACGGTTCAGAATAATGGATCGAGAAATCGCCTTGGACGTGGAAACCTTGACACCATGGAGAGGTATGGCACTTTCGTCCTGCGGCTGTCTGACCTTGAGTTTTCCGAGCCGAAGGTGACGGTTGAGATATCTTTCTGCTCTCAGAGTCGAGGCGGAGCATCTTCGTTCTTCCCGATCAGAGGCTTTCCACGCACCTTCTTTCGCGGGAGCACAACACAAGACAATGTTTCGTTTTGAGTGGAAAAGAAGAAAGAGTCAAGCTTGCTGATTATTTCCACAATGGATAGATGATATATTACCATCCAGGGTGCCAGCCATCCCCGAAAGGCTCTCAGATGTGGTGCCGTCTGCCGCGGCTCCTGTCACGCCTGTAGGACAGCTTCCTACCCTGTTGGATACGTCGCCTGCATGGACTTTCTGGATTTCTTCAACCGTCCGCAACAGCGATAGAGTGAGAGTACCACGTCTGATGGTGTCGAGGCGGCCGGCCGCGAAATAGTGATCCCCAGCGAATACTGAACGACTCACCGAAGCACTGAACATCGACGCAATGGTGCTCTTTCGCCGATGATGTGAGAGAGCACAGTACTCCGGCAGATCCTCCTGGAGTCCACGACTTCCATGCTACATTCCAGCCAATTGACTGAGATGAGGCGCGAGTACTAAGTATCACGACAGCCGTGGACACCGTGACGCTGTTACACTGTGACACTGAGATCCTACGCTACTAGCGATGAGTACGTCGCCGTAATTTCTGCCTCTTATGCTGTGTGGTCCAACCCAGGAACTCAGCCTCAAGCCACCATTTGAATCACTGGCGAGTCACTAACAGCATACGGAGTACAGCACGAATCTTATATAGTAAGTAGGTTTAGGCGGCAGCGGCAGAGTTTGCTTTGTTCTCCAGATTCCATGACAAGAAACGAGGGACCACACGGTTCTTCGGACATGGGATCTGCAAAGAATTCCACCGTGGACGCCGGTGCTATGCTATGCCCCGAATAGTTCCTTCTTGTCTTTTCTGCATGGTAGACACAAACGTACAGTTGAACAACTTGCCGTGCCCCCCGTCTAGGATTCGCAGACAGGTGACCCGATATGCTCCTCGACGCTCAGCCTCCAAGAACCGTATCGCGGTACAATTGAGTAATCTGGTCGAGGATTTGACGCCAGCCTTAGGGCAGTTGAATTGCACGATTCATCTTTGAATTCACATTCTTGCTCGGTCTCATTCTGCCTTGCTTCGAATGCAACCCAACACGACTCAGGGCGTGGTGTACGTGTGGTAACAGCCCCCCCACGATCGACTCTGCTCTTAACCGGTCTCTTGCTCCTCTTCCTTGGCGAGACCGTGCTCCTTGAGCAACGTCATGATCTCGTCGCCAGACCACAGGTGGTGGTAAATCTTGCCGTCTTTCGTCTTGCCGACGGTCGCGAATTCAACTGTGGTCAGATATCAGTATGTGCTCGACAAGCGCGCTCTCCCTATCACTCACTCTTCTCACTGCTTAGCCTTGTTGAATCCATGGTCTTGCTCAACACCTTCACCGCCATGCCGCATGCCTCCTTCAGATCACAGTCCTCCTTGTAATCTTGCTTGAGCAGACTCTGGGCGCTGGCGTTGTTGGCTCCCACGCTCGTGGCCTTCCACCCGCCGTAATTGCCCGAGGGATTGCTCTGGTACAGTTGGAACTGTCGTTGCGGATCCCACCCTGCGTAGATGAAGGAGACCCCGAACGGCCGTAGACCACCGTGTTGCGTGTACCCTTGCTTCAAATCGCACAGACGACGCACCAGCTGCTCGCAGGGGATGTCTTCGTTGTAGGTTAGGAGGTAGCGCTGAGCGGCTTGTCGGGCGAAGTTGATGAGAATGTTGGCATCGGCAGTCATGCCTGCTACAGCGCAGATCATATTGCTGTCAAATCATGGTCAGCAGGTTGTTCTTCTCTCCAAGGGACTGGCAGCGTACTCGTTCAGGATGTACAGCTTCTCGGCCGATGTGTCTTGCTCCAGTAATTTGCTCGTGACCTTACGCTCCGCGGCCAGAACGATGCCATCTTGTGCTAATATCCCCAGAGCTGTGCCGGCATGCGAGATGGCCTCGAGGGCATATTCGACCTGGTATAACCGACCTTCTGGCGAGAAGATGGTCGTCTGCGGAGTTGTAGGTTAGCACTGACGGAACAAACATCTCGAAGGGAAGCATGGACGTACCCTTGAATCGTATCTTCGAGACATTGTGCGGCCAGAGAAAGAACGATACTGAGAGCGACGAGGAAGGGAGCTGAGTGTGAGGCAGACCTGAGGGGTCAGTAGGAGAGGTCTAAGGACTACGGACTACACAGTCCATGTGTAAAGGACGCAGGCACAGGCACGGCTCTCTCACGCGTCGTCGCCTGTCCAACCAATCACATTGCACCGACCTTTTCTCCAAGGCTGTGATGAGGGCAGCATAGAGCAGTACAACACTCTACTACTAGGTATGTCGATACTAAGGCACACTTCAACCTGCCTTACCTTGGATAATGATGCTCAAGTCAACGTATCGGCCTGCAGCGCCCACGCCAACAGCCTCCCCTCTCCCACCAGGCTGGACAGAACACAAAGCACCCACGGGACACACATACTACTACAATGCCTCGACCGGGCAGTCGACGTACACACGCCCAGCAGCGCCTTCAGACCAGCCACTGCAGATCGACTATGGCGCCACCGAACCCGACCAAGTCATGCGCGCCTCGATGCAAGCCATGGACGAGTTCAATAGGAACAAGGACAAGAACAACACCACCCACCCCCAGTCCGGGCACTTCACCGGCGGACAAAGCTACCAAGATCGCTCGCGCAGGCGAGGCAACCAAGGCGATCGACCGAAATCGAAGGCGCCGATCCCTAACTGTGCGCCGTGGGTCCTCGTGCAGACCAAGCTGGGGAGACGGTTCGTGCACAACACCGAGACGAAACAGAGTTTGTGGAAGTTCCCGCAGGACGTCATGATGGCCGTGATCGAGATGGACAGGATGGAGTGGGAGGCGAAGAAGAAAGAAGCAGAGACCGAGAAAGACGGGACTCCCACCAAGGAGGAGCCGGCGCGAGAGAAGCCACATCCGGCGGGTGATCACGCGAGGACACCTGGGCCAAGGGCACCCACCCAGCCGCCAGGAGCGCACAGCTTTGACCACGACAGCGACTCGTACGAGGAAGTCGAAGTCACAGATGATGAGGGCGAGGGCGAAGACGAAGGCGCAGACGAACATGGAGAGGGAGATGAGCCATCCAAACGACGCCGACTTTCTCATTCGGCACACCCGTCCCCTCCCCCTGGGCCCCTAGAATTCAACGAAGACGACATAGCCTGGCAACTCGCCCAAATGGAAGCCGAAGACGACGGTGAGGCGGCCTACGAACACGCAGACGGTCAAGACGCGGATCCTGCCGAAGAGGACGAGGAAGGCCTGCCCCTGACCGAGGAAGATACAGTCGCGCTCTTCCGCTCGCTGCTCGACGACTCGGGCATCTCTCCGTACGCGACATTCGAGAAACTCATCGAGGACGTCCACGTGGTGGAAGATCCCCGGTACGTGTCCCTCCCCACGACCTCCGCCCGCAAGGAAGCATTCTCGCAGTGGTCGAAAGATCGCATCGCGCAGATCCAAGCCCTCAAGAGGGCCCAAGAATCCGAACGCTCCGCCAGCAGGCGCGATCCCCGGGTCGAGTACCTGCGCTTTCTGCACAAGAACGCCACTCCGAAACTGTACTGGCCGGAGTTCAAGCGCAAGTTCAGACGCGCGCCGGAAATGGGCGATCGGAACCTGCAGGACAAGGAGCGCGAAAGGACATTCCGGGACCTGGTGGCCAAACTCAAGCTGTCCGAGTCGGAGAGGAGGAAGGAACTGGTGGGCTTGTTGAAGGACACGGCGCAGAAAGACAAGGACGCTTTTAAAAGGGCCATGGAGGTGGACGAATTACCAGACGCCATTCTCAGGGATGTAAAGTTCTATACGCTTGAGCAGGGACGACGAGATGAGCTTGTACGGACGTTTCTAGAGACAATGTGATGTGATGCCTGGCTTTTGGCCTGCCAAAGCCCAAACAGCAGCTTCTTCGCACCGCACCGCACCACACGGGGTTGACGACCACCGTATGGCACATATGCAACGGAAGAGACCATTGGGCATCCAGTTTCAGAGAAGACCCCACGGCTTGAAGACCACCGTATGGCACATATGCACCCCGAAAGATCACGGATGATACGATTTCAAAGGAGACATTTTACACTATGCAGCTATCAACTCGCATGTTCGACGTGTAACTTTGTAACTTCCCCCTGGTCGGATTGGCTTTGGCACACAGGGAATGCCGCTGCCTCCTGCCGGCTGTCGACGACTCACACCAGCCTCCAAGAAGAACCAAGACCACACCGATGTGCTGTTTATCCTCGAAAATAACGAGAGCTCGACCTCGACCTCGACTGCGGCAATGGCGAGCTTGCGCCTCGCTTCTACCTGGTATTTGGGTGGACCTCTGGGCTGGTCTCTACCCATCCGCCATAGCACGACCAATGCCAGTCGCATGTGTCGATGAAGCTCGTAATTCTCAAGCACGTACACCACCCCGACCCCATGATGTACTCCCTCGGGGTATCACGTTACTGCTTAGCACATTCGAAATGATCACCACAAACAATATTCTGCACTGCTTTGCAGCACGGTCAAGCACATCTCTCCTTGCCGGCCTGGTTGTACCACACTATCCAAGCCTCCAACGCCATTGACCACACAGGTACCGTCAACAAGACCTCTTTCGTCTCGTCATTGTGGCCCTATGGTTTCAGAAATTCCTAAGCTCTTGGTGACTCAGTCGCACCCCCTGCCTTCGACTGCTGCATTACTCGCTGGAGCATCACCGTGAGCACTGACAAATCATTCCTCGCCTCGGCGTTCTGCTGCAGACACTCCTTGACAATGCGGAATTCGTTCTCGCCTGCGTTGGGGGCTTGGGAACAGAGCTGAACCACACTAGGACAGGATGCTAGCTCGGGACCAAGGATAGTCTGCGCGAATATTGTTGATTGATTTGGTGGGGAGGAGGATGATGGTGCCGGTGCGGGTACAAAGCCCTGCTGTGCATGGTGGATCTGAGGTGTTCCATTCATGTCGTACGCGTTTGGCATGGGCGACTGACTGTATGGAAAGGCACCATCGCGAGGCGTGATGGGCGTCTGCGCAATCGATCCTCCCGGCATTGTTGGGCTCCGAGCATTGGTCGCGGATGCATCAGCCATTGCCGCATCAATGTTGTGAGGAAGTTCGCTATTCTTAATAACGATGGGTACCAACAGCATCTTCTCCTGGGTCGGGTCTGGGAAGTCGGTTTCCAACTTCTTCACAAACGTAGGCAATTCCTCCCCGACTTCGAGAGGGATCAGATAGATATCCTTAATGGCCGGGTTCGTGTACTGCAGCCCCACACCGAAGCGATCCTTGTGCTTGAAGTATCGGAAAAATTTATTGAACTGTTCTTGATCGTGCGAGTTGGTGGGCTCGGGCAGACAGACGATGACCAAGTCTGAGGAGTTACTGTACTCCAGGCCACACAAGTATTCGTCCGCTCGGGCAGGCTGAATGCGGCCCCCAATGTCGATCTCTGCCGGCAGGAGGTCACTGTAGGTCATGCGCAGAGTGTCAGAGTCGGGTGTAGCTCCGGCAGCGTGTCTTGCTACGGCGTGGAATCGACCGAGACTGCCTCCATTGACGACACCGCGCCAGACGATGCCTTCAGCATCTGCAGCGTCCTTCGGTGAATATGGTGGTGACTCGGCGTCTTCGTCCTTGAGAAGCTCGTCAATTTCCGCGTCGGCCGTTGTTCCTGGAGCCATGGGTTCTCGAACTGCTGCTGGCGGCGAATGTGCCTGGGGAAGTTCGCCAAATCGCTGCGTCTCGCCGTCGGGTGAGCCTTGAACATTCGACCAGACTTTGTCTATGTCGAAATTGGCGGACGAGGTACGTCTTGCCGTGTCGACCGATGTTCGAGGTCTCGTTCCCCTGGCTGCGGCTGGTTGCGTCTCAGAGGGACCTTTGCCTCCGGGACTCTTGCCCTCTCCGTCTTGCTCAGCGGCGGCACTGGGCTTTCGGGCAGGCGCATTGGAAGTGGCGGACTCGGCGGCGACCTGCCTGGCTTCATCGACATACTCGTCGCCTTTGTGTGTCCGTCTGATTCTTGGTCCCTGCTCTTCCACGATGGTATGTTGTCTCTCCATCTCTTTGATCATAGCCTTTTCTTTGCTCTTCTGTTCATCGGTCGCCATGTCTTTGGGGTCCATGGATGCGAGAGTGTTTGGTGAGAGGTCTCCGTTGAGTAGACGTACACCCAAGGTGCGGTTTTTCTTCACATTGTAGGTGATCGACCGAAGCTGGTTCTTGTATGCGTCGTTGGGTTCGCCGTTACCTCCGCACAGGGCGTTGAACATGCCATGTTCGATACGCAGGCCAAGCTGGGCGGCGATCTCGGTGTCAGTCTTGCCAGCGGGCTTAGTGTACTCCTCTGGCTTTACGGCTTTGATTTGCTGTTCTATGAGCTTGATCAGATTCGCCGCAGCTGACTTCCTCGAAGCATTAGTCAACTCCTTTGCGTCCATTGCAACTCCCGAGACGGACTCTGATCGTGAAGCCTGCCGCGAAGGAGTCTCGGTCTTGATTGCTTCACCACCATTGGCGTCAGCAGCGGCGACCCCTCGAACCTTCTTGCTCTGGAATAATGTCAGCGTATGCTTCTCGTTCTGCGGAAGGAGCAGGCGGACCTTAACTTCGGATACGGAGGGTGACTCCTCCAGCTTGCGCTTCTGTCCAGCGGCAGTGGGGGTAGATATAGAGCCAGGGCCAGAAGCTTCATCGACATCCTGAGAGGCGCGCGACGCAACTTCGCTCGTTCGCCCAGCAGCAGATTTCCTCCCCTTCTTCCCTTTCTTCTTCGCCTTCTCGGCCAATTCAGCCTCCCTCTGTCTAATTGCTTCCTCCCACGGCTTCTCTCCACGCGCGACGGCGGCAAGCAGTGCCTTGTGGTCTTGCGGCTTGCATTGCTCGCAGAAGTACTTCTCAGGCTCGTAGTCTTCAGGCAGGCCCATGCAGCTGTTGTGTTGCCATGCTGAGCACTTGTCGCAGCAGATCATGGTCCGAGGATTATCTTCCTCTTCCTCGTACTGGCCGCATACACATCGAATGATCTCTTCGGGCTCTTCTTCCTCTTCTTCCACGGCCTTGTTTTTGGCAGCCTTGCCTTTCCCCTTTTTCTTGGTAATTCCATCTTCGGGGACGTCGCGCTCCTTTGTGTGCTGTCCTTTGGTCGCGCGACCTGATCGCCGAGGTTCATCTGCCGCAGTATTAGTAAGTGCAACAAGGTGACGTGGGTGACGGCAACGCTTACCAGCCATGGAGACGGTACAAGATACTAGACACTATGATAGGCGCGATACACGTAGGCGTAGATGTTTGTCATCAATCACGTCTATTCGCGATCTACGACAGGTGGGAGTGGTAGAGATAGTCTTCACGAGACCAGTCCCGAGACGCGGCCTTGTCCCTCCAGATTCGATTAAGCTAAGCTCCGCGCCGCGCGCCACAGTCAGCGCAGCAGTTGCGCGCAACGAAAGAAAGTGGTGAACGTCTCGAAGTTGATATCGCGATGAGGGCAGGAGTAGAATAGAATGGGGAGATGGATGCGGGAACCTCGAGTTGCGGCAACAAGAACTTCAAGCGCAACAAAAGCGGAGATGACCTAGCTACAGCTGCGGGGCCGTGATTGGATGAAGGGCGAAACAAGGGTTCAGGCCGGAAAAGCGGCAACACGCGTTGACGTAACAGGCGTGGGCACGCTGTCTCAGGCAGCGTGGTAGCAAATTGTTGTCTGCGCGGTACAGTGACAGTGACCATCAGTATTACCGCGTCTCAGCTAAGCGCGTCTTCTTCTCTTTCCCTCCTCAGAAGCATTCGGCGTCCACGGGCAGTAGAATGACTGACGTCCGGGCCCTCCTCGCCGCTGAGCGGCAGTCCCGCCGAATAACCCATCCTCATCTCTCATACACGAAATCCGGGGTACTCTTGTGCAACATCTGCAATCTCAATGTGAAGTCCGAGGCTCTCTGGGAAGGACACCTGAAAAGTGCAAATCACCGAAAGAACGTCGCCGCCCAAGCGTCACGGAAGGCTAGCATAGACTCCACGTCAGGCAAGGGCGTCAAGAGAAAAATTGAAGATGTGGATGAAGTACTCCTGGAGCGTGACGAGCTGGAGCCGGAAGCACGGAAGAAGCCAAAGTCACGGCCGGAGAGCACCTTCGTGGAAGACGAAGACGGAGAGCAGGCAGGACCGGTTCTCCCGGAGGAGGAAGCACCGGGGCAACAGGTAGAGCCCGCGCCAGCACCAATGCCCGTGACGGACAAGGCAGCACAAACGAACGGAACCTCTACACCTACTCCTGCCGTTAACGAAGATGAATGGGCAGCCTTCGAACGTGAAGTCGCGCCACTCGCTGCAGACAAGCCTAAACCAGACTATTCCTCTGCCACTATCACCGCGGCCCCTCTGACGGCCGATCAGATCAAGGCACAGCAAGACGAGGATAGAAGACGGAGGCTAGAGACGGAGGCAGAGGACGAGAAGGAAGATGAATTGGGAAAGCTGGCGGAAGAATTCGATGTCATGGAAGAGATGGAGGACCGAGTTCGAAAACTGAGAGCGAAGAGAGACGCGCTGAGAAGTGCTGCGAAGCCTGGGGACGATACAGGCCAAGCGACGAACGGAGCATCAGTTGCTACGCTTGTGGTTTCCGCAGGGACCAACGGAGTTGAGGAAGACGAGGAGGACGAGGATGAGGACGATTGGTATTCATAGCCTTCGTGAGATACTCAAAATGGGATATGCGACGCTGGTCGAGAACGCTAAAGCGCTAGCCACCCCGATGCTGTTCTATACTGTAATGCTTGTGAAGTGCCTCCATCATTGGGGAGCCGATGATACTCAAACAAAGTCTTCGCCCATGACATCTTCTATTTCCACAACACCCGTGACCTCGTTATGCTCGACGATTCCAAGCAGAGTGCCTCGCTTGAGGAAGTCTCTTCCTCGGCCAGTGCCCTCATTTCGCATCTGGTGGATCCATCTCCTGCACTCTTCGACAGTGGTAGAGTTGAGAACGGATATCCAGTCCGTTCTCTCAACCACCACTCTGCCGAATTCGTCCTCCACAGCCGAGATTGGGACCGTGGGATCTTGTAGGCTCTGTATCCGTCGAGGACCAATCATGTGGTTGTTTGACGTCCGGACGAACCCCCGGGGCGACTTCACTGCGGCTAGAAGAACGTTGAAGGACAAAAGCGGCTGATCCGCTTGCGGCAAAGCTATCGGCACTTGCGACACCGTGGTTGCTAGATCGGCCATTTTTGGGACGCTCTGGGCAGTCGACTTGAATGCGGCGCCGATTGCACCACCAGGATGGTTCGACGCGAAGACAGCGGGTGTTTCCACCCCAGTAGAACAATGCAGTTCATCTGCGACTGCAAGCGCCAGGCTGTCGCCAAGGGCCAGCGTGATCGTCGTTGAAGTGGTTGGGGCCGATACTCCAAACGACGAGGTTTCAGTTTCGTGGATTGTCGTTGGAAGGAGGATGTTCGTGGCTCCTTGCCTTGCCGTATGCGACAGTAGCGGGCAAGTGAAGGCGCTCAGATGCGCCGTCATGAGAATCAGAGGAATGCAATGCTGAATATGCGGTACAAGCGACAGGAGTTCTGGTGTCCTCCCGGAAAATGTGATCATAATAACCGTATCAGTAGGTCGAACAACTCCTAGGTCCCCATGGAGAGCCTCAATGGGATGCAGAAAGATCGCGTGGATGCCTAGCGACACGAATGTGGCGACCAGCTTTTTCGCAATATGCCCCGACTTCCCAACGCCTGTGAAGATGGTCTTCCCGTGTCGGGCTTCGGAATTGATGATCTGGCTGACAGCTCGAAGGAGAGACTCTTGCGCCTCTGCAGAAGTGCTGTACAGCTCTTCAAGATGGGACAGAGCCTGTCGTTCGGTGGCGAGCACGTGCAGGGCCTTCTTGATTGTCCTGCTGTCCGGTTTGAATGTCCTTTCGTCAAAGGCTGCAGGTATATCTGGGGGCGTAATCGGCAGTGGCTCCAATTGGTCGGCAAGGGGGCCGCATAGTGGCATCGAAGGGGTAAGTGGTGTGGGCAGATAGGTCTGGTGAGTGTATGCCATCTTTGCCCCTTTAGCAGTCCTATATGCCAGCGGATATTGCGAAAGGTCGACTTTATTGCAACAGCCAGGGTTCAGAGGATTGCAGCCCTTGAAGAGTTGAGCAGCAACAGTGGGGACGTCGGCCCAAATTTCGATTGCTTGATTTCCTCGTATAAATGTGCGATCAGTGACTCTCAGCACATGAGGTTCGATAATCAGCGGATATCGGACAGCCACCTCAGGTTACAAGCAAGGCGTATTGCTATCATGACGCCATAGACTTCGGGCAAGGGCGACAGGCGGCAGTGGAAGACGCGTGTCGGGAACAGCTGAGCTTATGATCTGGGTGAACGCCTGTAGGGTGGGAGGAAGAGAGTGCAATAGTATGGAGAAGGGTACTCTTCAGTCAAGTATCGCGATCATTGTGAGATTTGGAGGACAAATTCCGGCAGGGATCCGAGGGCTGGACACAGGGCTAGAACTCGGCTCCTGCCCATACCCTGGTCACCCGGCAGGTGTACGAGGTACCACTGATTCGGTGCCCGCGAGTGCGTATCAGCCAAGGACTGGATGACTGGAAGCCTGGAGAAGCCGGACTTGAAAAGAGTGGGTTTGACCGACTTCGGTGTGTCTAGCTCGAAAGATGGTCGAAGTGAGATAAGGTTGCTATCCTGTCAATGCCACACGGAGGGAGGATTGGCCGATCGAAGCAGACCGCAAGATAGTCATTGGCACCCCTGCCACTGCACGATGCGGGAAGTCGGCAACAAACGGAGCACTTGAAGGGACAAGGCCAACTGGTGAAGAGCAGAGACCTTGCGACTCCGCTGACTGCTGGCGATGCGATGGAGGAGTGGATGGCGAAGTCGATGGCGCAATTAATGGGCGGAAAGGCACCAAACCCTTCGAGATCTGCAAGCGGAACACTCTCGAATTTTTAGCGGGCCTGTTTGCGTGCCTTGCGACGCCCAATGCAAGGATCTCGTCTTCCTCCTGACATGCACTACTCGTACCCAGTCGCCTACCAGTCCTGTGTAACGTTGCTCGCATGGTTCCGTTCTCCGGGCATCTACAAGAGCGATCGCCGGCACGAGTCTTGCAAGTACATCGTGAACACTAACTCAATGCATGGTCCAGGCAGCCTGCAGCTCGCTCTTGAAAGCCTCGAGAGCGGTCACTCCATGTCCTCCACCTTCACACCATACCGGTTTCCAGCTAAGATTGATACAGCATGTACTGGGTCAGTGTAGTATGTCACATCAACAACAGCATACTATCATCCTTTTGTGGGTCTTCTCTGCTTCGGGCCTTTGGTCTGAGAATGGACAACTGCAATCGACTCTCTATGTGCTCTCTTTGTCCCTCGCCCTCTTCCGTCTCCATCCAATCCACGAAGCACGAGCAGAGCGCTGTGTGAGAATGCTCGACACACTTCACTGCACAAAGACTCCTCGTTCTATTCACATGCCCACCGTAGCGGTCGAAGAGTATGCCGGCAGGAGTTAACACCAATCATCGATGTCGCATGAACCATGTGTTGAAATGCCAGGCTACGTAGCTGATAGCTGGCCTTCGGAAGAAGATGCTTCTTACTAACACAGCCATGCATTCTTGTAGGAATGAAATACATCCAGCGGTCGAGTCTTGGGTCCAACAGGAACAAGTAGTGATATGCATCAGGAGCGCCGCAGCCAAGCATGCGGGACCCCTGGCCGTTGATATTCGCTAAGCTGACCACCGCATAGCATCGGCATCTGATGTGCTGTCTATCAAGGGAAACTTCTGAGCTGGCAAGATAACGATACCAACGACGACCATCTGTTCGGATACGTGCTTCAGGTTATCTGAGGCATATGGTGGCTTCGCCACGCCTTGCCCGGCATTCATATTGGCTATTGCCAAATGAGCAGGCCGCCACTTACATACTGTCGTGTCCAAGTCTGTAGTATTGTCTCATGCTGGGAGTTAGGCTTGACCGGTCGCGCAATACATTCTGTTGGCATGCTTCTGGGAGCTGAACTTCGATAGGCTACGTCTCCGGAGGCAGACTCGACGAGCGAGTGGGTAAGATGGCAAGGCAATGGTCGCAAGAGGAAGTCCGGCCGCTTCTTTGGACGGTCTCCAATCATGGACTTGCGTGACGTGCTGTAGCCGATAGTACTTCAACGAGTCATACAATTCTCCAGCAAGTATGCCTGCGAGAACGTTGTGGCCGCGAATCTGTATGCCGCGTGCACTGCGTGAATAGCTGCATCAGCTCACGTACCAAGCACTGTTATCAGACCTTGTGGCGTACCATTTCTCGTGATCTGAAAAGTATCGTCTTTCGATGGGATTGTTGTGGCCGTGTGATGAGCCAGAGGCGCCTCAGCTTGTTCAACCTCCCTACGTCGAGCCCCTTGCAGGTGTTCTTGCGTTGCTATGAGCAAACAAACACACCAAAGCTCATCAAAGGTTTCGAGGTAGGTGAAATCTGTCCAGGAGCTTTGAAAGAGGTCACAATTTAGCCTGGGACACATTCGTGGTCGCCCTGGAGCCCGGGAGTGGGCTGAAGCTTCAATCATGTCAGTCGGATAGGGCACTGGGAACTGAATACTTGGTTTCTATTAGTCTTAACAAGGCTATATAGCCTTTGGTACATCACATATGTAGAACTTGGTCAATGAGTAGAGTTTTCCTCCAGAACCCCTAAGGCGTTGCGAGAGGGATGGTGAACATAGCTTCTGCCCGTTCTCACGTAGAGGGACCCGTCGAAGCTGAGATCAGGACGACAGCAAACACGACTGCGGAGCAGCGAGTGCTTGTTCACAGCCGGCTCGTAGTGTAGAGAGCCTGAGGCCGTCTCGTAACTGTGCATCTGGACGGATAAATCCCAGTGCTCGGTTTAAGCCGAATGCATCAATCTCTCTGGCAAGCATCCGCTCATTCGAAGACCCGATTCGGTTGCATTCTCAATCCAAAATCGCCATGTCACAGCAGCCATTATTCGTTGCTAAGGAAGTCACTTGACAGGAACTGGCTCGTTAGGTTGACAATCGCCGTCATTGATTGGTAGGGAGACGTCCAGCAGCCGTCGGCAACGGCGAGAGCATCTCCAACAAGTCGATCCTCGATCTTCACCAGGAACAACTGCGCTCGTGCTCTTCTCACAATTACCTCACTTTCAATTCCCATCAACACGCCGTATTGAGGAACTAACCTTACAACCACAGCAACCTTACCTACGGTATCTATCCTCTCTCGACCTTGAAATCGATGGGCTCGACGCAATGCCTTCCGCATCTCCCTCTCCGATCAAGCGTCCATCGCTGACGGAACGCAACTCCTCTGCACACTCTCAGAGTTCCCCGGGCAGACAAACAACCGTTCATAAGGTCCACCGGCCGCATGCTGTCACTCGACACTCTAGGAATGTATCTCATGGCAAAGGACTTAGCAAGTTGGGTAAAGTACAGTCTACAGCCAGCATCAACACCGATACCCAAAGGAACCATCAAAGAAAGAAGTCGGGAGGTACCACGCCACCTCATAGCCCGAGGACACCGCTGGTGAAACGCAACAGCTCTCACGTCGCTTTGGCGAAGAACACGTCGTTCGGTAATCTGCGGAAGAACCATTCAGCCACAGCATTGCCTCGAAATGTCTCCCATGCCGCTCTCAAAAAGTTTGGTCTTGCGCCGGCAATAAAGCAGAAGAACAAGGAAGCAAAGGATGGAGTATTCCAGCTTGGAGACCGATCATCGGACGATGAAGAGGAAGGAGAATGGGAAGACTCAACCACTCAATCCCCCGAATTGACTAGAAGTAACTCAAAGACCTCTACACCGGCAAGAGCACACACACCAAATAATGGAGACCCAACACCTCCACAGCATGCAGCACAGGAGATTACTCGCCATCAGAGGACCTCGTCCCCTCCTCCACCGTCACTGAAGACTAAGAATCGATCTGCTCCGAATCTAAAAAACGAGCTGGTGATGTCGCAAGCACAGAACCCGCCTGACCCTGCATTGATTCAACAATATCCTCGTTCGTCACGCGCCCCTCCGGCTATGTCTACAGTATCAGCGCATGTTGGACCCAGTCAACTCGTGCGGAGCGACTCGTCCAGATCCTTTACTCACATCTCGCATGCCGACGCTGCTTCTTCGAATGCAAATCCTGGTGCCGTAGGCAAACATACAGGTGTCTCTTCTGGCCCCGTGTCTGGCCCCGTCCTGACATCCTCCTCGGTGGAGGGGGGTGTTTCACATTTCCTACAGACAGATACCCCCGCAAGCTCTTTCCGTCAGATCGTAGACGAGTCAGACGGAGACTCATCCTCTAACTTCCTCTCCAACTACAAGCCGCAACCGTCGGAGTCGCCAGAGAAGACGAAGACCCTTCACAAAGCAAGGATATCACAGATGCAGTCTAGAACGCAGCAGAAACTTGACCTGCAGAAACGGGAGATCTCCAGAGCTGGACCTGCGACGCCTACCGCTCCCCTTGCACCCGGGATGGGTGTCCCCTTGGCATCGGCGACCTCGCTGCACAGCCGAGCAGCATCCAGAAACCGCAACCGCTCGCTGGCTGGAGAGATCAAGGCCGTGAAGCAAGACTACGAGACCGCCATGAAGCAGTTCATGGTAGTCAGGAGATTCAGAAGTCCTATGATAGAAAGCCTCAACAGATTGAAGGAGAAAAATGTCCTACCTCAAGACATTGGCATGGCCGCAACCGCCGGCACTGCCTCCAAAAGTAGGCCGCAGAGTCGGCGCGGACCCAGCGCCAACACTGTCAATGGGCACGCAGGGGCAGGAATCAGTCGAAGCTGTGAGGAGCAGAGGTCGTCTCCACTGGCTTCAAGATCGGGCAGCAGAGGCCGCGGGGGTAGAGTCCATTTCCAGCGACAGGGCAGCCATGACGACATCGAAGTCACACCGTCACAGCCCGAGAGTGGTCTCGATGGTGCTCAGGACGACGAGCAATTCGGGCTCTCCCCAGAAGAAGCGCTGGTGAGGCGGATCTGGGGCAGCCGCGAGGTCTACGAACCCGGAGAGCACGGACAGGCATGAACAATTGCCTGGTTCGAAGGCCTGCGGTCTTCCATCTACTGACATCGGTATGATTTCAGTATGTGAACTTGTGTTTCTACTTCCTGCGTTCGAGCGCGATTACGACTTAATATTCGAGCTGCCAGTGATGCATGCTATCTATTGTTATGAACTAGTCGCTACAGGGCTTTCCGTGCATTGTAGCCGTCATTGTGACCGCTATTCTCTCCATGATCTACTGGACTGAATGGAGAAATGTTTTTTGCTACAAGCGCTTGCTGGCATGCAATGTTGTAGTAGCTGCACTGTAAGAATCCTATTCGCCTGTTGCGCTATCTCCATCAAGTTCGCGCCCCGGCCTACCATGACAGGCCTGGGACACCTCGATTGTCCTTGTTCATCGCATCGCCTACCAACTCACCAATCAGGAATTAATTCATTGCTGTGCGAGCTGTCCTCGTCCAATACCTTCCGGGCCGCCTCCCTCCCACAGACAGGCAGCCTCTCGACTTCGTCTTCCCTACCTTCCTCGGCGGTCTTGAACGTCTTGGGGATGTACTTCGGATCCAGCAGCCCGATCTGCACCAGCACGGTTGCCTGATCCCAGTGAATATGCTCGTGGTAGAGCTTCCCGCCACGGATGCAGACCACACTGACCAGCACGACTTCCACCTTCTTGCCCGTGGGCGGCACGCCTGGCAACATCCAGGAAATCTCCGTCGTGTGCGTGAACGAGACGAACATCTCATCCACAACGCGGTCGACGCCGACGGTCCGGCTGAGGAGCCGGATCCTCATGTCCGGCGGATTGTTCGGGATGAAGAAGTCGGCGTAGAACCTGCGCAGCTGATCGTACCCGATCCCGCCTGTCATCGTGGGCACATGGTTCACGTAGGGCTGCGCGACCATGGGGGCCATGGTCTTGTCAGCGTCCTTCTCGGCGAACTCGAGCCGCGTGTGATTGACCCAGATGGCCTCGAGGTCGGGGCCGTCGATGTCGAAGGCCGTGCGGAGGGTGGAGAGGGTCCGTGTCCAGGCTAGTGAGGCGCCAATCTTGTCGAATTCCTCGAGGTCGTGCTCCGCGAAGCCGGGCTCGGTATTTTCATAGCGATACGAGGGCCAGCGGGTGCCCCATTTCTGGGTGGCGGCCAGGTGGATTTGCACGTGAAGCGTTGGAGGAAAGTTGGTTGTCGACCGCGGTGGGTGGCCAGGGTAGTAGGCCACGACGGCGACGAGCTTCGGCATGGGTTTCATGCATGCTTCCAACACGAGCGTCGCGGCGTCACCGTATGCTGCCACCAACGAGTTAGTTAGTCCGAGAACGGATGCCTTCTGGAGTTTGACTTGCGTGCATTATCTCTGGGGGAGTTCAACCGAAAGAATTGAGACGGGAAGGTCGTGCATGCATGGTATTTGTACTCGTGTCCTAATTTGGCCGGAAGAGAACCGTACCGCGTCCCCAGACCATGCCTTTGCCGTGCCGACATCGAGCTCAAAACCTACAATGAATGATCGAATCGGCTTCGTCAGACCCACTTACCTACTATGGCGTATTTCTCCCCCAGCTCTAGGGGGTCCTGCAAATGCTGCAGTTTGGCCATGTAATCCTGCTTGTTCCCATCGTACTCGAGGTAACTGAGCTGGAAGCCTTCCTGCTGGAAATGAGATATGATGGTCGGGTCGAAGTCGTCAGTATCACTCGTCAGCACAATCCGCGGGGTCGTCGTGTTCCAGCTCAGATGCACGGTTCTGCCGCCTCCTCGCATCCGCTGGCGGATCTGTTGCTTGGTTTTGGGAATGTCGAACTTGCCATCGGTGGTGGCGATATTGATGTTAGGAAAGCCTCCAACGTCTATTCGGACCATCGTGAATCACATGCAGGGTACCAATATAGCTGTGTGCTGCGTACAGGGACATTGAGCAGAAGAAGAAGTGGAAAGGACCGGAAATCTGGGACGAATGCCCTCTTGAACTTGGCTGCCAGTACCTGTAATGCAGTACTCGCGGACGTTATGACGTAAGGCGGGATCTGCCGTTCAGCCTCGTCGCCTCGTGCTTTCGCGGAAGGGCCAATCAGACGCGATCAGGCTTGGGATGTTTGGGACTCACCGTATCTAATAGTATCGTACCGTACGTGGACGGAGGGTCTCTGCCTACTGAGAACGGAGGTTCGTGCCTGTCTCGCGGCAAGTAATTAATGGCTTCACGCAGGAGGACATTGTCCCTGAATCCGTATTTTCGAAGATTGACACAATGCTTCGGCCAGAGACGGCCGCTCGTCACCGGTAGAGACAAGCTCTTCCGCGTCTCAGAGGAAGTACAAGATGCTCTCGCAACGGGGAAGCCAGTCGTTGCGCTGGAGACGACGATATACACACACGGTATGGCATGAAGCCTTCTGCAGATATCTATGAAGGCTCATTGCTTACCAGGCTATCCGTACCCCGAGAATGTTGCCCTCTCCTCGCACCTCGAATCCCTAGTCCGCGTGAATGGCGCCGTACCTGCCACTATCGGTATCCTCGGGGGCAGAGCCCTAGTTGGAATGGGCGCCGAAGAATTGATAGAGCTGGTCTCAGCTGCTGGGAACAAGAATACCTGGAAGATCTCCAGGCGGGACCTTGGCTTCATTGGTGGGTTGGGCTTAAGAGGGCATACGCTCAATGGAGGGACAACCATTGCGGGGACAATGGTGCTAGCCCACCTGGCGGGCATCAAGGTCTTTGCTACGGGTGGTCTTGGTGGTGTCCACCGAGGGGGAGAGAACTCTCTGGACATCTCGGCCGACCTGACCGAGCTTGGACGAACGCCCGTCACAGTGATATCCAGTGGTTGCAAGAGTTTCTTGGACATCCCTCGTACACTGGAGTATCTTGAGACGCAAGGGGTGGGCGTAGGCACCTTTGCCGATGGCAGGCAAGGCGACGTCGACTTTCCGGCCTTCTTCTCACGAGACAGCGGCGTCAAGAGCCCCAAGACTATTCTCGACGAAGCAGATGCGGCTGCCATCATCTACGCACAGTCTGTGCTGGGCATAGATTCTGGTCTGCTCTTCGCGAATCCTGTTCCGGAGCATTCGGCAATGTCGCGAGAAGAGATCGATTCTATCATCGCGGAAGCCGTTTCGGAAGCCGAGCAAAAAGGCATTGGCGGAAGTGCCAACACCCCGTACATCTTGAAACGTATCCGGGAATTGAGTAAAGGAGGAAGTGTCAAGGCTAATACAGCGTTGGTCGAGGCCAATGTCATCCGCGGCACCAAGGTCGCGGTAGAACTTGCGAAACTCGAAAGGCGAGACGGAGCTGCACCTCAGCGGTGAGCCATGTTAGGCGTCGGGCACAGCGCGTCGAGGGTAACCGCTAACTGCTCGCAGAGAGGACAGCAGCAAGCTCGTCATACCTCAAAACTCTTCCAGTTCGTCGATGCGCGAGTCAAGGTCAACACCAAGCACGGAGAGACAGTCAGTTCAGCCTGTGGACGTACTTGTCGCTGGCTCGTTGGCAAGTGATACAATGTGCGACCACCAGCCATTTCACATCACCGCACAATCCACCTCCCCTGTTCCGCAAACGTCGAACCCGTCTAGCATATCACAATCACCTGGAGGCGTTGGCAGGAATGTATCCCTAGCTGCCCACTTGGCAGGTGCGAAGGTTGTTTTGGCCAGCGCTGTGGCAGACGATCTAGCTGGCTCGTCTCTTCTCGACCATGTCACGAAGTCCGGTCTACAAACGACAGGTATACGGCAGCTTTCAACTATTGATGGTGCCAGGACGGCTCAATACGTTGCGATAAACGACACCAACAAAGATCTTGTGGTTGCGATGGCAGATATGTCAATCTTTGCGCGTCCTGAGTTGGAGGCACCTGGCTACTGGACGGCGAAGATGGAACAGAGCAAACCGACGTGGGTCGTCGTCGATGCGAACTGGTCCCCGAGCATTCTTTCGGCGATATTCGCAGCCGCAAAAGCCTCCGGCGCACTCGTTGCATTCGAGCCAGTCTCCACCGCGAAGGCGGCACGGCTCTTTCACAAGGACAATCGTTTCGTCACGAGCGCTAAGGTTGTACCGGACCATGTGGTCAGCCTTGCATCCCCCAATCACCTTGAATTGTCAGCATTGTACAATGCTGCCAGGGAGGCCATGATGTTCGAGTCGGAGGAATGGTGGAGCGTCATCGACAGCTTAGGTCTCTATGGGGCGGGATCCCGGGAACGGTTGGTCTCCGTCGCCGGACGAGAGCTGGTCGAACAGGGTATTCCGCAGCAGGGCATACAGCTTCTCCCGTTTATCCCGAATCTGGTAACAAAACTTGGTCGTCAAGGATGTCTACTGACGTGCCTGTTGCGCCGTGGGGATGAAAGGCTGACGCGACCAGAAAACGCCCCTTATGTGTTGTCAAGAAACCTCTCTGGCGACAGTGATCTTGGCGGTCTGTATATGCGATTGTTTCCCCCGTTTATGGAAGTGGCACAAGATCATATCGTGTCGGTGAACGGCGTCGGCGACACGATGTTGGGTGTGGTGATTGCCGGTCTTGCAAGAGGACGCACACTGGAGGAGGTACTGCCGATTGCCCAAGAGGCGGCAGTACTGACACTGAAATCCCCAGAAGCCGTGTCACCACAGGTCCGGGACATCCAGGACAAGCTCGACAGGCTCAGGTGACAACATAGGCGAGAGGGAGGTCCGGTGGTTTAACGAACCAATCCCAGCGCCACACGTACCTTACTCAGCAGCCTCCGATACCGACACCACCACCTCGCGGTTGTCAGCCGGCATCTCCGCCAACGTCGAGGCTATATCTCTCACTGGTTCACAGTCTCCATCGCATTTGCTGCCTGACGTCGTAGAGACTCTCGCTGGCGGCATCAAGCAACGCATCGTTTCGCCATGGCCCGCTGGTACTGGGTGCTCCAATTAGCGATCGTGTCTCTTGCGCCCACCATGTCGGCAAATCCAATCGCCGAATGCGTGGATAGCAATCCGACTACTTCCGTAGCAACAATTCAGCACTACAATGCTGCGGAGCCGCGATTTCAGATGAATCTTCTCAGCGAGAGAGGTCTGTCCTATCCCCTCAGCGCGCGACAAGCGTCCTGTCCCAATCCATCAACGAATTCATTATGCGAAGCGAACTTCTGCTTCATCTATCAGCAGAACGGTGATGGCACGGCCTGGGCAACGTGCTGTCCCACAGGCTGGGTGCTTTCGCTCAATTCAGGCGACTGGAGTACGCAGAAATGTATGCTCAATGGGGCTTCCGAGCCGCCGCTACGGCCAGTGAGCTGCGGAGGAAGTATCAATGGCGCGGCGGGGACTGTCTCGGGGTGGGCATGCGTCTACTCGAATCAGAACATCAACGGAGGTGCACGGACAAAGCGATCGGCCATGCTGGTTGCCGCACTGACTCTCTCCTGGATCGGGATGTGGTGCTTCTGACGCCTTGGGCACTCGAGTATCTTCGCCTGAAGGGGCAGCACGACGGAGAAGGCGCAGCATGCCACTGACCGCCACGCAGTCGATTTTTCGACCTCCGCACGACGAGCATCATCGACATGGCTACGAGGTGCAGATACCTATGTCCTTATTACGACTTGTGCATGAGCAAAGGAGAATGCGCACGGGCGCTGATGGCGTGTGCTTGCCAATCACGATACCCATGACCCACGAAGTCCATACATCTACAACTGCAGGGCAAGCGACGAGATTCGTACTCGGCTATGTAGAACAGATTCAGCACCACACTTGGCCGTCTTTGGTACAAATTTCTGTCTCTGATTGCAAATCGAGAAGCGGGTTGATGCAGCCGGTCCACTTCGATCACCCACCCCTCGGCGACCTCGGGCTCTACGTAGATAATCTTCCTTCATCCGCGCTCCAGCCCGCCAAGACATAGTCATCCATTGAACAGGTGATGTCTCGCTGGCGAATCACGTCCTGCACTGTCTTTCCTCGATGTTCTGAAGCCCGCTGCTCAAACGGAGTCGGTATGTTTCATCATAACACGGACACTGCTCCCTTGCCTCAGAGACGCGGTCCCCGAGCGGGCGGAACAAGTACATACCCCTTGACAATCGTGGCAGAGAACGGCAATGGCATTATAATAGCGATCCGACTATTAATCGTCGCAGAGCATCGTTGATATAGCGCCGCGAGTCCGCGTCCCGGGACCGGTTCCGGTTCCAGTGCCAGTGCCAGTGCCAGTGTCAGTGCCAGAGCCAAAGCCAGCACCTCACGACAAGACTATAACAATACTCGAACGAAGGAGATACACCCGCATCCGTCGCCGTCGCCGTCGCCGCGAGTCGTCCTCCCAGTCTCCCCTACAGCGCTGTATCATCTCTCCTCTTCCGCCTCGCCCCTCCAACATCACATACCGACCCTGCCCCCGAAAGATGTGCATGCAAAGGATATGTCCTACCTGTCGTAAGTCCCTGGTGTCATATCATTTCATGTCTTGTCATGTCACGTCGCAAAATCTCGTCCAATATATCATTCTGCTCCCATTGCCCTTTATATTCATGGCCATGATCTTGCCCTCAGCCAGGCAGGCTTCTTCTTCTCCCCGTTCTCCTCGGCTCGGTGCATGCCACCAAACAAGCACTCAAGCACTCAACTTCCCTCCCGCTAACATGACCGTCTCAACCCGCGCAGACAAGATAACGTGGTGGGGTTGCGGACGACATATCCCCGGTGTGATGGACTCGATACCCGAGAATAGTTGGTGTACGTGCAAGCCGTTGGTCGAGGTGCAGGGGAAGGCCTATCCGCCGAAGCAGGGACAGGGGCATCCTGGATAAGGCCTGGGATAGGGATAGGGATGGGGATAGGGATATGAATAAGAATGGGAATGGGAATGGAATTCGCGAATCAGGACCCGAACCGGAACCCGAATCGGAGGAGTCAGCGCTAATTCGATGAGATACCGAAGGGGAGGAAGGAGATTGACGGAGGACTGCGTGAGAAGGAAGGAAGGAATCAGGACAGGACAGGACAGGACAGGACAGGACAGGACAGGCGAGGACAGGGCGAGGCGAGTCGGGCCATTACAGACAGACGGGGCAGAGAGAGGGCCTGTCGTGCTGCTGCATCGAAGGGTTTGACGATGTCGAGGGTATCGGGTTTGAGAAAACCTCTTGACGAAGAAACGTTGTTGGGTTATTTTGCTCCTACTCTTTTCCATTCAAGAGCATACAGGCAGGAGAGGGAGGGAGCAAAGATGACTGCACATGCCCATGCCCATGTCCATGTCCCAGCAGAACAGTGTGTCGTGTACAGTACAAGTACCATGACTTAGCTTTGGAGGGTCTCGTCACTGTCTCGTCATTGTCTCATCCTTCCTCTTGACGCTTCCCTGTGGCCATCGCCCCACTCGCTCAGCTCACTCACGTGAAGACGATGCCACCGTCAATGACCATCGTCTGGCCCGTCACAAACTCCGCGTCCTTCGAACACATGAATCCGCCGACCACGTTGCCCACATCGTCAGGCACGCTGACTCGCCCCAGGGCGGTCAACTCGGAGCTATACTTCTTGACCGTCTCGCCTCTCGGCCGACCCTCGATCTCACCAAGCTTCTCGTCAATGAGATCCCACATGGCTGTGCCCACGATGCCGGGTGCATACGCGTTCACGTTGATTTTATGCTTCGCCATCTCCATGGCGAAAACTTGCGTCAAGCCACGCACCGCCCACTTGGATGCGCTGTAGTGCGAGAGCAAGGGGAAGGGCTTGAATGCCACGATGCTGGCACACCCAAGGATCTTGTACCCGCTGCTGCCCTCTTCGACGGGACCCTGCTTGATCATCTGCCTCGCCGCATGCGTGTAGCAGAGCCAGACGCCGAAGAAGTTCACCTCAAACATTTTGTGCACGTCGTCATCGCTGATGTCTAGTGCGGGGGACACCTGGGCGATGCCCGCGTTCGCTACCATCACGGTCAGGGGCCCCAGTTTCTCAACCGACTCTTTTATCAGGTTCTGCACGTCGGAGGAGGAGGTCACGTCGGCGACGACGCCGATCGCCGTCCCTTGGCCGTGTGTACTGTTGAGCTCGGAGACGAGTTTGTCGATGCCCGCCTTGTTCGCGGAGACGTCGTTGACGGTGACTTTGTAGCCTTCCTGGGCGAGCCGGCGGACAATCGATTCGCCTCTGGGGGAAAGAGGTCGTTAGTGGTGCCGCGGTGCTGGGGTGTTGTCAAGGGCACTGTAGGCAGACTTACATGCCACGGGAGGAGCCCGTTACGATGGCGGTTCGTTTGGCCATCTATGACGTTGACTAGTGCTCTGTGAACGTGTGTGTGTAGTACGTGGAGGGACCGTATCTTGCAATTCTCCTTCCCACTGTTTGCTCTGCCTGCGCTCTGAGGGTCTTCCCAAAGTTCGAGAGACGCAGCCGACGCGGCATCTGATCCTCCGGCATATATATGATCATCATGAGCAGTCCGCTCGCTCAGCTAATCCCGAGGTTGAAGGACTCCTCTCCGGGCACGCGGATCGTCATGGTAACTCTATCCGCGTCGGTGCCCCAGTTGCCTGCGCATGGAGGTTTGGAGGTGGAGAAACGACATGCGTGAGCACAAACCGGCGAGGAGAAATACACGACTGTGAGCGCATGGAGAGGTATGGATGCGGGGCAATGTGTACCGAATGCATCTCGGCCTCCGGGAATATTCCGAGATATGCAACGTATTGGCTCGATTGAAGACTGCTGGACCACGCGTCTGGAGGTGGCACGCTCCTGGTATAATATGTACCTGTTGCGGGGGGATTGGTGGAGTGTGAGTCGTGGGGGTATACGGTGACCTGAGACTCTCCCCGTCATTCCGTCCGCTTGTTCCGCCTCCCTTCGGCGTGATTAGACCGAATATCGCTCCTATTGAACCGGTGTTGCATTGCAATCGTGGTCTTCTCCTGCCGTGGAGCTCTTGAGGTTTTGTATGAAAGGCTGCGCTAGCTGACTGGGTGCTTTTCTCAGGCGGCAAAAATGCAGGCGATTGCTGGGCGAGCTTCTCGACCACCCCGCGTAGTAGATAGTCAGTTGATGGTGGCGTAGACTAACCAACGCCAATTACCAGAACAAGTCCATAGCAGCTGTTTCAGTCCAAAAACCTGCAGACAGGCAGACGATACTGCGCGACGTTCCAATACTTCCGACGGACTCCTTCCCACTCCTCATCAAGGTTCGGAAGTTGCAGGTCAGCCCAGGTCACGTCATAGCCAGCTTCGAACAGGTCAAATTCGACGACCTTCTGGTAGACGTCGTAGCTGATCTGCCTGTCGGCGCCCATGCCGTTGAAGAACGACCACCGCCCGTCCTGGCTCAGCACGCTGATGACGTGCTCGGAGAAGAAGTCACGGAAAGCACTGTAGGACTCGGCAAAAGTATCGAAGTAAATGGCATCGAAAATTTCGTCTTCTGCGGCGAGCTGAGGGAGGATGTTCTGCCATTTCCCGCTGTGAATGACCACATTAGGCCGATCCATCCATCCTTTGCGGCGCATCTCATTGATGACATCGGGGTGTGCCTCAATGATGTGATGGCTCGCCGGCCTGTTAGCGTGATCCTGGATGTACGTGTCAAAAATGCCCATGCCAAAGCCAATGTTTAATATCTTGAGGCCTGGTTTCGGCAGAATGGCATCCGCTGATTGCCGCATAATAGAAGTTTCCCAATCCATCATGACCCCATTTCTCTCTGCGTCCAGGAGTCTGCTGTTGCTGAGGGATAGGTTGGATGAGAGGTACCGGGGACTGGTGACGTCGCCTTGACTAGTGCTGGGCGGCGGTGCCCCTGCCTTAGCTGTGGGCGAATCTCCTTCGTTGACCTCGTTTCCATCGCCGTCGCCCTCTTCTTCCTCGTCTTCCAGCTCCTCGTATTCTTCCAGTCTGTTCAGTATCATCTCCGCACGGACGCCTGCGTCTACCATTATCTGGTAGAGCTGGTGCAAGCCCAACCGATACGCTACGCAGCCCGGTGTCTCGTCGTTCCGGTCCAGCTGATTCCAGATGGCGCCATTCTCGAGCAGGAACTTGACAACCTGAATGCCGCTTTCTTCACTGGGCTGATTTACACTAGAGTCACCATCTGGCTGCAACTTACTGGAGGCAATGGCGGCGTGTAGGGGTGTAAGGCCTGTTGCTGGGTCTTGGACATCGACAGCTTTGCATTCGGGAAAGGAATACTGATCAATACACTTCTCCAGTGATTGTATGTCGTGGTCAGTCGCGGCTTTGATGATCTCTCCTATGCTGTCATTCACCTTGTGCCCATTGGCCTGCGCTGACGGAGTGCTGGTCATGGTCCACGGCGCTTCAGAGCACTCAGCAGCAAATCATGACGGCCTTGTGCTTGACCTTGTCGTGCTTGTCTCAGACCAGCTTCAGGCGTGGGTGACACGAGAATGACGAGAATGAATTAGCGCGCAGTACCGGAACGGAGAAAAGTATAACTCCGAGATCGCGCCAAGCCTAATTAGTCCGGGCGCAGAAATCGCCATCGGCTGGCAGATGGAACTTCAAACTAACCTCAGCTGGACTTTGACTTGCTTTCTAAGACATTGTAGCCTCATTTTCATCAAGCATGGCCATAATCGACGTCAAGGGCCGCTTGCAGACCTAGAATACGGCAGAGCCACCCTGGGGACGATCCAGCATCCTGGAGCTCATTTCGCCGTCATCGATTCGTCCGAGACTGCGAAGATCTCGAATTGACAGCGTCGTTGGCACCACTTCGGCCTCAAGCTTTTCCAGGACGAGGAACCTGAGTCCGCTTTCCCTGGAAACATGAGGGCGCCTCCATCCAGACCGTGTTTTTTCGTGTCATCAAACCGTGATGCAGAGTTCTTGGACGTGGTAAGGGCTTCAATCGAGCCTGTCGCTAGCCGGGGTGGTAGCAGCCGAAGCCTTTCAACCAGAATATCAATTCAGGAGACAGTTGGCATCATCGTACGTTAGAAGAGGGCTTGCAATAGTCAGTCAGTGCGTGCCTTCGCAACACTGTCCTACTGCGGCTTTCCTGCTTAGAGCAGCGGGTTCGCCGCACCGGAGCTGTCAAACGACCACAGACTCCAGCCAATCACAGCATCCATCAGGGGCCTTGTCGGGCTCCTACTCCGTTTCCTCCAACCTTGATATTACAGAATAAACTCTTGTTGCGAAGATATGGGCAAGCCGAAAGGCAAAGGCCCGAGATTGCCGAGCAATGAAAACTTGCACGACATGACTGCTGAGGCCCTTTCCGCTCCGAGGCCTGGAAGTCCGCTGAGAGCTGCCGACGGCCACAACGTCGACGGCTGGGCAGATGATGACATCAAAACTTATAACGAACTTCTCACCGAAAGAGCAAAATTGGAAAAGGAAAAGAACGAACTGGAACATAAATCTTCCCGACACCAGACCCAGAGGGCGCTCCTTGATGAGAACGCAACAGCGCTGGATAGTCTCTTCAAAGCCCACCTAGGAGGTGATTTCAAGTTCACCGGCAGGGGGAAATGTTGCCTGGACTTTGATGAAACATGTGGTGAGGCAGCTGGGAAGAATGATTTTCCCTGCAAGCATGAACTATGCACGCGGGCAAAGACCAAGGGCGTGTCATGGATGGAGATGGACACGATCAAGTACTACCATGCAAGAATCGTGTCGGAGAAATCGCAGCGAATGCAGAGCGCACTGCGAAAACAGAGGGATGTCGAGTTGCTTCGTGTCAAGAAAGACGACGAAGAAGAGGCAGCATTGAGGGCTCGGCGGAATGCTATCCTGGATAAGGCGACCCGCAGCAATCAAATCCCTACTCAACCAAGCAAAATCGACAAAGGGAGCACGTCGGAAATGCCGGCTTTGGATATCCTGCCCATGGCTTCGAAGGAGTTCCTGCTTGACCCCAAGAACAGTGCAATTTTTGAGGCTGCGAAGGACAATGAGCATATTGTACGGAGAATACGAGGAAGGTTGGATAAAATCAGACACGATGTGAATGCAGGACGAGTCTCGCCAGCGGATGCCCGCGTGAAGTTGGATCAAGCCAATTCAGAGATGGCCGAAGCAGAGCGCAAGAACAACGAGTTCAGGCAGATGATTCTTGATGCAGAACCTGCTCTTTCACAGCTCCATCATCCCACTGCCCCAGCATCCGGCACAAGCACAACAGTCCCGGCCAATCTCACAACAGTACTGGAAAATACCTTGGCATCCTCAAATCCGGGCTCGTTTTCTCAAGCTCTGAGCGTGATGAAGGGTTTCTTCAGTGCATCTGATCCTCAAGATGTGCAAACCGCCATCACAGATCTGCGCAGTGTGCTCGAGCTCAATGGGCCTATGAGTCCCGTCCTGAAAAAGTCTTTTAATGCTCTCGAGGATATGCTCTCCAAGCCTAATGCCACCGGCTTCACAGTTGATGTCACCACCAGCGACGGCAAGACTACAACATGTAATAACGTGGTAGAGGTCATGATGAACCTCCGGTTGAAAATGCAGGGCTCCGATAAACCTTCTAGCGCCGCCGATCCTGACCTGAATCTCGACGAAGACACGATCAAAGCCAACTTGGAATGCATCAAGGTGGAAGATGCGGCGAAGAAAGAGATGATCAAAATTGCGGAAAGGATGGCAGATGATACTGTGGAAAATGTCACCACGGCGCTCAAGAAGATCAAAGCAAAAGCGACACTGAAATCGCCAATTCCGCCACTGTCGGACATCGTCCTTGATGATGTGATCACCGACATCCTTTTCCGCCGTTCGCTCAAGGCCCTAGTCGTCGAGGCTGGGGCTGGCACAAGTTCTGCGCAGCAGCTTTCCGCAAAGCTCACCACTCTCATCGTGACTGCTGCACGAAATAAACCCGACAAATTTCTTCCGACGCTAAACGTGGTAAAGGCCTATATGAGCATGATGAAGAAGGATCCGCCACAAGTTTTCCTCGAGGCCCTGTCGAAGGTGAACGACTCGATGCCGAAATTCGTCGCAGCACATGAGGAGAAGCTGAAAAAGGGCGCTGCTGCACCGAAACCTGCATCCCCAACCCCTGCAGCAGCTCTCGCCTTTCACTCACAGAGACCCGACCATGCGGTTGCCACGAGATTTCTGGTCGAAGGCAAGCTCGTAGCCCCGTTGGACTTGCAGGGGCTCTTCAACTTCCTGAAAACCAGCTCGGCGAAAGATCCCAAGAAGCTCCGAGCCCGCATTAGCGAATACTACCATAGGAACCTTGAAGAGGGTATCTGGGACGTATTGCGCATGGTGCTGACCCATCAGACGTCGAACAAATTCTTCTGGATGGATTTCGACAAGGAGAAGATGTTCTACACTGAGTACCTGCGACTCACCATTGTGGCACCGCACTTGAAGCTCTCCGATGCTCTCTTGCACTTCCAAGAGCTTGGCCTGTGTCCTGGAAGGGCTGCTATCCTCCAAGCTCAACGGGTCACCTTGCGGTACAGGGAGAACTTCGACCTAGGTTTCCAGATGATGTTGGACCTGAAAACCTTCGTAGGAGTCGGGGCCGGCAACAACGAGGACTGGGTCCGTACCTTCGGGTTCGTTGCAGAATCTGTCGCAGATCTCTTTGGCTTGCTGAACAGCTCGTTACTATGCCATGCTTCCATCGAGATTTCTCTCATGGCCGTCGACATTCTAGGCTTCATCTGCACATTTGTGCTCGGATCAATGACTGGCAGCCAAGCAAAGGCGAATTTGCGCTATATCGAGAAGTTCATCTTCCACTCTCTGTTGACTGATATGGACAGTCGTGCTCCAAAGTACCAGCGGATCCAGGGTGCGCTGTCTCGATTTTATCTCATGTGCGAAGATGCGTCGGCGTGCAGGTGTCTACCGGACCATGCCTGCCAAGCGCGACTGTCGTCTTTCGCTAAGGAGAAACTGGGCTCGCTTGTGCCTGCACCACTGAAGGTGCACAAGCCCGAAAAAGAACGTCTGGAGGATGACCCGTCTTCACCTTTGTTCCAGACGTCTTCCGGCCTGCCGCGAGATGCCCACTTTAAACTCATGATTGGAGCATACTGGGACATGGCCCAGACACTCACGCCGCACCTGAAATGTATAGCATCCAAGAAGAAGTGTAGCTGCAGCGAAGCCGACCAGGAATTCGGCGAAGAGCTCCAAGTGCTCAAAAACAGCCTTGATGTCGATCTCGCGGAGCTGACTGCCATCCAGGCCGATGGCAAAACGCCTCCGGAAACCCTCTGGGGCAACCTCGAGAGAAGCGCCCTGCTTCTACAAGAGCGACCGTTGACCTGGCCAGGCAATCAAAAGCGGCTGAAAGAGTTGCGCTCAAGGGCCGGAAACTCTCGTTTCGCAGAGCTTTTACCTCCTGAAGTGAATGGTCCCAGACCACAGCCTGCAGCCCCAGAGCCTACACCGACTAACACGACAGCAGCCTCACGCCACTTTAATTTAAAGAAAGTCCCAGTCAATGTCCCAAGCATTCAGAACAATGTCTCAAGCACTGCATCCGAGAAAGGAAATCTCGAAAAAGATGCAGCAGAGGTCTCTCCTCATCAGAACGCGGGCGTATCTCGGATACCTGAGGGCGACAACGAAGGGCGACAAGCGGACACAGCCGCTCCTCGATCCAACTCGGAAGATGAAGATAATGTTGACTCCGAACCTTGGCCCATGAGCGATCGTGAACTCGAGCTCCGCGAACAACTGCTCGCGTTCACCGATTGTGTCGATAAAATGCATTCCATTGCAAACTTCCAGCAGCCCGGACTGAAATTCAACCAACACGTGCTCGACGGCGTGGCATGGCAGATCGAGGACACGCTCATTGGACATGTCCAGTTGGCCTTGCTCATCGCCAAGGCACAGGAATACCACGGATTGAAAGCCTGGATAGAGTACTACTACAAGAACACGATGCCGACGCCCCTGGACGAAAGCTTCAATGTCAACGGAGTAGGCAGCAGCGGTGCAGGTGCAGGCATGACCGATTCGGAGAGGCAAGCCAAGGCGGCAATGGCACTCGAGTATATCGCCAAAGTGACTGAGAAGGCGAGGTCGCAAACACCGGGGCAGGCCCAGATACAGACGCAAACGCAGACGCAGACTACGCAGATACAGACACAACCACTGACGGGGAAGCAGAAGCAGCCTGCAGCAAGAGCGTCTCCCGCAGCAGGGACCCCAGCTTCCGCCACCGCCTCTGCCTCTGCCTCCACCTCCACCTCGGCCGTCGTCCAGCAGGCCGAGCAGGCGGTCGCGGACGTAGAGCAACTGGGCCGCAACTTCATCCAGCAGATGCAGATCGTCTCTGGGCGCAAGAAGCGCATGCCCAGGAGAAAGCGGTGATCAGATCACTCCACCCTGGTAGGGACATTGGTGGAGGCCGGTTCACAGGGGACCATCCAACCGATGGTGACGAATGAGATTGGCTGAGATGAGACGAGAAGATGTTAGTTGCCGATTTGAGGCTCAATCAAAGTGCGGTCGTCGTTTCCACTTCCGGCGTATTGGGCGTCCTACATACAGACAGGACTAGGGCGCGCGCAACGGGACCGATTATATGCATCAGGGAATCGTATTTTCATGGGAGAGATATGCATCAGGCAGAACGGCGTTTTCACGAGTGCAACTTTGTCTGGATGGCCTTGTTTCTCCGCATTCCGGGTTAATTATGGATATGTTTCGAGCGCAAGGGGCTGCTGTATATCGGTGACTGAATGCACGACTGAGACCGAGCGACGTGACAATGGTGGTTGGAAGAAATGAGGCTCTTGAATGTCAATTAGCATTGGGTTAAGACCGACAGACAGACCGACAGGAACAACAACATGTTTACACTACCTTGTGATTTTGTATGCGCGCACTATTACCGAGCTCATCATGTTCAATTCTAGAACGCCAGATGTGCATTTCACTCCATAGAATACTCGACGTGTTGGAGGCTCCGACTGTTCGGCCACAGGCTACGCCATCCTTCGGATGCGACTTGCCCGTGGGTTAAGCTGTAAGCTGGAAACCAGATGAGCCCGTCATGGTAATCCCGCGCCTTCAACTCCTGGCCTCTGTCCACATACGTCGCCTCCTTGATCATTCGTACACTCAATTACACGCCTCCTGCTCCCGGGGCGTCTTTATCAGCCTTCAGACTGAGCAACAACTCCCTCATCTTCTTCTTGGAGCTCCCGTCGCCTCCTCCAGATTGGCCCTTGCCACTCAAATCCACCAGTTTGGCAATTCTCTCCCACGCGGTGCCCTCTGCAGTGGTATCCTCTCTCTTGGCCAAAAACTCTTCGGCCTCCTTCTGCGTCTGGGCCTTCTGCTTGTCGACTTTCCGATTGTAGGATTCGTAGAAGCTGTCAATGTCTTTCTGGGCCGTGGAGACGGTCTCTTCCTTTTTGCGCTGCGAGGCTTCGTCGCGGCGGGCAATGTCGGCATCGCGCTTTTCGCGCCACGCGCGGATCGGTTCGCTCTCTCCCTCGCCCGACGGCGCCGTGTAGTTCGTGTAGCCGGTGAACGGGGCCGGGGTGCTGTCGGTTATCGTGCCGCCGGGTCCGACGTTCTATGTCCGCGTGTCCATGTTAGTTCTTTTGCCGCAGACTCGTGTGGGTAGATTGCGCAAAAGAGGCCGGGGGGGGGGGGTAGGCATACGTCGTTTCTTGTGTCAATGGCAGGGAAAGAGCTCTCAAAGTCGTCGAGATCGTCGGGCGCCGCACCCCCCGAGGGCTGCGCCGGAGCAGGTGTGAAATCATCGTCCCCGCCTAATAGGTCGTCGTCTCCATCTTGTACTGTAGCAGCCGGTCTGCCGGAGTTGGCGTTGAAGAGCTCCGCGTCCTCACCCAGTAGTGCTCGTTCGCGTTCGAGGAAGTCCCCTTGGCCGCTGGTGTCGGGTCTGACGTCTGTCTCGCCTGCAGATGCTGTTAGTCGGGTCACGGAGGACACAAGCTAAGCTGAGCGCAGTCATAGAGCGTGAGTCGGTTCGTACCTGCGTCAATGTCCTCAATTGAAGGGAACCGGTCGGCCATGCTGGATGGCGAATGGGAGACACGAGCAGAGTATTGCGAGATACGGGCGCGCAGAGTTGGCGTCAGACGAGGGTAGGCAGTCAGAGAAGAATATCGCTTGCAAAAACAGAATGTAGGGTCGAGGACGTTGTGAGGCTACAACTTTTTGTAAGATGCTACGTACTCCGTAGTCTGTTTGCGATCAGAGTCGCAGTTGCAGGGGCACCTCAGAAATGCTTTCAGTCAGACGACCTTGGCTCTACGAAGCTGTGAAGCTGAGACGTGTCAGACAGTCACAATTCCGACATCTTTACGTTGAGTACGGGGCCTTTTTCTGTATCTCATCCATTGGAAATACGTTCTTGGTGGCAGCATAATACAAGTTTATGCCCTGCTCTTGTATCCCTATATAGCTGTATACACTGACTGGCAGTTGAAATCATCTCTGTTATGGCTCACTCGGCCGTGCCCGCAAGGCTGCTCGCTGGAGTGCAAGTCAATCCGGTACTGAGGTACTGCATGTGAACTTGCGGTACTCCATCAACAGTTTCTCCATCGGAGCTCCACTGTCAGAGACCCTCTTCAATTCCTGTGTGTGTATCTTGACCGGAAGACAGGATGCACTCCTCTCTGGCAGCTGGTGTAGAACAGAGATAGAGACGGGCTGCTGGAGAGCTCTGCATGTAAACGAGACTCCGTAGTCCCAATGGCTGACAAACTGCACGAACGGCGCTGTCGACAGCTGTTTCTTGGCACTTCGTACGGTCGACTACTGTGCTTACAAGCGAGATTCAGTCACGTGCCAGTGCCTTGGCGCGATGATCGACAACAACTTCAAGCTGACCTTCGCTTTCAGGCACTCTTCGACAACCGAATTCAATCATCAGGAATTGATCACTCTCGAGGCAGATAGTACGGTCAACACGGGGAGAGCAATCTATCGTCGAGTGTTGCCTGAAGTCAGAGCTTCATCTCTCGATCACCGTCATAGCCGTAGTGTAAATCATCTGCTGTGGACTTCACCCTGCTCTCACAGACATTACATCCTGAGCAAAGTGTTGCCTCACGCCGCCAGCACGGTTCTGCGAGCCAAATTGAACGCTCTGCGACAGGTGCCGCATGATCATCAGGAGCAGGCCGTTCCAGCATGTCGTTCTCAGATGAGGCCCTCAAGGCCAAGCTATCGACCCTGAACGAGACCCAAGATTCCATCGTGTCGGTGTCACAATGGATCATGTTTCATAAGTACGTCGCTGCTATGCCACCGCTTCTGACCTAGATACAGACTAACGACATCTCCAGACGCCACGCCGACCGTATAGCTAACTACTGGCTCACTCGGCTCCGCGACGCTCCACCACCCAAACGCCTCAACTTCATCTACCTCGTCAACGACATTGTCCAAAATGCCCGGGCGCGCAAACGATCCGAGTTCCCCGACGCTTTCTCTCCGCTGATGGCCGAGGCGATTCAGACGGCGTATCGATCGTCACCGCCGGAGATTCAAGCCAAGATCCGCCGCGTGGTCGAAGTCTGGCGGACGAGGAATGTCTTCGAGGTGCCCATTCTCGACGCCATCGAAGCGCGCATGGACGAGATCGACAAGTCCAAGGGGGGCGGAGGGAAGAAGAAGACCCTGATGGGACAAAGCCTGTTCGGGTCTTCGAGCAGCACGGGCGGCGGCTTGCCCAAGGAATTGGAGACGTTGGCGCCCTTGCAGATCGAAGTCACGAAGCAGACCATCGCCGCCAGGCCGGCCATCGACGCCGCGCAGAACGAGTACATGAAGCTGAACGAGCCGGGCGCCGTGTTGCCCAGCCCGCCCGTCCATGCCGCCCGGCTGTCCAGCTTGATCAAGTCGCTTGCCGCGGCGGAGAGCTCTGTTTCGGCGAGTATCAAGGCGCGGAAGGCGCTGATCGCGGACCTCGAACGCATTCTGGAGATCAACAAGTCGGCCCTGGCCAAGGACGACGAAACCTACTTGACGCTCGACAGCCGCAAGGCCAGCACCGAGGCCAAGAAGCGGGAAGTCGAGGACGCCATTATCCGCGGCCTGACATCAGCAGAAGCTTCCTCCGCCACGAGCACCATCACTATCGGCCCGGACGCAGGGACACACACAACGCCTCCTGGTCCTGGCCCTGAGACTGACACGGACAATGCCCCCCACTCAACGAGCACCGGCGCCTTCCTCTCTGAGCGACCCGAGATTGAGCAACTCACCGACGACGAAGGCGACTATAACAACAATACCAACACCTCCCCCACGACCGGCATGTTCGATCAAGACCCTCCAGCTCCGGCTCCGGCTCCGGCATCCGCACCGACGTCAGCGCCTTCCACAACCCCTCCGCCTGTGCGCAACCCGGCCCTCGCCGCCGCTTTGGCCGAGTTTTCTGCCTCCTCCGGCGCGGGCCTCCCCCTCGGCCTGGACGCAGATTACTCCGCGTTCCTGCCTAGCGCGGGTCATACGCATCCGCATCCGCACACGCACACCCGCCCACGGACGACCAGCAACGGGCTCCCCGGCGCCAAGCGACGCAAAACCTCCCACGGCGCCGAAGACGAACAAGTCCCGGATCTGGGCGAGATGGGCATCGAAGGCATCGGGCTGCCGGGTCTAGCTGCCCAGCAGGAACAGGGCCAGCGGCAGGGAAGGGACGTCCTGGCCACTTTGGACGATGACGTCGACGAGCTGATCCGGCAAGAGGGCGGGATGTAGAGCGTTCGGCCTTTGGTTGGGAGCATCCCGGATCGGACGGCTACTATGCTGGCGGGTGCAAGTGAAGGGGTAGAGCTGCGAGACTATGCAGATGCCAAAGCTGTGGGGAATGGGGAGGACATCGAGGACGAGGATTGTGAATGGGAGATAGATGATGGATGATGGGTCAAGGGGGCGGGAAGGGTGCTTTGCGCCAGGGAAGAGGACGCGGGCTCGGATCGGTGATGCTATCGTGATCCCACGGCGCAGGGCGCAGTAAGGCAAAGCGACTTGTTGTGGTGAGCAGGAAGTCGACTGCGAAAATCCTATGCTATCACATATGTAAAACAGTGGAGTTTCTTCAGGCGTGGTAGCCAGCAAGGGGCCTGCTCTATTTCACGGCCGAAACGTATGAGCATATTCATCTGCTCTAGAGACTTTAAGTACCTCTTATGGTCTTGTGTTCGAACTCTGCTTGGGGTGAATCTGTCAATTGCTGTAGATGCGTTGCTACAAAACAGAAGCCCCCACCAACGAATGCAAGGATGATTCCTCATTGCCGTCGGTGCTCCTGTTGGGGTCCGCGCCGTAACCACTCTTCTCCCCTGTCTCAACTCACCGTCATCTGTGTCATATGCCGGCCTGGTTCGTTGATGCAGAGGTTCCAACTTTCCCGAGCTCAGGCACCGGGCACCCGAACCCTGTTTGGCTCCTGATGGTCTGCGCATCCATCAATTCACGACAGACTTCTTCAATTGTAAGAACATCCGATTCCACCTCGCTGCTACTCCGTACTTCGCGCAGACCTGGGCCGAAGCTGTCGGATTCTCCATATGTCTCAATGCCGGACCTCGTACTGGAGGCAGGTGCCGATTGGAAGGTGCAAACAGGCGGAAGGGCTGCCGATGCGCAGGTGTTTGCAGCCCAAGAGTTGCTCGGTGCAATAGGCTCAGCGTTTCTGAGTGGAATATAGCCTGGATGGGGTTGCGGATCTGACGACTCTGGACTTTTACAAGCGTTGCCATGTCGTGTGGTAGGGAATGGCGGAGGTGAAATACGCCCGGTGGCGCTCATACGGAGGTCGTGCGCGGTTGGGTTGAATTGACCTTGAAAATTCTAGCAGCGTTGTACGAGAGGGATGTGGGTTCGTGTGGTATCTCCCGATCTCAGCCTCTTGAGCCTCGAAGGATGTCCAGGTATAAGCTTGCTAGCTCGAAATCCGCCGCAGGTGAAGCAGCTCCTTTATCCTTCTCCCGAACCTTTGTGCGACGAATCAGAAATCGGTTGGAATCTGAGCTGGTGATAGACGGTACGCCGCTCCCGTCGGTGACCGAGTCGAGGAAACCACGTAGCAGGGCCTCATCTTCCTTGTCTACGTCAAGAACATCTTTCTGCACATCATTTGGACCCTGCATCTGCATGTGATTGTCGTCCTCCATGTGTGACACCTCGATCAACATGCCTCTGAGATTGGACCCCGCCTGGTTCGCACGCGGGGGGGTCTTCAGGTCCCCAATGCGGATTATCCACTCTCCATCTAGAAAAGACAGAGATGTTCCATTTTCAATTATTAGAGACTGTCGATGTGTCCATAGCGGCTGGAATTTGGTCCCAATCAGCTGGGTGAACGAGTCCGCCGATGTGGACGGGATCGTAATCAGGGTGGGTGACGGCGCCACGGCGGATTGTTCTTTCGAGGGGGACACAGGAGATGTAGTGGCCACGTATGTCGTCGTGGGAGTGTGGGAGATGGTCAGGATACTCGTTGACTTGCGAAGAGAGGCATTCGAGCTGGGAAGCAAGGAGGATGTGTCGATGAAGAGCCGATGGTCCAAATAAAATGTAGGCAGAGGCTCGGCGGGGAACGATCGAGAGATGTGCGAGATGAGAGCAGCGGACGGCGAAGACTGGCCAGGACCAACTGTAACGATGAATAGGCCTGTCAACGGCATTGTGCAAGCATGAGAGGCAGTAATGCAGAAGCCTGTGCTCATACGCCGTCGCCGCAGCAGTAAACAATGAGGTCATTTGTGATGAAGCTGCATTGACCGTTAGTAGAGTGCCCAACGCAGTAAGTAAAGTGCCTAACTAAAGCGCCTAAAGATAAGCTTAATTCTAACTTAGTCAAGTCCACTGCAGCCATGAGCATATCGGGCCGCCCCCTAAGCAGGCACTGCAGGGACCCTGTCCAAATATAATTGATATATTCCCCCCCTGACCACAATTTTGGGGGCTGATCCTCTGTGTCGTGTGACGGTCGGTCAAGGCATCATCTGGTCCAGTTCCAGTGCCGCCCCAATGATGAAGATCATCACCTACAAGTCATTGACAACGCCAGGACCATGATACTCATCCGACGCCTCTGGCTGGCGCCAGCTTTCCTCCTAGCATGCCTCGTCTACTACCTCTTCCTGTACCCCAGCGATACGACCGCAGTTCCTCTCTCCGTGCTCAATCCGAACCGCAACCTGCACTGGACCAAGCAACCCGAAAGACACCCCGTTGCGGGCTATCGTGACTTGCCCATCGGCCCTCTGCAGCAGATTCCCAACATCCAGTTCGACTTCGCGGCGCACCCGGAGTCAGCAGATGCCGCGAAGACGCGCGAGACCCGACGAGCCGCCGTGAAAGAAGCATTCCTCCATTCGTGGAACGGATACAAGAAATACGCCTGGGGTCAAGATGAGGTTGCGCCCGTGAGCGGCGCTTTTCGATCCAGTTTCGGCGGCTGGGGCGCTACACTGGTCGACACGATGGATACGTTGTGGATAATGGGCTTGAAGGACGACTTCGACCTGTGCGTGGAGCAAGTCAAGCGCATCGACTTCACCACCAACGACCAGGAGACGCTGAACGTCTTTGAGACCACGATTCGCTACCTGGGCGGCCTGCTGGCCGCGTACGACCTCTCCGACGGGAAGCATAGGATCCTCCTTGACAAGGCCCGTGACCTGGGCGAAATGCTGTACTCGGCCTTTGACACGCCGCATCGCATGCCCCAGTCTCGATGGCAGTGGAAGAAGACCGCCGTGGGAGCCGAGATCGAACCCAGCACAAACACTCTCCTCGCCGAGCTCGGCAGTTTAACCGTGGAGTTCACCCGCCTGAGCCAACTGACAGGGGACTTCCGCTACTTTGACGCCGTGCAACGCATCGCCGAGGAGATGGAATACTACCAGAACGCGACCAAGATCCCGGGCTTGTGGCCGACCATCGTAAACGCCAAGGAGATTTCCTTCGACTACAACCACTTCACCATGGGCGGCATGGCGGACTCGACGTACGAGTACCTCCCCAAACAGTACATGATGCTCGGTGGCCGCGATCGGAAGTACAAACACATGTACGAAGAAGCCATCGACACGGCGAAACGACATCTCTTCTTCCGGCCGCTCGTGCCCTCGAACAAAGATCTCCTCTTCAGCGGCAACGCGGCGCTCACGACGCTGCAATCGATCCCCATCGCCAGCATCGAACCGCAAGGCCAACACCTCGCCTGCTTCGTCGCTGGCATGGTCGGCATCGGCGCCAGAATCTTCTCCCGGCCCGACGACCTCGACGTCGCCCACCGCTTGGTCGACGGCTGCGTGTGGGCCTACGACGCCATGCCCTCGGGCCTCATGCCCGAGACGTTCCACCTGATCGCCTGCCAAGTGGGCACCGGTGCGCCGTCCCCGCCGGAGAAATGCGTGTGGAGCGACGACGAATGGTACGAAGGCATCGCCAAGAAACACGCCGTGACGCAGGACACGGACCGCCTAACGCCCTTGGAACGAGGTAAAAAGTTCGCCGAGCAGAAAGGCCTGTTCCGCGGGTTCACGGACCACGGCGACAATCGGTACATCCTGCGCCCGGAGGCCATTGAGAGTGTCTTCATCATGTACCGCATCACGGGCGATCCGCACTACCAGCACGTCGCGTGGACGATGTTCCAGGCCATCGACACGGCGACGCGCACGCCAATCGCCCATGCCGCGGTCCATGACGTCCGGACCGCGACGCCCCAGAAGAGCGACCGCATGGAGAGCTTCTGGCTGGCCGAGACGCTCAAGTACTTCTACCTGATCTTCAGTGAGCCCGAGCTGTGCAGTCTGGACGACTGGGTATTGAATACCGAGGCCCACCCCTTGAGGAGGCCGAGCCGATGATACGTCTCAACCCTCAAGTCGGCCGATCAGATACATCGGTGCTGCTCTTCGCTGCACGTATGTAGTATGTGCTCTGATGACTACGCAACGCAACATTGGCACAGCATCTCCGTGAGTGGACGCAGTTACCTGGCTGTCAAGTAGTCGTTCTACCTCTCTTACACTCTTGACGTCCGTTGCGGGAACAGGGGGACCGATAACAGTCGTGGATCGACACGTCGTCACAGCTACCACGCCCGGTGCAAGCGAGCGAGCAAGCAAGCAAGCAATCCATGCACGCACGCAAAAGCAGTCTTGCACCCGCGGTTTTTCAGGACTCGACGACGACACGATTCGATTTGGCTATTCAGCCTCACGCACTTGCACTTACCCACCCACCTGCTTGGCGGTCCGGCCATGGGGGTCCATCTTCATTGCCTGTACGGAGGAGAGTACTACATTTTATCACTACTACTCCTATACACAGCAGCCGCCATGCATGCATGCGTGGCTGTTGGGATGGGGTCGCCTGGTGATTAGTTGGTTGCTACCTTAGGTAGCTGCTTGTCGTGGCCCATGGACGGGAGGACCGAGTAACCCCCCCCCCCCCCCCCACCCGACCCGTCAACCGGGAAATATCAACTCAAACAACCCCCCCTCGCGCCATCCTGACCGGAAGAGCTGAGACAGACATCAGCATCTGAACGAAGCTACTTTCTCCGTGTCTCTGTCCAGGGCCGGTATGCAGCCACGAGGGCGGTGGTGGGTCGGGGATACATTCTCTGTACGGTGTCCCCTGTGTCCCCCTCGGGAATACGATTCGGGGTTTACAAGTAGTAGATGTGCAAGGCCGAGCCGAACAGGCAACGCTGTTTCCACCAGAACACTGGTTCTATAAGTAAAAACGAACAGCAGCACGCAGGAGTCTCGCTGCCCTTTTTCATCTTTTTCCATTCTTTCTCTTCCATTTCTCGATTCTCAATATATACACATTTTGACTTTGGTGCAATGTAGTACGTATCGACATGAAGCCACCCCTTCGTGTCCAGTCCGCCAGACAACGCAGCCGGAACGCTCAATCACTAAATATCCAAACGCGCCACTCCGGTTTTCCGTGCCTCGATTGCTTGCACAAAACTCCTCGGACAAGACACCCATTGTCGCCTTGCGGGGACATTTTTCCCGGTTTTCTTGTCCCGACAGAATATCGCCATGCGCCGTCAATCAAAAACAGAGGATCAAAACAACCGCCCTGGGCCGAATCCTTACCAAGTCTCGGCGATATATTGCCCCGAATTCTTCTTCTCCTCCCAAAAGCTTTTCGCCTCATCATGGTTCAACATCCCTTTGGCCATGGCCACATCGACCAAGGCGGCTTCGACGCCCTCGCCCATGCCCTTGGAACTTCCGCAGACAAAGACTCTCCCGTCCACGGCATTGATGATGAACCAGACCAAGTCCGCTTGGGCTCGGACCTCTTCTTGCACGTATCGTCCCTCGCCACGACGAGATTGAACAACCTTTTTGACCTTGTCTTCGTGCACGCCCCAATCGCCAGAATAGAGCTCGTCGAGAAGACTGTCGCGGACGCCTTGAAGGACCCAGACCTTGTTCGCACAGTTTGCCGACTTTAGCCGGCGGTGGACAAAGCCCCGGAAAGGGGCAACGCCCACTCCAGCACCGATGAGAAGCATCGGTCCGTCGGTGACGAATTCCCGAGCGAGCGGATTCGCCATCAAGCCCCTGAACATCGGGACCCTGAGGTCGAGCTCACGAGGGTCCTTGCCCTCTTTCTCCGCCTGCATTACCTGTTGTGCCAATCTCTCGAGGAATCCGGAACCCACGCCAGTTCGCTTCCCGGTGGCGTAGTCATCGGCTTCGTGCACAGTTACGGCAACCTCGATGAGTCGGCGACGGTTTGCGCCATCTCGTTGGCAGGAGATGGTCGGATCCTGTGAGAGCGAGTAGAACCGAGGCATCAGAGTGTTGAGAACGGAAAGGAGGTGGTCGAGAGGTGGTCTGGAGGACGGAAACGCATTGAGAATTTGGGGTATGGTGATGTACGGGCCCGTTCGGAGATCACAGAAGGCAGCCTGACCCTGTGCTGAGGACAGGTACATCAAAATCATCTTCTCGCTTTGGTCTTCGGCGTGCTCGGCCAGAAGCCGGAAGAGCTGCTTGGTGGGTGGGTAACTTTGGAGGTCGGAGCACCAGGTGAGCAGCTCTCTTCTCGTGGTGACCAATTCCCTGGCGGCCTCATCCCCCCAGATCGTGGGCCATCTTCCGGTCGTGGTCTTCAGCAATATTGGCTTGTCCCGAACAAATCTGGGGACACCCAACAGGTCAAACACCTGTTCCACTATCACAGGTGAGTTGGGGGCACAAACACCGATGGCGCCTCCAACTACGAAGTCGACGTCACCGCCTTCCCTAGGGTAATCAGTGACGTCAATGTCGAAGTGGTACGTCCTCTTCTCCGCGCCAGGCCTCGTCAGTTCACGCGCGTGGAACAGGGGAGCCGAGAACACTTGGTAGGGCGGATGCGGTGTGACAAAACTCGGAGGATGCTTGAGCACTTCAGGCTTGTGCTGTCGTTGTGGCTCGGCGTATGTTTTCGAGGGGGTGTTTGCCAGATTCTCGAAGGAGACCGTCTTTGGGGGCAGGTCGACCACGCCCGAGAGCTCGCTGTCCAGGCTCAGATGTCCCAAGTTGATCTTCAGGCTCTGATACGCCGGGCTGTCCGGCACTTTCAGGGGTATTGAACCTTCGCGAGGCTGTTTCGACTTCAGCTCCTGGAGCATACAGCAGCCTCCACCACAACACGCTTTCTGTATCATGGCAGTCGCCGCGCCCCTCTCGCCCAGAAACCGTCGTGCATCTTCCGAGTCTTGCGAGACGAGCAAGGTGGACGCCCTCCTTTTCTTGCCCTGCGGGCTCTGGGGCGGTCCGCCCTGCAGCTCGTCGAGCGAGTCATCAGACAAGCCGTCCGTCACAGGCGTGGTGGGCTCGGTGTCTATGGTTGAGGCGGAGTCGGAGTAGGAGCTGGAGAGGCCATTGTTGGACGGTACAGATTGAGAAAGTTGAGAGGCCGATATGGAGAGCTTTCTGGTGTCGGAAGGCTCTTCAGGAATAGGATCGTTGGGGTGTGAATGGGCAGTCAGAGGCAACGGATGCCCCGAGGCGACCGTGGCTGACATTCTCGTGCGTGTGGCAATCGTGTGGAGGGCACCTGAACAGATCGCCGGGTCAGTCGTGGCAGTTTAAAACATGGGCAGACATGTCTGGAGAATATTCAAGAACGCGGCAGGAAGGACAGAACAGGCGGGCGTGGATTTGGCATCATGAGGCCTTGCTGAGTATATTGCGGGGGGGAATTCGTGGTGGGATTGTGTGGGATGGAGGTGCGACTCACGGCGATTCCAGCTTCTGACGTAAGGTGCGGAATGGGGCCTCGCTGCGGCGACGCACAGGGCCAGAGCAAACCCGGCACACACGCGTTGAGGCACCTTGACTCGAGGGTGTCAGCCGTAGATACGCGTCAACAGGGTGCAGAGGTAGTCGAGCATTGGTAAGGTCACAGGTGAAGTGTGTCGAGGAGAGAGCTCGACGGGAAAGTGGGTGAGGATGTGAGGTGGAAGAGAAGTGGGTGGAATGGGTGGAATGGGTGGATGGATGATGGGGAGATGATCAGATTGATAAAAAAGTCGATTGATTGACGCAGCGAGGCACCAGAGACATCGGCCAAGTCGGCGGCTCCACTAGCCACTGGCAACTTTCTTGGTGGGCGGTTTGGGCGGTTTCGGCTCTCGCACTCGCTTCTGCTCGTTCTTTCTGCGCAGTCACTCCACCCTCGCTCTACGACCTCTACTGGGGAGACCTCATTGACAATCCGCACACTGGCATTTGATCTCGCTACCGTGCATTGTACATGTACATCGTGAACTCCGACCAGGACATCGCCGCACCCACGAGCCGATTTCCAACCACTGAAGCTGCATGCTCTGCTCCGCACTCGGCTTCTGACGATGGGCATTTGTTTTCTCCAACAGGGCATACTAGTCGAGGTCGATCCATTCCCCTACTTTCGTACTGCTGGGCCTGCTGCGACTTCGGAATACCCACCATTGGCTTGCCCACCGCTCTATGGCTTCGGAAAAGGGATTCTCATGGGGATAAGATAAGATCAATTTCGGGAGAATGGCAAGGGGTCCTGCGTCGTACGACATGTGGGCGGTCTTCCCTCGTGTACGTTCCGGTGTCCGCCGGGCAGTAAGTAGATTCCCGCCTGGGAGAAGATGCGCGGAGACTCTCCTTCTGGGTCCCAACTTCGCCTGCTGTTTGCCCGTGTGTACGAGTAGTCCGTCAGCCGCTTTCCTTGAGACACGTTGCACCTTTCGTCGCTGTGACCCACGAGCATGGCCAATGTTCGAGCTGCCGTTCAACCCGTGTTCTGGCACCATAAGACACTAGAATGGCGTTTCCTGGCTCCCCGCTGCAGCCCAAGAGGCTCGACAGTGAAGGTGATCCAGTCCTGTGGGCGTGCCGAGTGCCCTACACCCCACTATTGGGAGGATGCCTGCTTGATTATCTTGCAAATCTAATCTTATCCCCTTGATCTCTGATCAGATAATTCGCGCAAATTCATGTGTCGCCCTTGGCAGCTGAGTCGTTCAGCCCCATAGGTCAAGCTTCGGCCGTCAGCACGTCCAACTCCTGCTGTTGCGGTGTCGGAGCTGGCGCGAGTAGATAAAGGCGGTCATCGATCAGACGATTAAAGGCGTCCAGGACCGGCTACAGGCTGCGGGACCTTAGTCACCTGAGGTCACATGCGGCGAGGCCAGTGCCGGCCGGCTGAGCAGATTGTCGGACTGTGCTGCCGATATTGCCCCGGCGAGCTCGAGCCCGTGGAGGCTCGGAGGGGCCGGTGAGCATTCTACACAGTACTCCGTAGTGGGTTATCGTGGTGGCCATGGATACATGCTTCGACTCGACAATATAATCGATCGCACTCTCCTCACATGGGTCCAACTCGTCATGGCCAATGGCAGCGCTTGAAGTTGCAGTCTTTCCAGAGACACAACGTGTCGTTCCGTGCCGGCAATGTTGTGAACCATTTTCAGGCTGGTAGGCTAGATGTATGGTCTCGGCAACGTGTGATAATTCCAGAAGATGCCCTCATCCGACCCATAATGTAAGGGTAGGAAGGGGACAATCCGCAGCCCGAGACGGACAGATTTGCAGACTGGAATCCCAGTGTGCGTGATGCCGCAGCTGAAAAGAGCCTGGGACTGTCCACCTTTATTCGAATATAGAAGAGTCGATCCCGTCTAACATAGTGCCTCTTTGTAAGACACCGCTGTCCAAGTATTCAGCGTCCTCCAAAACATCATGACAACGCCACCCTGAAAGCGAACGAAAGCCATAAAGGGATTCGAAACAATGCCACGCACACAGCCCGATGCCCATCTGCCAATTAATACAGCCTGCCGTGCTTTTGCCCAGATATTCGTCATGTCGTTCCTTCTTCGATAGTTTCCCGCCGCTCAATGATGCCGCCGTGTATGTCATGCCCCGAATGTGCCAAGGCCACCGGAAAGAGCAAGAGATATGCAAGAGGTGCCCGAGATGTGACATAGCCTCCTAATACACACGTTTCGAAGATGCCCGGCCATCATTTCTGCAAACCCAGAGTCCAAACCCGTCCACCAGTTCCCATCCCTTTCGAAACTCCCAGCCCGTTCTGAATCATACAATCTCAGCTACTCAGTCAAAAGATTTGTGCGAGCGTCGTCCTTGCTCCGAATCGTACTCGGCAGCCGACGCCTGTGCCGCTCTGCGGCTGTTCTCCTGGGCCTGATGCCGCCACGTGGGAAGATGACGTCTTCTCGCGTTGATGAACCAGTTACTGATCTGAGAAAGGCTCATATTAGCTTGCGACTCTCCCAAAACAGTAAAGAGCAAATACCTGGGCAAGGCTCAGCTGCGTGTCGTGAACGAACTGTTGCTTCTCATCCTCTGTGGGGTAAGGATGATCCAAATGCGCCAGAAACCAATTCTTTAGGTAGTCGGTAATATGCTTGGGCAGATTACCCCTCCGTCTCCTGTTGCCTGGGCCGCAGCTCTCCCCATTCGACACTGTCGGAGAGACTGCGTGGTGTGAACCCGTTGGAGATGGGATGTATTCGACCCCGTAAGGGGACGAATATGCAAGTCCCTTTGGGTAGTCGAACAGTGCCGACGGGTACCTTTGGTAATCCATCGTTGGCGGTTGTGGCCGGTTTATTTGCTGGTAGCTCTGTCCATATCGATGAGCAGGTTCATAATATGCATGGGATTCTGTTTTGATGGAGTAAGGTGACTCTGTTTTGATGGGATAGCTACGATGGTCCGCGAAAGCTCCGCTCGATCCTCCGTAAGAGTACGGGCTTGCTGTGGGAAAAGACTGATTGTAGGTCAAATCGTGGATAGACGGTAGACTCGGTTCCGGTTTCGGTGCGGCAAATTGGGTCTGTACGGTGCAAGGTGCACGCTGTTGACTACCGTAGGGACTGACAAGCTCAGTGTAGTGCGACGGCGAGGTCCACGATGAGTTCTGTCGGTGATGACGGTGAGCCGCGTACGCCGAATCGGCACTCTGCGCAGACATGTTGTCAAAATTCTCGAAATTGCTTCCGGTTTGCAACCGTTCTGGCGAGGGTGGCTCGATCTTCAACGGTCCGGATGCCGTATGAAAAGTTCTCCTTGTCATAGTATTTCCTTGGGCGTCAGGCGCAGATGCCACTGTGACCGCTGGCTCGATGCTACTGTGAGCTCCGGTTCCAAGAAGCTTATTGATGTCAGCGAGTTCGGAGCTGTAGGCAACCTAGCATACCTCTCTAAAAGGCGGCAACTGTTGCTGCTGTTGATGTGGTTGTTGCGTAAGGAGGAGCTTTGAATCGTCTAGAGGAGCACTTGAGCGTTGTGATCGGCCTGCTTCAAAGTCAGAGGGACAGACATAAGAGCCGTATGGATCCATGGAAGCAACAGGAAAGGGAGAGGAAAGAATCACACATGAGAGAGTCTCATGATGAAGGAGAATAAGTGGCAGTTGATATGTCCGACCAGGATCTCCTGCTGTACATCCACGGGCTCATGTGCTACCAGGAGCACTGCCAGAGGAGGACAACAAGGACGTCGAGGTAGCGCAATACCGAAATGCCAGCTCTGCACGCTTCAGGCGACCTGTGTCAAATCCATCCATGACAGAGTTGACACAGCCTTCTGAGCAGCCTTCTGAGCAGCCCAGATGGCATTGTTGCCTAGCTGCACCACGTAGGGAAATGACCTCGAGGGAATTGGTGGAGTGAGGGCCTTGCTTACCTGACCACGAAGTTCAAGTGACGGTCCAAATCCCACTGATGAGGTGCAGTTTCTATCGAAGAACAGGCAGAGTCTTGAATCTCGACGTGGGTTCCACCTGAAGCCGTTGACTCAATGAACCACAAACGGTCAACAAGAAGAAGAGATGAAGGGCAGTCAAAGGGATAACAGATGGAGTCTCCTCAAAATATAGCAACAGTTCTGCCCGCCCGAGGACTTTGGGTTCTCTGCAGCAAGTGAACGGGGGTGGCGTGGCATGGTAGTGGAGTTGTGAGAGCAGCTGCTGTAAAAGGCTTCGGGACCCTAGTGAGTTGATCAGGAGCACGAACCTTGATTTAGGGTTCCTGCTGCAGCAGGGGGACCGCAGCTCCAAGCGACTGGGATCAAGCGAGCTCAGACTGTGCCGTGGATCTCGCGAATGCAGGCCCTGGCATTTTGTCGATCTGGCAGGTGGGCGAGCTGTCGGGGACCCGATTGAGATGCGGAAGAACTCAGTTCGGATTGTCCGCATATCACAATGGGGTACAAGTACGAATCAAATTTCCGCGGCGGCGGAGAGGGAGAGCACGTAATATGATATATGATGGTGGTCTCGGAACAGCCCGTCCACAGGATCGACGACCACGGCTCGATAGCTTTTCGACCCAGTGCTAGGGCATTGACGCAGGCTTGGTCGGGGGACAAGAGGGCGCAGGAATGGGCCTCCATCGCCAAGGGTAACGCACTGCAGGCGAAAGTGATGCTGGAGGTGGCGCAAGTCAGGGTGGTGTGAAAGGAGAGAGGACCGTTCCGCAGGTAACAGGACCCGTGTGATTGTTTGTGCTGGGACAAGATGGACAATGTGAAAGCATGACTGGCCGGGTGGATGGTATACCAAAGTCTGAAGTTGCAACAAGAACGCGGCTATTGGCTGATGGGCCGGATCGGTAAGGGGGATCTTGGAGACAAGGTTGAGGGTGAGTGGAGCAGCCCATGGGAGACAAGCTCAGGCGAATCAGGTTCGCCAGCTGGTATTGAACTCAAAAGGGTGGCCGTGAGAACATGAGTCGACGCACAGCTAATGACCTTGCATGGTGGGCTGTTTCAGTTTTCGACGCAAGCCGACCTTTCCTGGAGCAATAGCAGTGCAGTCGGTAGCCACCGAGGACGCCTCCGCGAGCGTGTTGGTATCGCTGGGGGTCGTGATCTATTCCTGAAAGGAGATCGTGGTCCCTCGTCTCCGTCCCTTCAAAGGTGGTTTCCCATGTCGCTCGAGCATTCAGTCAGTACATGTCCATATGTCATGTCGCCGGTCGGGGTCGGAACACTGTATCCGCCCGCAACAACAACGATCATGTCAGGCAGCAGACTCAACGAGCAACTGCTAGACGTTGTTGCCATCTGCCAGAGACGACGCATGGCTATTGTCAGCAAGCGGGAGAAGGAGAGATGACATGTTCCAAGTCAGGAAGGCGGGGGAGACCAAGAAAGCGAATGTCTCGCTAATGCAGACCAGGATACGGGGAGGTGGCAGCTGAAAGCTTCCTCGAGAACATTGCAGCAGCGTCGAGGGTCAAATGCAAGGTGGTGGTCGATGTGCATTAACTTCACTCTCGATTGTGTGAAGTTGAAAGGCTAGATGTTGAGCAAGGGTGTTCCAAGAACTTCGGCTAGCTACATACGTAATTGATTCGATCTGTGCATCGATCCGAAGCCGCCGTAAACTACCCAGTGCGGATGGGCGCAGCCTAGCCAGCCCGAGCTTAGGGCCCAGCTTAGGCTCTCGCCTCTCGCCAGCCTCTCGCCAGACGCAGTATTCAGTAGGTGCGGCGATGCCTAAACCAGTCACCCACAGCCTAAGTCGCGGTCTATTCCGCCGGCAATCCGATCCCGAGGATCTTGAATCGCAGGCTGCGCTTCACCAGATCCAATCGCCTACGACGGTAAGGTGCTTTAAGGTTTGTGTGAGTTTGAATTCACCGCCAGAACGGAGGCGACCATGCTCCCTTGCTGCGGCCTTTCCACCATCGGGCACGTCTATTGCCTCTAGGTAAATTCTAATGTCTGTGTGGCGTATATGTCCTTGGCTGATCCCGGTCCAGTATCAACAGCGTCCGTGCTCTGGCACCTGGCCTCGTCCCAAGCTCGGATGCATGCAGTCGAATGTACACCATGAGATCGTTCCCTTCACCCTTCCGTTAGTCCTGCGGCCTCATGCGCTCCCCCCTTCTCCCTTGGTCGATCGCCCCCTACGCGCTCCTCCCATGATCGACCCGTCCTGCTCGCTTGTGCTGGCGGGTCGCATGCTGCTCCCACTCGCCTGCCGCCTCCCGTATTCGACCGCGTCGCTGGGTCTCTCTCACTTCAGGCTGCTCGTCCTGCCAGCCTTCAGGAACAGCGGTTTTCCCGACCATGGGTGTCACAGTTCTGTGCCACCGGTGCAACTGTGATCGTTCACCGAGATGTCCTTCATGAACAGGCTTTACTCCGCCCCGAGATTTGGGTCGAGCGTGGTCGTACGTGATCAATGCTGTGCAACTTCCGGACCGCCCTTCACGATCGGCTCAGGCACACCGGCGATTCGCTCACGGGCTCCATGGTGAAGTCACCAATGTTCAGCCGCCTGGGTTCAGGGATCTCGTATGCTTGTTTCAAGACAAAATATGACAGGTCGACCGTTCGTAATGCGTCCTTGACCGCCACCCTCATCTCCGCCCGCTATGCAAGACATCCATCATGCCTGCGATCAGCAGAGCACATCTCGATGGAGCGAGGTTTGCCATTGCTGGACTCATTCCGGACAAATCACCTCGGACACTGGACTCCACTTCCATGTACGGCACACACACACAGATTGCACTCACCAATGCGTCTCCTTGAGCTTTCCCCTGCCCTGATCGACCGCATCCACGCAATGCAAACGCCGCCTCTGCTCATCCGAGTTTCCAGGGCTCAACATTTCTGGGGCGAGCCCTAGCAGGCACATCTTCGTCTCTTCAACCAGCTCTGCTGATATCACGATAAGGCTTGACCGCGTCATCCACGACGAACCCTATTCTCGCAGTCACTGCCATGCGCACAATTGAAGCAGACGTCGAACACGTGGCACCCATCACAGATGATCTGATCGGTCGGTGCACATTTCAACTGCTAGCTTCCTGCAGAGTCAAGTACAGCTGCTTCATCGACCTAGAACGGCCAACGAACATGCTGTGTGAATCGCCGTGTACAATTCCTGACAAGAACGGGGAAACTGGAACGACGCAACTCGGCGGACCCTTCATTCTCGGAAAGAGACTGCGGACGGTTTGATGCTAATACTAAAACGTCTTCCTGCTTGCGCTCTAGTGAGGCATAATTGGGGCTTGCCTCCTTGCCTCCTGGCCTTCACGGCTCGACTCCGCATGACAGCTCCTGTTCGATTCACTATTTCCCTTTACCGACACTTGAACGCATACAGCTTGTCACAGGTATTGATGGTCAAAAGCCTGTGTGTGCCAGGTCTGTCTCCCCAGCGAAGCAATGTTGATTCGCCGATTCAGGAATGGAATCCCGACACACCTCTCTCCCAGAGCGGCCATCCATGTGCTGCGCAAGTGTAGGCTTGCGACTCATCCGGTACAAAGCGCCAAAGTGAGGCTTAACTCTTGGCGATCTGCGTGACATGCAGCGAACGTGTCATTTTCGGTTTCACCAATAGCCTAAGCTGCTGTGTGACCGCGACGGCAAGCCATGGTCCATGAAACAGGATCCAGGAGGCTACACAAGACCAAACCCCCCCACTCGCAGCAAGGCGTACGAGTACGGTCGACTGAGAAGTTCGGCCAGCTCATTCTCAGATCCGAGATATTGCGAACCTGAGATCGACAGCGACTGCCCCCTGCTCGACGACGTCGTTGGAAAGCAGAGTCCTTCCTGCGAGCCCTCCACCATACACATACATACCACGCCAGAGAAAAGTCGCCGATTTCGCAATTCCGCCAACGCCACTCATTGAACGACCGTCAAAGCGATGGACTGACTCCTTTCACAAGGACAACGACAACGACAGCCGAGCTCGTGCAGAAAACAACGCCTGTGACTTGACAGACAAGTTCGAGCCGAAGACGCGCGTGTCCCTCCACTGACACATGTTTGATAGGATTCCGTTCCTTGTTCTCGGATATCAGGAGAATTTCTGTCCCTCCTCGAAAAAGTCGAGCCTGAGGCAGGACCAGTCAGTGCCTGAGCCTCGTCGCCTCGTCAGCCAGCCAGCCAGCCAGTCACTCAGTCAGTCACGTTCTTAACCCGCGAGTGGTGTTGTGGACATCTCCGACCATTTCTCGGTCCTGATTGCCACAAGATTCTTGTTCGGCGCCGTCTGGTGTAAAGAATTCGCATGAGCATGAGCACGAGCATAGGCGTCGAGTATCCTCTTCCTCTTCCTTTCCTTGTGCACCAACGGCGCGCAGGAACGGTAAATGTAGATGTTCTTTCATTTCATGCATGTATGTACTGTAGCCCACTGTAGCTACAGTGTCTATCTACTGTAGTCACCAGTCTCGCATCTCATTCGAGCGTCGTCTCACAATCCTCATGCTATACCACGCAGAGTCATCTCTATACCCCATCCAGCCATGTTGGATTCATGGCTTGGAGAGGCTAGAGTTTATAATACCGGATCGCTACTTCGCCTGGCTTGGACTCGAGGCTGGGGAGTTTATAATACCAGATCGATACCTCGCCTGGCTTTCTAGCCCTCGCTTTCGCAGAGACTCGACGCCTGGTCTTGACATTGGTCTTGACCTGGGACTCGGACCTGAACTCGCCACTGTTCCTGTCATTCATCTTCTCCTTATGCCCTTGCCGCGCCGAGTGCGGCACCGCCGCCTCTGCATCTCGGCCTCTCCAACCTCCGCGGGTCTCTTCGCGGGGTGACCAGAACGGTCTTTCCGGCGGTAGAGACTGGAGGAACTTGATCTTGGCCTTTGTTTCGCGGTCGACTTCTTCGTCGCCTGTGAGCTGAGAGGCGATCATCGACTCCGAAAAGGGGCCGAGGCCCGCTCGTGCAGAAACAGCAGCACCAGCACCAGCATCAGAAGAAGAAGAAGAAGAGCAGTCAGCTTCGGAGCCGGTCGTTATGGTTGGGCCGTTCGTCTCGTGTTCTTTTTTCGACGGCATCTCGGCGTCATCCCCACACAACGAAGCAAGCATTGCTTGTTCGTCTTGTTCGTGGGGTCGAGTTATTGCCTCGATCTGCTCTATTCTTGATCGTCGGAAGGTTTCGCTCCAGAACAATCGCCTGGCGACGTCTCCGCCCTCCACCATGCTGACTCGACTCAGGATCCAATTCAGGAGCGCGGCTGGCGTGCCTTGCTCGCCGTAGCGCGTCACACCCGCATGCCATAACGCTCTTGTGATTGGGGGTTGTATTGGCACGCCGTGTTGGCAGAGAAAGAGGTAGCACCAGTAGACTCTGCGGAATGCGGCTCGCGGGGTAGCGACTGGGCTGGTCGCGAAGGATATTGCAAGATCATGGAATAAGTCGACTATATGTTCTCTGGTGGGAGGGCTGGATGCGGTGGCGGGAGGTTCTGAACGAGACGTCGTCCTTTCAAGAACGGTCGAAGCGCCGAGGTCAATCGGTTCCCCGTTTCTCACGCCCCCCGTCCCGTATAGTGATGGCAAGGAGTACTGGGGCATTTCCAAGACTTTCTTGACCATTGCGTTTCTCTCCAGAAGATGGCATACGATGCCAAATGACATGGTGCTTTTGCGGACCATTCTCCGCGCCAAGACTTTGAACGCGTGGAAGCCATGGCTCGCACTGTTCAGAATCTCCGACAGGGCTTCACCCTGGGCAAAGTGCGCGTTCTGGATACGTCTGTCAACAATGCTGGTGGTGATGTCCTGTCTACGGGTCGAATCGATGGTGGGTAACGGTTGTGAGTCCCTGCCAAAGAAGGAATCCTCGCAGAAGTCAGAAAGTTGGGTCAGATGTCGCAGAAGGAGGTCCCGGAAGGGCAGAGCTAGATTGCTGAATTCGACAACAGCAAGACGGGACGAATCCATTCGAGGACTTGATATCGAGGCGATCAGCCCTTCAAAGAAGCTGAGAAACCCGAGCCGATTTGATAAATCAGGTGAGGTTCTCATATCATGGCAGAGGGCCATGGCAGTCCATGCAAATGCCAACGAGCGCTGATCTGGCGATAGAGTGCTTTTAACAGATTGAAGGGAGTCCCAAGTGTCTTTGCTCAGCGACCCATGTTGATTTCGTGATCCCAAGACAGCCAAGGTACCGTACCAATGATGCCACATAAACCTGTACAGCATTGTTTCTGTTTTCTTCGTGAATTTGAGCAGGGTTTCAGTGGTATGCGCCAGCAGCAGCTGCAGAGTCTCCGGGTTAGCCTGAATAAGCCTGGCTGCAAGTTCCTGCCCATGTCTCACGCCAGAAGCTCGTTGACCACGCTGAAACTGGAGTTGCTCATGGATAAGTAGACCGATGAACGGGACATCCTTCCTGGAGCTCCAAGGCAAAAGGCGCCACGCCATTTTCTTGCACCACTTCAGGCGAGCTTGGGCTTTAAACCTTGAAAAGAGTTTGGATAGCATTGACGCTCCCAAATCCGTAACTTCTAGGACCGCTGAGCGATCCATAGCCTCTAGGATTCCACATACAAGGTACAATTTGGCTCTCTTCCTCTGGTTTTTCCAGGGAACATCAGTCAGTTGTAGTGAAGTCGTGGCTAGCACCTCGTCGATTATTTGCCTTGCATCATCAAGGCTGATGAGCCCGAGTTCAGTGGCGGAGCAAATCGACCGCCGAAAGATGGACCAAGCGGTGTGGTCCCAAGGACGAGGCACTATGGCACGCACCAAGTCCAGAATGAAGGATGAACCGGGAGGATGAAATGCCGGGTCAGTGATATAGGCGGCAATTGTGTGCACATCAAGGTCCACCGAGTTCTTTTCCACGATATGGGTGAGTATTGCGGATCCCACATGGGCATCGGCAGTGAGACTGAGCTGTTCGTTCCGGAGCCATGTCTTGATCTCAGAGAGTGTTTGACAATTGGACAGCCCTTGGGCTTGTTGGTCGGACATTGCTCGCGGGTTGGACATCCATGATTCGACTTCAAGTCGGGCAGGGTTCGGCTCGGTAGCCTTTGTCGAGGCAGGGAATGGGAACAGCCATGTTGGCAGGAGGCGCGATGATCTAGCTACCGGCATGTTAGCGAGGCATCTCCAGAGCAGATCTGAAATCATACCTGATGCAGCTCCAGCGTCCTTAGGCTCTCCCCACCATGCTAGCTTGTTGGCAGAGCTCGCAAGCACGACGGCTGGGTCGATTGCGATGCCTCCAGAACTGGCATAGGCCAAACTGGTATTCTTCCTCTTAGCAGCCCGTCTCTGTGCCTCCAACGGGCCTGGCACACTGCTGCCATAGCGCTTATGGTGCCAGAAGCGATTGAACGTGTCGGTTAGCAGCGCATCCGAGATCCAGACAAATTTTGGGCGTTGGCGAGAGGTGCAGCTGGCTGCAGCAAGGCGTCTAGTCATAACATTGGGGCGACCAGAAGACAGACGGTGCGCGCGACATGAGCGACGTGCTGGGCTGTGCAAGACAATGTTATCTTCATGCTGGACATTGCGTCGAGCAACAGCCGGCGACGTGGAGAAGCAGCCACAGCAGCTTGCCATGTGGAACCGTCAACTCCGCCGTATTCGACTCGTGTGGAGCTTAGACACCCTTGCGCATTAGCTCGTATGAAATTACAGATTTCTTGATTATTGCTAGTCGACAAACGCGATCCTTTTCTTCAGAAACCCTCTTCTACTATTGCCCAATTTGCCCTCTCATCCAGTCGAACGCCCCAACTTTTCCGCGATTGACATCCTTTTAATCCTGTACCGAACCCGCCCCACTGGGTATCTCTCTATGATGCTGCCGTGCTGTCGTCCTGGCCCCGGATTCTATAGTCGTAAGAATTCGTGCTGTCGTCCCAGCTTCGTATTCTGTGCTCGTGAAATTCGTGCTAGGTATTAATATGCATGTTCCTGTCGTTAATTAGTATTACAAAATATACACCATACTTCACCAAGTCCACCACCCTCGATCTCTCTATCTCGACGTGAGGAAGACCTCCCGTCCTCGGATTCTAAGTACTGTCGTAGCTGCTATGGCGGATGATTCAGTTGATGTCGTTTCGCTTGATGAATTGGTGGCCGAGTTAGCTAGCTGGGTGACTGTCACAAAGGCAGTCCCAACTGCAGTCGCCGCGGACCCAGTCGATGTTGTTTCGCCTGATAAAGTGATGGCCGAGTTAGCTAGCTGTGTTGTTGTCGCAGAGCTGGTTCCAACCGCCGTGAGCGAGACTAAACCCGATGTTGTTTCGCTTGACGAATTGGCGGCCGAGTTAGCCAGCTGAGTTACCGTCACGAACGCTGTCTGAGCTGCTGTCGCTGAAGACCCAGTCAATGTTGTTCCAGTGGACGAAGCAGCGGCCGAGTTGGCCAGCTCCGTGGCCGTCGACGATGTTGAATCAGTCGACGACGCGGCAGCCGAGTTAGCTAGCTCCGTTGCTGTCGACGATGTTGATTCAGTTGACGAAGCAGCGGCCGAGTTAGCCAGCTCCGTGGCTGTTGACGATGTTGAATCAGTTGACGAAGCAGCGGCCGAATTAGCCAGCTCCGTGGCTGTTGACGATGTTGACTCAGTTGACGAAGCAGCGGCCGAGTTAGCCAGCTCCGTGGCTGTTGACGATGTTGACTCAGTTGACGAAGCAGCGGCCGAATTAGCCAGCTCCGTGGCTGTTGACGATGTTGATGCAGTCGACGACGCGGCAGCCGAGTTAGCTAGCTCCGTTGCCGTCGATGACGACTCAGTCGATGAAGCGGCAGCGGAGTTAGCTAGCTCCGTGCCCGTCGACGAGGACTCAGTCGAGGTTGTCTCAGTCGATGAATCGGTGGCCGTCTCATCTAGTTGTGTTACTGTCACAAGGGCAGTTTGAACAGCGGCCGTTGGCGATGACGCGATAGAGGTCGGAGGCGGGCATCCCTCGATCGTGAAGTCCGAGTACAGTGAGCAGATGAACGAAGCACTTGCATCCAGTGCAGCTGGAGTCACAGATGCGTCGCTGGTGGTGGAGCTGTCGAGGGAGGCGACGGTAATAGTGGTGGATGTTGTGTCCTGGTTGAGTGTTTCTTGGCCCAATGATGAGACCGTGGTTGTTGAAACTAGGCCAACAGCACTTGTCAGAACGTTGCCTGGTGATGTCACGGTCACGGTAATCCACTCAGTGATGATAGTGCCCGCGAGTTCAGAAGCCATTGTAGTGTCGACGCTGGACAGGTCCGTGGCTGTGGGCGCATCGACATTGGTTGCAGCCGAAACTTGGTCGAAAACAGTGACGGTGACAACTGCAATTGACTCGGTCGTCGAAGTGCTCGAGGTCAAGAGGTCGCTTTGTAAGGCCAAAGTGTCGGTCGATGAGGTGGAAGTACTCGAAGTTGCCGCGGCGGTGAGCGATGAGGTCGGTTCCAAAACGGCGAGGACCTCAGAGTCGAACCCACAGATAACTTGAGGAGCTGGATCAGGGCCACTCGTGATTGGATTGCATCCAGGGAGCGCAGTGAGCAGACCGTGGACACTCTCATCGAAGACCGATGCCTGCTCCACGCAGTCTCGTGGGAAGTTGATGTTGTCGCTTCGAGACAAGGATGAACAGGCATCAACAACTCCGCCATCATCAGTGTAAAGGCAATCTTGAACCGCACTTGTCTGTACATCCATGTCCCAGCCGTTGAGGAAGTCACCGTGGAAGCCGTAGCCGGTGGTATCGCCGTTCGAGAAGACAAATTGACCGCCAGCAGTTTGGTTAACCGAGTTGGTCCAGTAAAGCACCCTGCCACCAATAAGTCTTTGTGCCTGGCTCAAGGGGGCATGCGGAGGACGCTTACTCGAAGAATAGGCCGGGAATGGGAACGGGATGAGTGGGCGGACATTCGCCATAGTCGATTCCTGATAGGTAAGCAACATGCGCATTGTCCTCGAGATAAAGGTTGACTCCGTCCCAACAAGACTGGAAGTTCACCTGCGCCCGCATTCCGTTCGTGCAATCGGTACGGAACATGTAGTGTTCTTCTGGGATATCGTTAGCGTCATTTATGCAGCGGAAACTTACCCTGTCGCATCGTTAGCAGTCGGACTCGCGCAGTCGTGGGTTTCGAAGGACCCTACCTGTCAGCCACCGGCCTCGTGTCCAGATATGTCAAGGTGGTATTGTCGTAGGATCTGAGCAGGCTGTCGCCGGTGAGCATCTTGAACCCGGGTGGGAATGGTACTGTATTCGAAGAGTTCCCTCCTCGCCCTGCTCGGGTGATAAGTATAGGTACCGAACCGTGCCCGAGGTGTCACCTACCGACGTAGTACACCGTCATGCCATAGTTGGGGACTTCTTCGAAAGTACCATTGGTGTGAGCGTAGTATAGTTGAGGGGTCCAGTATGCTGATTTGTCGGCTTGGACTTCGCACGAGGAGCAATTCGAGGACTGTAAGGAGTTGAAGTCGGAGTTCTCGTTGACATCTGGCGAGTTAGCAAGACTTCTTCCCGAGAGAAAGTCCACTCACTGCTGCCCCCCGCAAACTTGTGTACGTGTCCCGAGACGTTGCCAGGATTGAGTATGAGGTCTATCCGAGCGGTTTGAGAAACACTGCAGGCCTGGCGCCAGTAAGCGAGTGAGAGGCTCGGCTGCAGCACAAGCGGCCAAACAAATGGATTGAGAAGTGGATGCTTCATATCGCGAGTAACAGACAAGGATGGTTGGGTTCGAAGACTGTGTGTGTGTGCGATAAGAGGAGGCAAAGGACACGAGACCCCGGAGTGGGAAGAGCACCAGCATATATCGCCCGGCGGAAGTGCTCTTGTCTTGTGTACTCTGTAAACAATCCTCAGGCCATCGCAACGAAGCTCACCCGGTTGGATCCCTCGAGGAAAAGCGGCCCTGAGAGACTGAAACACACCATCAACGACCGTCTTTGGAAATGAGGCTGAACTCTAAACCAAAGCATCCTGGGCGTAGTGTGCCATGGACTATGGCGATCGGTGTCTGGGCTCCATCCTAATTCTTAGCAGGCAGCATCCTTGTAAACACGTACAGCTCGTTAGGTCTGGAATCGGTCTCTGCCGAGTTGGCACGAACTGACGGTGATACTTTGTTCCTTAGTGCAGAAGTGAGTGAGCGACCTCCTACAAGCGAAGCACCTGGATGCGTGCTTAGGCACAGCTTCGAGTCCTCAGAGCCCTGTTCTTAATGTGTCCCTTGTGTCTGAGCCTCTCGCAGGCCCATACCCCGTATTGTGTGCATCAAGTGTGGAGCAGCTCTTCCTCCTGTACTGAGAAGATCACGAAAATCAAGACCAGATGCGCAACAGCAAGCTTGACATGGTCGTTGCTCGTGGAGTGTCTGCCGCCGACTCTCCCTCTTCCGAGAGCGTCCAATTGGCCGACGGAGGAAGGCTGCGATAACGAGTTTGTCGATGGACCTGCCATTGATGGTTGCTGCAGTGATCGAGTCTCTGTTCTTCATCCGAGGTTCAGCAGGTGTTTGTTGACGAGGCGGCGACGACGCGTGAGCGTTTGTGGCGTCAAGCTAAAGCGCCACGGTCAGAATAGGCGGGAATGGGACGCTTCTTGGATCTTCACAGGGATGTCACCGCAAGCTGTGTGATTGGGTAAGACCATCAAGCCAATTTCTCCAGGTTTCGCCTAATACTCGCTTGAGCCAAGTGGCCGAGAATGAGATGCGACCAAGGATGGCGATTTCGATGCCTTCGATTTCATCCAGTAGCGCGCAGTACCGAGGACCGAGTTCGCGATACACGCGATCGCGATCTTCGTGCTATCTCTGCGCCGACTTTGGCCCTGGTTGATCTCTGCTCGTGACCATGACCCAGTACTTTGGCAAAGGACAAACTGCCAAGTGTGAAGCATGACTGCGCAGCGCAGCCTACACAACACCACGAACACCTCGACAGCCACGTAGATACCTGAATAACATGCTGTCCTGCGAGGTGACATCACACCGCTACGAGGCTTTGCACAATATACACAGTTCATCACGGGAATCTTCAAAGCTTCGTAACGTTCCCCACCATGTCATGTCGAAGTGGAAGTAGTAACTAGTGGCACTGACAGCTCTTTATTTTCCCAACAGCCTCCACAGACGTCAATCACTATGCGACCTGATGCAGTTCAACCAGGCAGGAGTCTTCCTGCTTCCGCGGTCGGGTGGTGGCGCATATGCCTGTGTCGCTCCCCCAAATGGCTGCTTGCCTCTGACCTTCTCGAAGACTTCTTTGCCTCGCCAGCTAAAGACGCCGGTCAAAGCGATGGCTTGATCTAAGGGTGCGTCCGCGGCCGGAGCTGGTTCTATGGTCAGTCATGCTCCGGTCACCAAATTGGTCCGCGGCACTCACCCCAGCCGCGCGCCCATCCGGTGCAGCACGTCTGCGTGGCGCAGGATTTTGCCACGTCGAGGTCGCTCGCCGCCGCCGGTGACCTGAACGAGTGTAGGGAAGTGATTGCCGCCCGGCGGGGATTTGTAGCATCAGGCGTAACATGCGCACGTATTGTTCACCAATTCGGCCCTCTCCATGCTGATCGACTCCGATGGGTACGTTGAACTTACCTATCAGTGGTGGGCCAGCTTCAGAGTTTCCTACCTACACAGTCTATTGCCAATTTCGCCGCTCATCGTTCGAAAGGCTTCCCTGCTGACGAGGAAGGAGTCGTCCTGGAGACCACGGACTAGCACGAGAAGAGTGCTCGGACTTTCATCTTTGACACACTTCTGGAATCAGAGGTGCCTGATCAGACTGGAGGTAGACGGACCTTGTGAACGCCGACGTATCCCTTCGCCTGTGTAACAATCTCGAATACTTTCTGCAAGTGCTGTACGACCGGCGAGTCAGGCTGTGTCAGGTCGAGACCAGAACCTAGATGGGCTGTTCGATCTCAGTTGCGACGAACATAATCGAGTCTATGTGGTGAAGGAAGCAAGTTGGTATGCGGCGACACTTGGTGCAGGATGGCATAACAGATAGAGTCGCCTGTCACTGGGATCTTATTACAGATACAGTGAGCGCTTCGCCCGATGGGATATGTATTTCCAAGACAGCCACGACATCAAGTCGGTAGCCCCCCAAGTAAACGATACAAGGCCAACGTGCCAGCCAAATTGGGCAGCGCGCTTTGATTTCCTGTCGGCAGCCAGTCGATAAATGCTGGCGGTCACCCTGTTCCCGGCGTCATCACTGCGACACCAGGATGCGCGGCACACGTCGAATTCAATGCTGATGTTTCCACAAGGCACCGACATATTGTTGGCGAAACAGAGAACCGCGAACCCTAGCGTCGCTGAGTAAGCACGGCAACACCGCGCTTAGGTGTAGCAGAACGAGTCGGCAGGCAGCGCGGGCTTGAGGACATTGATCCCGCCAGTCAGATCATGTCGCTTTCGGTTTCGGCAGAAGCAGCTCGAGGTTGCAGTGTCTCGGCGGCGAGCCCCCGTATTGCAGGCGCCTTGGCTGCCTATCGAACCGTATCGCTGTGGTGGTGCTTCTGAGGTCAGGCACCCCATCGACTTCGTCCGACATCTGATCTTCACTCAGCCCTACGTTATTGACTCAGCACGGGTTACATGGGTTCATTCTGACTCTCACTCTCTGTGGCCTCCCAAATCTGCGAAGACGGTGTCGGTCTGGCCTGCGTTTGGGTCGCCATCCTTGTCCCGTGCCCCGCCACCGGAGCACTGGATGTGCTAGAGACCAGCACCCGTTGATGCGACTTTAGATATAGGATCCTGCTACTATTATCTACCTCTGCCACCGTAATCACGATCGCGGGTCTCGCTACACCTCGTTGCGCCATGGACAGTCCAGCTGCTGCCGCCGACGACAAGTCGCGAGCTGCCGCCCAGAACAGGGTGCGACGTCGCAACCGGATGATTACATCGTGTCTGGAGTGCCGGCGCCGAAAGTTGAAATGCGACAAGTTACACCCCTGCACGAATTGCAGCAAGTTCTCGCGCGACTGTCTCTTCCTAGCCCCGGCGCTGGACTCGGTCTCGCAGCAGCGCCTCAACGAGATCAAGGAGAAGATGGGCTCGCTTGAGCGCGTACTTGAGCAGGACGTTGCGCGCAAAGACGGGAAAACCGTGTCCACCTCCTCCCAGAAGCCGCAAAGGAGGACGTCGGCTGACCTCCCTGGCGGCGAAGAGAGCAGCTCCGACAACGAGGCCGCGGTCCCAGAAGACGAAAAAGGGCTTGAGCCGACACCCCTGGCCGTCATCGACGCTTCGTACGAAGACGATGCTAACGACGACGTGCTCGACCTAGGGATCAAGATCGGAAAGATGCGCTTGACTGAACGACTTGGTGGCTTCTTCCGCCCCAGACTTCACGAGGAAATGGACATCCAGCTCGCCGATTCTGCCAATGACCGTCGGACCGCCGACGAAAAGCTCTCGGCCATTCCCCAACTCCCGGATCATACCTGCGACTTCCTAGCTCCCGGTCCTTCATACATTGCGCCGGGCTCGGGATTCGTGTTCGGGGATGTGGGCAGCAAAAGATCCCTTCTCAACTTCCTCCCAGCAAAAGCCGCGGCCGATATTCTGGTCCGCACTTATTTTGAGAACGTGCACTTCATCGCTCGAGTTGTTCACTGGCCCAGTTTTCAGCTGCATTACGACAACTTCTGGACTTCTGTGCTCGCCGGACTCGAGCCTCCGGCGTGGCAACAATCCCTCGTTCTTGCCGTCCTGTTCTCGGCCGTGGCGAGCATGGCTGAGCAAGACGTCACTGCCATCTTCGCTCGACCGAAGAGCACCATCCTCGGGAACTTCCAGACCGGGACTGAGGTCGCACTGAGCAAGGCGCAATTTCTTAGAGCCACCAAACTCGAGACTCTGCAGGCTCTCGTGATCTATCTCATTCCCATGTGTCGAGATCAGCTTTCTCGAGCGCATTCGGTGATAGTGGGCATGGCTGTCCGTCTGGGCGAGTGTATGGGACTGCATCGCGATCCCGAAGAAGTCTACGGGCTCTCTCCGGTGGAGTGCCACGTCCGACGCATAGTCTGGTTTCAGCTGTGCTTCCTGGACTTTCGCACGTGCGAGTCGCAGGGTCCGCGGCCAGGCGTCAAGCGTGAGGACTATGACACCAAGTTTCCACTAAACATCAACGACAACGACCTGCTCCTAGCGAAGCCGCAAGAGGCAAAGACCCAGTTTACAGACATGACCATGTCCCGGATACATTTCGAATGTACAGAGATGCAACGAGTCATCTGGTACGACCGCATCCGGATGGAGAAGAAGAAGGCGTCGTTGACGCACGTCTTGAGCAAGATTGAGAGCTTCCGCAAAGCCATGGAGGCCAAGTACAGGCCCATGTTGGATTTCGAAGTCCCCATACAGAAGTACGCACAGCTGCTCATGAATCTGATGATTCAACGCCTCTACGTCATGGTCCTCCACCGATACCTGAACAACTTTTCGCAAAAAGTGCCTGAACGGCTTTCCAACCTGACCGTCCAGAGCGGCTTGCTCTCCATGGAGAATGCGGTGGCGATGGAGCGTATACCCGAGCTGAACAAATGGAAATGGTACAACGGAGCTTACCAGCAATGGCACATAGCCTTCCTTCTTCTTTCGATGGTCCACCAGCAGCCGAACCTGCCGAACTCGGAACGGATCTGGAATGTCATCGATTTTGTCTTCGAGCCCGATCTAACCCTGTCACGACCGCAGAGAGCCAGAGCGATTATCATGGCAGTCAGAGACCGAACGGCGGTTTATCGGGACTTGCGCAGAATCCGCATTCCGGTCAGCATGAAAGATGGTTTGGACTCGCGGCGCCGTGTCCCTGAGACCACCTTGACAGTCAAGAACGAAACCGAGATCTCACGAGCCGAACCCACAACAATCTCGTCCCAAACGGATGCCGGAGCTGGGGATGCCCGGTATTCGTCTGATCAACCGTGGAGCTTCGACACTCCAGCGACAATGTACTTGGAGAACAAATACTTGCCGCAGGGGGGGCCAGGGCCCTTTGGACGATTGGTCCACTCACAATTCCAGACCTCACCACCGCCCCCACAACCATCTCCCATGCAATCGCCGCCGCAATCAAAAGCACCCAGTACCGACACGAACCAGATCTCGCCAGCTCAGCAGATTGACTTCCACAGTCCCAGTGACTCTGGGACGAACGAGTCGTGGCCTCCTCTCATCACGACCGACCAAGTAAGCTGGCGGATGGTCCTGGGCCCGGCCACCCATCCTTCCCCTCCTGTCCCCGCCATGCGGTCAGTTCAAAGCCGACAATCATCGTCCGGGGGCGGCAGTCCCTTCGGTATCAACTCGGGCTTTCCGAGTGACCAGATCAATATCCCGCAGCTACAGAACAATAGCCGGAGCGACTCGGTAATGCTCGACATTGACTGGGTAAGTGCGGCCTCGCTGTCCAATGTGCTGACCCACTGACACGTTACTGCAGAACGAATGGGACCAACTGTTCCCGCCTGAAAGTACGACGGGTCCTTTTGCAGCGTCGGACCCATTTGGAATCGCATAGTTAGCGACCGTCTTTCTTGCCTTGCGTGCGGGTTCAGGCAGGCCAGTTCATATACGGATACTGGGTCGACCCAGATTTTCCCCTCGCTGTCCATAATACCTCGTACGAGTACCAGTCTGGAAGAGGAACAGGGCGGATTTATTGGTTGGCTGAGTGAGATGCGCGGGCATGATGAATAAGCAGCGGATGGCGCCCCCCCCCCCCCCAGGCCAGCTGTGTTTAACGTAGCCATGCCTAAACACGCCTAGTCTAGGCTGCCCTAGCCCGTAACTAGCTCTACCTAGCCCGGGTTTGCCCTGCTAAGCTTTGTAGCGCCATGATGTCAGGCTCTGCGCCCGGATTAGCCGGCTATCAAATTGATTCGGAGCAAGATTGGGCGATGATGCTATGCATCCTGCATGCCCGTGATGCCCACGATGCCTATGATGCCTGTACTGGGTAATGCCCATGTCCCAGCAATCAAGGCAGGTTGCTCAGATCTCGCGGCTTTCCGGCCCAGATCTGCACAAGTCCTCTTCGCTATCGACGGTAATCACCGCGGCAGACGCGGGTTACCATGAGCCAGAGCCAGAGCTTGCGTGTCGACTCAATCCGACGACCCCTACTCCTACTCCGTACTCCGTAATCACTCTTTATTTACACCTGACGTCTTCCTGACGTTAAAGACAGTGTTCAATTTTCTCCCCATCCAAGTTGTCGAAAGCGCGGTGTTGAAATCGCGCAAACCTCACAAACCCATTCGTCGACCAGCGCGTCAGACTCTCTACATCTCGACTCCTTGGTGCTACTCCGGCTCAACTGGAGCTTCGTAACCGCCGTGTTGCACTCTCATCTCCTATCACTTTTCCGTGCACAACGAACAGCTCTTCACGAGCTCCTCCACGCACACTTGGAGTGGCCGAAAACCAACAGCACCACAGCACGAAGGAGTCTGGTAGAGCGCCTTGACCCCAGTTTTACACCATGTCGACCTCGTCAACGGGCTTGAAACCGCCGTCTGCGGACGTGCTCAGGACATATCCCTTTGGCAAGATTGAGCCCAACTCGGTACGTCTTCTTACGTCTTCCTTGGATCGTACTGCATTCAAAAAGCAAGCAAAAGCAGAAAGGAGAGTGATTTCTAGAGCACCGACCGACGGGCTAACATGGTCATCTGCCAGACGAAATATTTCGCAGCATGCATGCTCGGCGGCATCGTGGCATGCGGGCCGACTCACACGCTCGTGACACCGCTCGACCTCGTCAAGACGCGCCGTCAAGTGGTGCCGGGGATCTACAAGTCGAATCTCCAGGGCTGGAGCTCCATCTACGGCAAAGAGGGCCTCCGCGGCGTCTTCTTCGGCTGGACGCCCACGTTTGTGGGCTACTCGTTCCAGGGCCTGGGCAAGTACGGCTTCTACGAGATCTTCAAGCACCTGTACGGCGACAACATGTTCCCCAACAGCAACCGCACGCTGGTGTACCTGGGCGCGAGCGCCAGCGCCGAGTTCCTCGCCGATTTGCTGCTCTGCCCGTGGGAGGCCATCAAGGTGCGCATGCAGACCACGCTGCCGCCGTACGCCAACAACCTGCGCGAAGGCTGGAGCAAGATCGTCGACAAGGAGGGCTTCGCCGGCCTGTACAAGGGCTTGTATCCGCTGTGGGGCCGCCAGATCCCCTACACCATGTGCAAGTTCGCCACCTTCGAGGAGACGGTCAAGATCATCTACAAGCAGCTCGGCAAGCCCAAGGAGAGCTACAACAGCCTGCAGCAGACGGCCGTGAGTTTCTCCGCCGGGTACATTGCGGGCATCGCCTGTGCCGTGGTCAGCCATCCCGCAGACGTCATGGTCAGCAAGTTGAATTCAGACCGCAAAGGTAAGTACCGCTGAGTCTCGCTCCTCCGACTTGACTTTGCGTAGTAGTTTGGGCATTTCCCTGCTGAGCGTTTCGATTCGGAGTTCTCACGCTGACGATGACCTCTAGCCGGCGAGGGCGCCGGCAGCGCCATGTCCAGGATCTACAAGAACATCGGCTTCTCGGGCCTGTGGAACGGTCTCCCCGTCAGGATCGTCATGATCGGCACGTTGACCGGCTTCCAATGGTTGATGTATGTATACCTTGTTCCAACCCCCCTGAGCAGTCTCACTCCGTTTCTTGTTTGGGACCCCCGAAGCACTACGCGCATACAAGTACTGACGACGACACCTTTCCTAGCTACGACTCCTTCAAGGTCTATCTCGGTCTGCCGACCACGGGCGGACACTAGCGCAAAGGACCACCCACGAAGACCCAAACCTGAACCTGGAATTTCAAACCGCGCAGCGCCACCTTCCCGACGGGCCTACTCCCTCCCCATCAGCTAGCTACCTACCTACCTACCTACCGTAGCTGGGAATCCCAACAATCGTCCACTCCCTGTCACCAAGCAGATGATGACGGGCCAGAATCTAAGATGACCGGCTCTCCGAGATAATTACCAAACCTTTTTCACAACGGCGCTCAACCTGACTACGGGCCCCGTGGGGAAAGGGATATCACGGAGGACCACATGATTAACCAGCCGTTCCTCCGCTTTTCGGTAAAGGAATTCACAAAGCCTATCTCGTTATATGAAATATATCACTAAATATATCTATCCAGGCTGTGTTTTCAGCTATTGGGGGGCATGGCGGGATCGGGAACCAGGAATCAGGAACCGGGAATCAAGAACCAGGAATGTAAGATCTCAGACTTTGCGTGGCTTCAGTGGCACTTGCTGGCACGGACAAGGACACGGGCACGGACATATAGTAATTAGACACGCATGGGTTTCGGGACCAGGACACAGACACAACAAAACATTCTGAGAATATGAACCGACCCACGGACTGACTTGACGTTGATGGAGCATCGTCAAAATGCCTACCTAAGAGAGTTGCGTCGGAAATCGTTTAGTGAGATCAATATTGGTCTGTATCGTGACCTTCAAGGCCCTGAGATTGTGAGCTTGCCTCGTTGGTCAAGTACTCTTGCTGGACATGCTATCAGGTTTGACCTCAATCAGATCACGCAATTCTTGGGCACCTGGTTCCGGTTTCACTTGGAGAAAGCAGGGCTCCTCTCATCGCCCTGTGGCACCTGGTCAAGCAATAGAACAAACAGAGCCCTCGAACACGGGCAGAATAGTCTGTATGGGAGTATTGTATGTAATATCACTTCATTTGTCCCCGGGTGGGTCGAGTCGAGCACTCAAGGCTACTTCATGCGGACAAAGTATGTCGTCCAATAACAATACCAATTAATATCCGTGAGCTAGATCAAATCATGCCGCCGTAAAGCCATGCTCCCTGCTCCGACGCTATGCATGAAGAATCAAGTATACCTGGGTATATTGCGAAACTGATACCCGGATACCAATAGCTGCGTGACCACACCTGATGGGTTGCGGGCGGTTCTCCGGCTAGGACATATAATCTTAGGGACCTCCAGAGTCGGGCAGTTCTGTTGCGGGAAGCTGTTCTTCTGGAAAAGCTATTCCGAGAGACCTGTCGAGAGGCCATAATGGGTCTGCAAGTATTGGATCGATGATCAGTGAATTAGCTGTCTGACCTCCTGGCATTGAGTAAATCCACGGGAAATCGTCTCTTCTGTGTGCGGCAGTCTCCTAGGCATCGCTCATATTTGCGTCCACATCGATTTCCTGGTGAAACTGAGTCGGCTCTTCTTCGTCGTCTATCGGCGGTGGTTGTTCCGGCAAACTCAGGGGGCTCTCTGAACGTCGATCCATCTGCTCGTCAGGCGGTGAGAATGACCAAACCTACAGAAGTCAGCATTGATACATGGTACGCGAGTGCTGTACCGCATACCTCCATGACAGTTCGGTTTGACCGGCTTGCCATGATCACAGCCTTCTCCTCCTCGAAAGCGACCCTCCAAACGGCTTCGGCAGGTTGACTGAGCTCGCGAACCAACTGGCCGGTCTCGACGCTCCAGACCTTGACACGCCCGTCACTGCCACCGCTCAGGATTCGGTTGTCGTCGAACTGCAGACTGGTAACACTATTATCGTGCGCAGCTAGGCGATGTATAGGAGAATTTGTTTTGAGTGACCAAACACGAACGGACCCATCAGAGCCACCTGCCAGCACAATGAGCGGAATCCAACAGAATTGATGGCTTGATGGAGGACTTACCAGTGACCAGCGTGTCACCACGAAGCTGCAATTGGCCAACCAACGAGGTGTGGCCCTGCAAAATGGCGGTGCACATACCAGTCTTGGGATCCCATATCCTCACGCTGGTATCAAGAGACCCTGTAGCGCATCGCTTACCGTCAAAAGCTATGGCGTATATCTGACTGAAGTGTCCCGTGAGTGTTCGAAGACAGCGGCCTTCAGAGATGCTCCAGACTCGGGCGGTAGTGTCGTAGGATCCAGAGATGACAACATCCCCATGGATGGCGAGGCATCGAACACTGGCTTGATGGCCGACTAAAACATTCTTGCAAATTCCAGACTGCAAGTCCCAAATTCTCAGCGTTGTGTCTCTGGAACCTGAGATGGCAGTATTGGCGTCTGACATCTTAAGGCACCTCACTGTCGAGGTGTGGCCTCTCAAAACATGGATACTGCGCCCAGTCTTCATATCCCATACTCTCACGTCGCGGTCACACCCGCCAGACACGAGAATGTCATCCCATGGCACCATAGCCCAAACGCCCATCACATGCCCCTTAAGCGTCTTCTGGTGATCACCGACGGTGTTGAAGACATGTATTTTGGCGTTGTCCATCGCCACCACGATGTATTTTTCGGTCAAATGCAGGCTTGTGACAACTCCTTGATCCGGGGTGATGTGTTTAATAATGCTTTCGCCCCCTTTTCTCCACGCCGCCTCAATCATGTATTTGTGGCGGAAATGAGAGTAATGTGACTGCGACACACGCTTTTTGGCTTTAGGACTCGTTGACAGCGCGTCATGTTTCGGCAAAGTCAAGTTTGGGGCGCTACTTGATGGCCCAACAATTGAGCCATCCAGATTTCTCTTTGGGGAGCGTGCATATGGACCTTGAATAGCTTGCGGTAAAGACGGCGAGTCCGGGTCGTCGTTTGGACCGGAGGACGACGACCTGCGCCAAGCGTGTTTATCACACATGATCTTCCAGAGCATGTCATCGTTCAGGAGTTTGTGCCACCGACGTGAGACTTGGGAGGCTCGAGCCAGACTGAGAGGATCATCAATATAGGACAGAACCTGCGCTCTTGTCAGTGGATGCAATCGCATCTAAGGAAATCTTGACTTACCCTTAAGCAAAGTTCGTCTGGAAGATGCTCGAACGGATCTTTCTTCAGTCTGGGCGAGACAAAGTTGTGAACAAAAGAGAGCAACTGGCTGTCACACATGTTAAGGAGTTCGGCCAGATACCTCTCGCGCTCGGCAGCGTTCAAGTCTCGGAAATGACCCCTGGCATCTCGTAGGAAAGCATCTTCGTTCTCGCCGGCACAGGTCCAACTGGGCGCCCGTTGGTAAGGCGTCGGCGATGGTGCAGGTGTGGGGGGGGAGGCGGGCGCAGAGGGCAGTATGCTCAAGGGCATGCCAGACTTGTTCGACGTGGATAGTCGTTTCGGGCGCGTATGAGAAACACCGGGTCGAGGATGTTTGGAGGAGCGGATTGCGTCCATCTGAGGACTATGGCCATGCGGCGTAGGAAAAGGGAAGTCGGTCTCCTGGTCGATCGAATCCGTACTGGCATTACTGTATGCACTTTTGGCCAGTTGATTCGGGTCTATTGTGACTGATCTCGATGGCCTAGGCGAGAGAGGTCTGTCCAGGACCATCTGGTTATTGTCATCGTCCAGGAAATCCATCTCTTGTCAGGACTGTCAGGGAGGTGAAGGCGGAATGACGAGTTAGCGATTCCACCTGCGCTCTCCGGCCGCCGAGTCGGGTCACGCTGAGAGGAATCCAGCAAACAAGCGGTAATGCTTCAGACACAAAACGAACGGACTTTTTCCTGCAATATAATCGAGACCCCCTCCGTATCATGCCATGTCAGCGTGGGGATAGTGGAATGGTGAAAGGGATCAGAGAAACTTGAGCTGCAGGTGCGGTGTTGGCAGAAAGCGCTTATGACATGCAAGGCAGGGCCTAGCCCAAAGACTGGAATGGCCGATGCGATACAGGAAGAGGAGGTGGCGCACCGAGTGGGTGGGAACGGGGCAGGGCGTGAGAGCTTTGTCAGCACGATTCGCTATAGGCCTGTACTGTGGTATACATATCGACAGGCTGTGGAAAACAAAAGTATATCCGGGTATTGCGTCTTTGAAATGAATGAATAGTTGCTGTTCAGAGTCAATTCACTTGCAACTCTGGCTGGTGGCTGGTTGATCTTGCCAACTCTTCGGAGCGCTGACAGTAATTAACGGAAACAGGAGGTTCGCAGAGGCGGGGCTACAGTTACTCGATTCTCACCACTGACCGCCTCTGCCAACGCTCCATATCTGGTGGATGCTTGATGATCTCGACTCTAGTACGAGTAGCGGCCAATAACGCTGGATAAGTACCTGATACATCGAGCTTCTTCGTGCCTGACGATGTTGGGCCGCTGTGTCGAAGCACAACATAGACTCACTTGCGTTTAGGCACATACCTGCCGCAGGGTAGTTGGCACTCATGCAACATTGAACACTCGGTTGCGACTCAAATCGGCAAGATACGTTCAAACTCGACCTGTCTTGTAACCGAGGATACCCAACTGATGTACGGCAGTTGCACGTTAATGCTAATAGGTAACGCGAACGGTGGCTCGGGAAGCAGTATTGTCCCAGGGTATAAATGTGCGTCGTAGCGTTCGTTCAGTAGAATACAACAAGCTATCTGACAACACAAGATGGCCAACCGTCGCGCTTGGTGACCTCGTTCTATCAATACATAGCATTAGAGTCTCGCTCAGATAGGTATATCGACCTTCACAGCCTTCTCCGGGCAGGCCTGGCTGCTGTGGCCGGAAGAGCAGCCCCACGAAAACGTTGAGCTGGATTTTATGAAAACGCTCGAACTCAATGAGCATGCCCGACTTGCAGAAATAATGGCAGGATCATGCCGAAACATGCCGCTCCGAGATCCTTCCACGATGGTTTCGGCTCACTCTGCGCGTTCTCGCGCCCGTCAATGTAGCCATTGGCGTGTCCATTCGCTCCTTCGTGATGCGAACTGGACGCTTCCTGCATTGAATGCATTGCGACGTACAGGAACGTGCCCGCTGAAAAGAGTAGGAGTATTCCAGTC